TGATGAAGGAGAGCCATTCATCGCGAACCAGCGTCCGTTGCGAATGATCACAACTCAGTTCCTTGTTTGGAAGGATGGCTGCAAGCACTGCAGGCTCAAGTTCAAACAGGCAGGCGTCTTGGACATCGCGAGCACATTCCGTGCAGCGCAGGTAGGTTTGCCAAGTAATACCAGTGTACCAGTACACGGTCAAATCTTCAACAACGCCAGCAAGCACATCGAGGAGATTCCCTGGAGAAGCGCCGCGCACAACAATAACCAGATCAACCACATCCTCTTGGGTGCGATGATGGACCTGAATGAGAGCTCGATGCTGGTTTCTGCTGACGAGCACACAATCTCGCCAGGGGGTCATGTTGAACTCGAGGTGGTGCAGCCGGGCAATAACTCGCGAGAAGAAACCAGTGGGCATGAAGGCTGTCCGCATCACGAGTGTAGCCTCATGTGGCTCGTCCTTGTGAGGATTGGCGGACCATGCACTGCTCTCGGGCTGTCCACCAGGCAGAAAAGAAGGCACAAGGTAGCGGGCTTCGGTTGTTCCAGCGTCAGCGAGCGGATACAGGAGTTCGTATCGTTGAAGTAGAACGAGGAGCTGATCACACACAGCCGGATCCAAGTTCCTCCAAACGTGTGCAAGCAGATCAGCGCGAGCCAGAATGCCCTTCTTGACCCATTTGTGCCTCTGAGTGATCACGCCAGTCAACACGGTCGTGGTAAACCACTGTGGATTTATAATGACGAGATCTTGATCATTGGCGGGCATCTGCACTAGAGTTTTGGAAACAGAGGCAGGATCAACCTGCTCCGTCCGATGAAAAACCACCCACCCTTGATAACGCAGGCGTTGCATGAACTCGTCAACTCCGATCCGAGAAAGCCGGCAATGCTTCTCGCCGAGATCGACAACGTCACTCCAGCGCAAGAGCGGCGGCTTCTTGTCAGCTTCCATCTGTTTTGCTAGATCGCGCAGCTGATCTCGAAACTGCAGATAGCGCCCGTCGACATACGAATTATAGAATGGCATGGCTCGCCCGGACTGGGTCACTGCTGTTTTGAGCTCCGGCATGGTCGGGGCACCTGCAGCAGTCCTCGCGTTAATGTAAACAGTCGAGCGAATGTTGAAAGTGGTGTGCGTGTTCTTGAAGAAACAAAGCAGTTCTTCTAGATTCCCTTGCTGCTCCTGTTGTCGCTGCGGAGTGTAGGATTGGTCATCAATGTGAGTGCCGACAAGAATGACATCGGCGTTGGGAACTCGAGAAAGCAAGCTGCGTAGCCAGAAAGCCAGACGCGAATTGCGAGAAATGGTTTCGCAAACGTCGAATAGAACCAAGTATATGGTACGTTCGCCAAGGAAGAACTGGTGCGAAGCGAGGTACAGCTCTTGACCAGCAAAGTCCCAAATGTTGAGAATCATGGGCTCCTTTTGGTCGCGAAGAATTACAGAGGAAATGTCGATTCCGTCGGTTGAGGTGGTCTTGATCGTCTTGCTGCCCGCGAAAAATTTGACCACTGAATTGCGTTCATGCTGAGCAATGCCATGAACAAGAGATGTCTTCCCGACAGCAGGATCGCCCAGTAACACCACACGAACTTCTTGGCATCGAACGGAGTCGCATCGTCGTTGTTCGGGCATGAATCTGAATTGTGGTGAAATAGTACAATAAAAGACAGAATTGCAGTCACCCTGTGGTGCAAGAAAAATAGAACTAAAATGAATCACTTACATTGTGCATGATGGATGAGCACTCCGACGTAAAACGGCTTCCTCATAATACCCGATCTGATTATCACGCAAACTAACAAAATTTGTCGTAAACACATACTAGTATTGGCACTCAACACAGAAAATGCATACTTGAGGTCTCTCAGAGTTTTGTTTTCCGTTAGTGCCTCAGCAATCGCTTGCGCGCCAGCATCGCCAATCTCATTCGCGCCCAACCTGACAATCCCCATCAGTAAGCACGCTGAATGCCATCTGTAAAAAACTAGCCCTCGCATGCATCAATCAAAGTGACTTTGCTTACCCGAGTGCAGTCAGGGTCGTGTTCACTTGGAGTGCTTCCGCAATCGCCTGCGCTCCTGCTTGGCCAATCCGATTCCCACCCATACTGCACATCCGCCTCGATCAGTGAGCTCTCCGAATGCCATTTGATGGATTACCCACTCATCATTCAAAGTGAGATGTTTTACAAGAGCGTAGTAATTGTCGTGTTCACTTTGAGTGCTTCAGCCATCGCCCTCGCTCCAGCATTGCCAATGTTATTCTGTACCAGACTGTCCACCCCCTCCATTGGTGAGCACTCTTTAAAAGACTCACTCTCATGTATTAGTCAAAATGCAATGCCTTACTAGAGCTCAGTCATCGTCTCGTTCGCTTTGAGTGCTTCAGCAATCGCCAGTGCTTCAGAGTCGCCAATCTGAATCTCATTCAAACTGTCACCATTTCATAAGTACAAACGCTGTCACACCTTCCAGTAAATTCAGTTATCTTACAAGAGCGATCCACTCGCATTCTTGACTTGGTCATACAACTCTCGTTGTCTCGGAGTCATTCTACTAAACTCCAGCATGGTTGACTGGAAATTCAGGCTAGAAGCGAAGCAGAGTGAACGCGCGACCTGCCAAGTTGTCGACTCGTTGCCACCGCGACTCCATGCTTCGCCCCATTCTCACTCTTTCACATCATCGCTTCAAACAGGAGCTTCAAACAGGAGCGAGTGCAGTTTCAAGTGGGACCGCCAAACGAGCCCAGCTGATCGCAGCACCAATCCTGATTGTCTCGCACCAGTTACCAATCAACACGCGCTCCAACTCGCCCCTCCACCGCCGAGCACAGCCTCCAAGCGACCTCAGGCACACTGGTTCGACGAGGCCATCAACGGGGTGCAAGCACAGCAACGAGCGCAAACCAACCGAGGAAGATGATCAGCAAAATTTTGGTTCAAAAAAAAAAAACAAGACTGAACTCGAGATCTCTTGACAACAACATAAACATGATGTTTCTCAGTTTCTGTCCATATCAGGAGGTGCAACTCCATCCATATTGTGTTTTGAAGTGACTTCAAGCTCGAATCTCACCCAACCAAATCCTAAAAGAGGGAGCTGGAGCCCGGTTTGCACTGTCAGACTGCTCAAGCATTTGGCTCCTCTTTCTTCACGCTCTGCGCTGCAATGGATTTCAGTTGTCAGATCATAACACGAAAAGCTCCACATTTCTTCAAAATTTATCAGACACAAGCAGCTGCACTCTCGACGAGGAAATGGCTATTGTGCTAGTCGGGCTAGAGTAGTTCGGGTTCGCTAAAATGTCACTTCTTTCTGATCAAAGATTGTATTTTACAGAATCAGTCCTTCAAAAAAAACCATGAAGAAGGGGGTGTTAAGCAAGTTCAATGCTGAAACCATGATATGATGCCACCACTACTTGTCGGAGCGGAAGGACGCACCGAGACGGTTGTGCACGAGCGTAACGTGCCGACGAAGGCTGCCTGCTTGGGTGAACTGTCGCGGGCAGTAAGCGCAGCGCCTGTCGTTGGCACGGAACCAGGCTTCGGTGAACATCCCAACGTCAATCCACTCGCCATTGTGTGTCTCCATTGCCGCTGCAATCAGACCAGGGCGGCCGCTCTGGAGCTGCTTGGCAGAGAGCGGGGCTCGCGACGAGTCGCTCGATCCTGGCGACAAGCTGCCAGACGCCCGTTGATCGTCGCCGTCATTGCTGTTGCGACGCGCGGCATGCTGGTACTCGTGCTCGGAGCCGCCATCTGACTGTGGCGAGAAGGTGTCATAGTGAGGCTGAGGGGGACGCGGGACGCTTTCCTTCTCGACGTCCTTTGCGTCCATAGCGTCCTTTTCGTCCTGCTTGTCGTCGTCGTGGTCGTGGTCGGCACCGTTGGTCGAGCGGTGGGACGTGGGTGGTACGAGTGGACTGGGGACGGTTTGAGAGACTGGGAAGCGGCAGCCGCTGGGCGGTGGCATGACATAGCGCACGTCAATCACAAACTCTGTCGCGTCGTCTTCCCGCGGTGTCTCTGTGCCTGTTGGCACAAGCTCGTCGTCGTCGTCATCTTCTTTATCGTGGTCGTCTCCAGGCTCGCTCTCGGAGGAAGAAACTGGAAGATGGTCTTGGTCGGAAGGTGTGTCCAAACGAACGCGGCGGGTGGCGCGGGGAGAAGGCAGCGGCGACCCTGATCGCTTGAGACCTGCGCTGCTGGGAGGCGACGGTGGTGAGCCAACCACGTCCGACAAGCCGGTTGGCATCGGGATGGCCGAAGGAGTGTGCAACGGCTGCTGCTGCTGCTGCTGCTGCTGCTGCTGCTGCTGCTGCTGAGCAGGGGGGATTGGGTGGGTTGTGGGTATGGGATGTACCGCACCTGAGGTTGAGGTTGTGGCTGTTGTGGCTGTTGTGGCTGTTGTTGTTGTTGTTGTTGTGGCTGTTGTGCCTGTTGTTGTTGCAGTTGTTGTTGTTGTTGCAGTTGTTGGTACTGGAAAGAGACAGGCTGGTCGGTCGCGTGCTGCATCTGTTGTTGCTCAAAGTGAACATTGAGCTGACCATACGGTTGCGGGACAATAAGCAGCTCCGGCTGCGACTGCATTTGCTGAGGGTGTTGGAGCTGTTGGAGTTGCTGAAATTGGTGCTGGTGTTGCATCCCCTGCATGATGTATTGCGATTGTTCAGGGAGTGATTGCTGCATCGGCTGTTGCTGGTGGTATTGTACTGTCTGAAATTGTTGCTGCTGGAGCAGCTGCTGGTGGTGCAGTGGTTGCTGTTGCTGTTGCATTTGTTGTTGCTGTTGCATCTGTTGCTGTTGCATCTGCTGCAGCTGCTGTATTTGCACAAACTGCTGCTGCTGCTGCTGCTGAACACTGGGATCGTAAGGAATCAGCGGTGCTGGGGCGAACGGGTTGGACGCATTGTACATTGCTTGATGATACTGGGGTTGGCCGAGCATCATGCCATCAAGATTCCGCGGAGCGGAAGAGCCGTCCCAATTTACGACCAAACCCAGGTTCGGTGCTCCTCCCTGCTGTACGCTCGACAATGGTGCTGCCTCGAACATAATTCTGGTTGGTGCAGGGGGTGATGGTCGCTGCTGCGGTTGCTGGAGTTGGCCCAAGCCATTTGCCTGACTCCATGATTGATCCAGAACTGGTTGGTTCATGCTCGCATGGACAGGCACTGCCACCGATGCGTTTGCAACGCTCGTCATTGTATGCATAGCAGTGCTCGGGCCCATGACTCCAAGCTGAGCGCCATCGTGCTGCGGTCGAGAAGGGTTTGCCCGCGAAACGTGCTGATATGACGCATTGTTACTCCCGAGGAAGCCTGCGTCGCGACCGGCATCGTAAGCCTCGTTGCTGAACGAGTTGAGTCTGCTCGGGCCGTCGTAGCTGCTGTTGAGGGTGGTGGACGACGAGGTTGTGGCTGCTGCTGTTGCCGTGGCGGTGGTGGTGGTACTGGTGCTTGAAGGGAAGTTCGCATTGCGCAGCGTTTCCGCGCCCTGCAGCTGACGCATGTACTGCGCACTGCCGTTGTTGTTGTTGTTGTTGTTGTTGTTGTTGTTGTGGTGCTGGTCACTCAAGGAACTCACGCTGCCACATACGTGCGCAAGCGACAGCAGGGCGTCGATAGGAGGTGCGACCTGCGACAAGGTGTTGTTGCTGGTGCAAAGGGGCTGGACCAATCGCTCGGCACTGGCGCGCGAGGCCAACCCGGCAGTGGCACACGACGACTCGACCGAGGCAATGGACGACGCCGACGAGACCGATGCGATGGACGAGGCTGACGACGACGTGCACGACATGGACGATGCCGTGGACGACGCGGACGACCGCGACGGCGATGGTCGTGGTTGCTGCGTGTGCGACAATGCTACCGTCGATGACTCAAACCGCGGTCGTGTGCTTGCAATCACTCCAGTCAGTGGTAGGCGTCCCATGGCTCTGAGCTCGGTCTGGTACATGCAGTGTTTTTTCCCTACGCGCGGTATCCGTTGCTCAGGGGGGCTGTGGTCGCGCTGCACACTTTGTGGGAGCGGGGGGCGCGATCAACAACCAAAATAAAGGTAAAATCCAAAAAAAAAAAAAAAAAATACAAAAACAAAAAAACACAGGAAAAAATAATAAAAAATAATAAAAAGGCGACCAATGAGAAAGTGCTCGGTTTTCAGATTGTTCGAAACGTTTTGGGTTGCAGAAATAAAAAGACCGAGACGCCGTTCGCAGAGCCGCTGCCGTCAGGCAAAAGTGGGGCGCAAATCGAGCAGACGATGCTGGTTGAAAAATCCAGCTGGTTGGGGAGGAAGCGAAACGGGGGGACGAGGTGGAAGCGCAAAAACCCGAAACCGAGGCAAGTTGTGGGATCGGCGCCAATCAAAACACAGCAGAAGCGAGGCAGTGGAAAAAGGAAAGAAAAAAAAAAGTCGCGGTTTGTTCTGGGCAAAATGGATGAATCAAGTGACCGAGGCAACCGAGGAGGCTTGGGAGGACAGAGGGCCGCGTTGAGTGCGTCGGTGGTGCGCGGTGCCTTTCCAAAGACTAAGAGTAGCGGCCAAACAACAAATAGAAAGAAAGAAAGAAAAAAAGATAGTGTCAATTTAGTTGGGTTTCGTGACCAAACAACAAAAAGAACAAGGAAGAAAAAAAAAACTGACTTATAGTTGTACTCAAACAGAAAAAAACAAAAAAACGAAAATGAGGAATGGGAACAAAAACCATTGCAGCGTTTGGACTTTGAAAATAAAGGAAGCGACGGAACGGATGCTCAGAGAACTGTGGCTGTGGAAGCGACACAGCCTGCGCACAACAGGTGGATGAAAAAGAGGGGTGGACATGCTAGCAGAAGAGGCAAGGAGGGAGAAAAGTCAACTTCGGATTCGTGTAATACAGTTAGCCGAGATCAGGAGTTGCGAATGCGTGTGCGAACAACAAATTTTTCCAAAAAAAAAAAAAAAAAAAAAAAAAAGCACCGCTCGTCCCAACACGCCTGACTGCGCCGTGTAACTGTAAGAGTTTGACTTGCATACAACAACAAACACATGCAAGCAAGATTACACTCCAGATCAGCAGCTGTTGGTGTTTTGTTGGAGCCTGCAGCTAAAAAAAAAAAAAAAACAAGGCGGACGGATTGTTCGCCTGATTGCGCGGAGTTGTTTGGGTATTTTTGGCATTTTTTCTACTATTTTTTCTTGATCGAGATTTTTTGCTCGAGATAATTTGGGTATGGTGTGTGTGTGATTGTGTGCGTGTGTGTGTGTGTGTCTGGTTGTCCCACCAAACGTGAGGCGCCATATTTGGATTCGTGTGAGTTGGGATTGGTTCGTTCGTAACCATCATAAACAAAAGACGAGCAAACAAAGGCGTGCACACACACACAACACGAAATTTGCTTGATAGGCGACAGAGCCATGGTGGAGATTTGGCGGATTATGCTGGCGCAGACACAACCAGAACAACGAAAAAAAAAATCAACCGAGCGGCGGATGCTTGTTGAAAAACCGCCTCCAATCCTCCTCTGCCTGCTGCTCCATCCCCTTCACCGCCATCGGTTTGCCGCTGCCAATTAACAGACCTCGCTCCAGAGAACAGTCAAGCGCAGCAGTAACCGCAGCCACCCCTCTTCGCCCCGTTTCAAACAGCCATGGCTTGGGTGGTCCCGATTCTGCCTTGACGCCATTGGTGGAGACTTGTTTCTGTTATTTTTGTTTGTTTTTGTTTACACTTTGGGTTTTTTGGTTTAAATTTGAATTTTTACTTCAATTGTTTTGTGGATAATTCAGACAAAAAGCCACCATCACCGCGCATTCGTGTGTGACACGCAGAACACGCGACAGTGTGAGATGCATGCAGCCCTGGAGGATCGATCAAGCGACAGGACGACCACACAAACATCGAGAAGCGGCTCTTTTGCTTTGATTTCAAACTCGCGTGGCTCTCGCGCGACCCCCACTCCTCAACTCCTCCTCGTCCATCTAGGTGTGCTGTGGCATGTCGTCAACTTGCTCGCGTCGAACAACGAGAGAACCACCTTCACGCGGTCGGTCGCGTGGCGAGGCCTGCAATCGGCATTGGAGTGTGTCATGGGTGTCAGGCAAATTAACAAAAAAAATGATTTGAAAAACAAGACAAAAAAACCAGCGGTTTCCGGTTCGTTGTCGTGCTCGCCCCCTCCCCTCCCCCTGTCCCCGCCCCGCACCTTCGAACATGAGCCACTCTCGGACAGGCTTGGAGAGCCAGTGTGACCAGCAGGGTTGGCTGCGCAGTCATCCTAAAGGCACGGGACTGGCCTGGGTTTGGCACAATAACACGGCGAATCGAACTGACAAATCTGTCAGCCGACTTTTGTGATTTCGATTTTTCATTGTTGTTTTTGTTCGGTTTTTTTTTTTTTTTTTTTTTTGTTGTTGTTTTGTTTTGTTTTGTTTTGTTTTGGTTTTTGAGTTGAGTGTGAAACTTCAATCGCGTAGAGCTTGGATTCATGCTCATCCAGCTCCTCTGCTTCTATTTGTGATGCCAACACGAGCCGCAGTGCACTGAGCAATCGGACGACGCGAAGAGAGGTAAGAAAAAAAGGTTTGGGTCGGTTTTCTTGCGGGTTGCTGCGTTTCGCATCCTCGCGACAGTCGCTCTGCCCCAGCCAGTCAGCCAATCCCGCAATGTGCAGCTCGAGGATTGGTACTCCAATCGAAGCTGGCAATGTGAGTGGATGTTGCTCAGTGAACCGTGTCGCACAGATTCATCATGCAGTTGCCACTACCTCGTTGACCCGCGATCGATCGATGGATTGCCTTCCACTCCTTTTTTTACCGCTCGCGAGCGCTGCCCGCAAACGCGACTATCACGGTAGAATGGAAAGAGCCGTTCATACTATCATTATTGGGATGAACAAGCGAAGGAGCTGATGAGGCTGCAAGAAGCGTTTCGAATGGTTGCACCCCCCGACCCATATCTTGTTTTTGTTTTGTTTGGCTTTGACCTCTTCTTGTCTGATTGTCGGTGCTTGAAACCACGCGGCACTTCTGCAAGTGAACGTTTGACGAATACAACTAGGAGCGGTTACGACGAGATCGGAATTCCCATAGCACCCTAACGCAATTCACGCCGAGCTTCTGAGAATACGTGTGCGCACAGCTGGAGCAACAAGTAGCTGGGTTGGTCGGCGCCTCACCAGGCGACACCGCAGCGTAATGTCACTCTGCGTTGAATGCGCTAGTTTCAAAGGTGAATCCAAAGCGGAGTGAATCGCTCTTTTTGCGAAAGACCGAACGATCATGCAACCGTATTCTTGGTTGCTGAGACTTTTGCCTTGTGCGAGACACTGACTCTGTCCATCCAGAGCCAGTCGCGCTGACAATGTACATCAAGCTGGCTACTGGCGACGGCTTGAAGATCAGGTACCAGGACACGGGTGCGAGAGCCGTGGCACTACTGCGCCAATGCAAGCGATGCGCTCAACACCAGCAACAGCAGTAACGTGCAGTAAAGTCTCATGTCGAGGAAAAGAAAGAGCAAGAATGCTGAAACAAAAGAGGAGTCCTTTGATAATAGCATACAAAGGAACAAATGCAGTCCTTGTTCGAATCTCAGCTTTTTTTTTTTTTGGTTTTTCGAATTTTGCTTCCGCTTCCAATGTCCAACGACTCTGACGGTTCCAACGACCTTTATGGCTTCGACTCGGACAGCAGTGCTAGGAACATCGTTACCGATGACGACAGCGACGACGACTCAGCTGTGGGCTTTGACGATCGGGAGAGCGACGACGACACGCTGGACGAGCTCAACTATCGACGGCACCCAATGTACCGCGAGGACGCGCGATTCGGCTATGTCGGCATTCTTCATGAGCGCGATCCCGCGACAGACCCGTTGTGGAACAGCATCCGCGAGGCTGGCTTCGACCCGGAGGAGTGGGTGATTTCCATGCTAAAGTGCCAGCGACCGGTCCCGACCAAGCTGAAGCAGGGCTCTGCTGCTGCTGCTGCACACGAGTCTACTCCATCACAGTCAGAGCAGGCTCCCACGCCATGGGCGCTCGCAGTCGCAGAAGCCGCCAAAGCAGGCGTGCGGCCTGGCGCATCGTGCTCCATCTCAGAAGCGACGACCGCGCGTGCATCGTCCAGCTCGGGCTCCAGCTCCGGCGTCGAGACGGCCGATTCCAATCGAGCCCCTCTGTCTTTTTGGTGGGACATTTTTGATGGATCTCAAGGTAACCGATTGAACACAGCAACGCAATGCGACAACCAAAAAATAGCAAACGACTCACCTTCTCTGTTGCGCCTCACTCTGCTCGACAATCCATCCCAGACTTTCCCCTGGATGGCTTTATCCAAAACCACCCAGTGAACCGCGAGCCCGACTTTAATCCACTGGATGCGAGCCCCGAGTTTAACTGGGCAGTTGGACGTCGCCTGCTTCCTTCGTTCGTGGCATCCAAGTCGGCCGAGCGTGCGCGCTTCTCGCATCGAGGAGTCGCCATCGACACCAAGTCCCGATTTGTACGTCGCTGCCTGCGGCGTGCCGAGCGCAATGCTTCGAGCATTTTCATGGTCGATGAAGCCACAGCAACCTCGTGCTCAATCAACCAGTCCAACATCGACCGTCTCACGTTTCATGGAGACCTGCTGCGCGACCCGACACTGCAGATGGACTTGGTTGCGACTGATGTGCCTCTGAGCGCGAAACTCCGCTGGGGTGACTTAGATACCTATTTCGCTTCATTCTCTAGCGGGACTGGCAGTGAACAGACTGGCTGGGTGATGCACTCGCGCCGCTATACTCGGTATTTGAATGACATTGAGAGCCCGCTCATGACTGGCTCCATTATGGAGCTGTTTGACGCGCTGGAGACGATTCGAGTTGGTCGGTCCTACTCGCTGTCCACAGCCTTGAACTGGAATGACATAGACTGCAACGAATTTTATCCCCCCTCAGCTGTGTGGGTTATGCTGTTCCGATACTGGATTTTCGTCGAGCGTGTACGACCACCGAAAGACATCATTAAGCACTGTGCCACGACCAGCATTGACATGCTTCGGTACTGTTTAACTCACCACTACGAGGACATGCACGGTCTTCGCGAGGAACTGCTGGCGTGCTGGCTGAAGCAACACGTCAATCGCCGCAGACTGAATGCCTGGAATTGTGTCACGCTCGTCTTGGAGTGGTTGTACCCCGAGCGCAAGCCTGCGTCGTACGACTGCGTGCATCCGCCACGGCCCACGGGTCCGTCGATTTACGACAAGTTTGGCGTGACCGAGGAAGCTGAATGGGTCGGTTGCAGTGATCCTTTTTGGTACGATGCCGATTGGCTACAGAACGTGCCCGGGTGGGATATGGCACCTGTGCTTGAGTGGCTACCTGAACTTGGCCGGCAGAACTTCATTGCCAGACCGACAACGTACTTTTCGAATTGGCTCTACCAGTTTGAGCTTGCGAGCTTTCGTACTTTGCCTGCTTTCGGTGACAAATCTCGGTGGAATCCCGGCGATGCTCATCCATTTGTGGTGGCGGCGACTCGCCACTTGGTTGCGGGATGTCTGCTCGCGTGGGGACTCTCTCCTTTGAAATGCCTCGATTTCTGGCCACCATTAAATCATCGGTGGTCAAACGTCAAGCATCCCTATGACCGAGCACTTGAAAAGGAGTGGACTCGCTTGTCTGCCCGAGTGGAAGCAACCAACCGGGAAACTCTCAAGCAGATTCTGCAAATGGCCGAGCAAGCGCAACCTTTGAGACTTTCCTCGCTGTGCCGACTCAAGCTGTGGCGGCACGAAGGGAGCGAGGCAGCAGTTGCCAAAGCGCTTGGTGTCAGCAACATTGATGCGCTTCTTGGACTCGTCCCACCCGTCCCGCAGCCCGATCTTCGCGTCCCTGAGGATGTCGCGCAGTTTGTGTTGGACATGCCTCTTGCTCGTCATTTGCAGCGCGTTCCCGCCTATCATGAGATGAGTTGATTGTGGGTCTGGTTGTTTTGTGCGATTGTCGGCACAAATGTGGATCAAAGGTGCGCATCGAGCATTAAAAATGCGATCAGGATTTTAATACGAACTGTTGCAACTGCGGGCCGAGATCTCATTGGTCTTGTGTCACAGCTCGATGCAGCGGAAGAAAATAAAAGGCAGTCCACATTTTCCAGCCAAATCCAATGGTGAGCAAAGTTTGGTGTTTATTCTGCTTTCTTCTTCCCTCTTCTTCGCTCCCAATAGCCTGCCCGCGCTTTGCCATTCAATGTCGCTTCTTGCACTTGAGATACCATGCGATCGGGTCCTGTGCAGCCTCTCAGCAACGCTCCAGCCATTCGCCAATGCTGCTGGCCATCCCTATGCCTTCGCCGTTGGAGCACCACGCAATCCCCGCTCCACTCCACCCCCAAAACGCATTCACCATCTCAGGTTGAACAAGTGGACGACTCTTCTACACTGACCGAGCGAGTGTCCAGCGAAACCCCGTCCATCCCCAATCAGAAAAAAAAAAAAAAAAAAAAAAGATTGGAAAAAGCATTGAAAGCATGTGCGCCTTTTTTTTTTTTTTTTTTGTATGGGTTTTGCATTGCTGCTGACTTTTTTCTTTCTTTTTTTTCCTTTGTGCGTGCGTGTGTGTGTGTGCCTGTTCAGCGCCCAATCATCCTGCAGGGCCACGAGCGTTCGCTCACCCAGATCAAGTACAACAAGGAGGGCGACCTGCTCTTCTCGGTCTCCAAAGACAAGCTGGCCAACGTGTGGTTCTCGCACAACGGCGAGCGCCTCGGCACCTATGACGGCCACAACGGCACAGTCTGGTGCATCGATGTTGATTGTAAGTCTGCTCGAGTCATGGTGGGGGTGGTGCTTGCGAACGCAGAGACAGAAAAGGAGGTCGGGTTTTGCCAAAAAAAAAAAAAAAAAAAAAAAAAAAAAAAAAAAACACTTCCATCCTTTGGAAATCATTGCAGCAATATGTCGCAATACCAAAAGACGTGCGACTCATCATGCCAACCATCCTTGCTGGTATCGCTTGTCGCACTCAGATGCATCCAAGTATGTGCTTACGGGCTCTGCCGACCAATCGGCGCGCCTGTGGGAATGCCGAACTGGAAAGCAGCTCGTCAAGTTTGCCACCCCGACCTCCGTCCGTACCTGCGGCTTCTCTTACAGTGGCAAGACCATTTTCTACACGACAGACAACGTCATGGGCCACCCATGCCGAATTTTCTTCCACGACCTGAAGGATGAGCTTGCTCGTAAGTGTTGCGCTTTGGTTTGTCTTTTCTCCCCCCCCCCGAGTCCTTCTTGCGGCTCGTCCGCTGTCGTGGGTGGATGAAAGCTTTTGCTATGCTACGAGGAGGTGACTCACTGTGAGCGCTTTTTTTTTCCCCCTGTTGGACAGAGTCCACCGAGCCCAAGAAGATCATTGATTTGCCTGCCGGCAACAAGATCACCGCTGCCGTGTTTGGCCCTCTTGACAAGACTCTTATCACCGGACATGACGACGGCACCATCAACGTCTGGGATGTTGAGGTAGGACGGGAGGACCATGCGTGGTTTATTTTCGTTGTTTGCCGAGTTCTATTTGATTTTGTTGCTTGGAATTTTCTCTTTTCTCGCTTCCCTCACTGTTGTGTCCTGATGCTTTGTACAGACCGGCAAGATCATCAAGTCTTCTCAAGAGCATGAAAAGTACATTAATAGCATCCAGCTCAACGGCGACCAAACTTCGTTCGTTTCCGCCAGCAAAGACTCGACTGCCAAGCTTTTCGACACAGAGACCCTTGAGGTTTTGAAAACCTACAAGACCCCGACCAACGTCAACTCTGCCGCCATCTCCCCGTTGCGACCACACGTACGTTTCCTACTCTGCAGAGTCGCGGTTGGGCGTTTCTCTCCTGTGGCTCTTCAGATTCTTCTCTAACTTTGTTTTATCCCCCCTCCCTCTTGTTGTTTGCCAGGTTGTCCTTGGTGGTGGTCAAGAAGCTCGCGAGGTCACAACAACCTCCACTCGAGTCGGCAAGTTCGAGGTCCGCTTCTTCCATCTCATTTTTGAAGAGGAAATCGGCCGTGTCAAGGGCCATTTCGGTCCCATCAACACTGTTGCATTCCACCCAAGTGGCAAGAGGTAACAATTCGAATCGGGGTTTGCAAATTGTGCGTTGAAGCATTCGGCTAATGTTTTTTGTGTCGTCTTTTGAATTCGCTCTTGCAAACAACTCCAGCTTTGCCAGCGGTGGTGAGGATGGCTTCATTCGAGTCCATGCGTTCGATCCCGACTATTACGAGTTTGAGTTTGATTACTAAATGCTGTTTTTGAGGTCCTAGCTGTGCCTTCTCGTTCTTGTTTGTTGTAGTTTGCAATGAAAAATGCTTCAAGCCAGCTCTCTGCTTCATTTTTTTTTCTCTCTGCTCGTTGCAACGACCTGGCAAGCCAACGCGAGACGCACCAAAAGAAAGGCGCGAAAACAAACAAAGAAGCAAAAGGCTGTATTATGACCAGTGCAGCACATCCCCTCAATGCACCTCTACAACAAAACCAACGCGAGCTCGCTGGGCTGGACTTCGGGGCACTTGAGGTTGTAAAAGTAGTAGCGAAGCTGGCCATCGCCGATGCCGAACTTGAGGTTTTCAAAGACTGGTGCATTTTGCATGAGATCGAGGGCGTTGAAAACATCAAACTCCTCCTGCAGAATGACCAATAGAAATTAGCACAAGCGCGAGTGGCAGAGAACCAAAAGAAGAGGGAAAAAAAAAAGCTCAGCGTTCAACAAATCGTCAAACTCCTTACGTTCTTTGCGAGAATAAGAGCATCGCTCAAAAGCTGCTCGAACGGCACTGTGTTGGCAACAGTGTAGTAGCTGTATGCAGCCTTCAAGTTTGAGTAGTTGGGGTTGTTGACGATCGTTGAGGGAAGCGTGTACCAGCAGACGAGGTCGGTGATTTCATGCTTGGAGTTCTGTCGGTTTCACAATGACAACGTCAATGAGGAGGATGCCTTTTGTTGTTTTTCAAAAACAGTGCGCATGCCCGTCATGCACAAACGTACCTCGACAACATAGGTGCTGATGACATTGTTGCGCGGAAGGAACCAATGAACAAACTCCTCCTCAGTGTAGACGGTCTTGATGGCAAAACGCTCGAGATAGGTCGAGAGCACACGGAAGGCGGAGGGGACGTCCGCAGCCTTCATCAACCGCAACCCAGCAGTGGTGGGCTGCTCAGCGACCTTGTAGCGCTTGATAGTGCGCGCCAACGTCATGTTGCGCCCAAGATGGGAAAAGCCGATATCGATCAGCTTCTTGGGGTTGAGCGAGCGGTGCCAGTAGCTGAAGGAGGGTGAGGATCATCCAAATCGGAGGGGGAGGGGATTCGGTTAGAAAATTAAGCATCACCAAAAAAGGAACGGGGAAATCCAAGATCCAAGACTTCCAAGCATGTAAAACCTACCGGCAAGTGCTGAACGGCTTGGGCAGAACGACGCCCGCCGTGTACACGGCTTGGAACAGACCCTGGAGGTGGACTCGACGGGTAATCTCCTTGATGAGAACCGGTGCAAGGCGCTTCGTGCGCAGCTTCTTGTGGACGCAAAGGAAGTTGATTTCAACGAGCGGCTGGACGCTGTGGCATGCATGGATCATGGATGGAGCATGTGAGTCGCCATATCCAAAACAACCCAACAACAATGCCCGACGCTCAACGTGTTCTTACCGGTCCTTGACCTTGAGCGTCGCGGGGATGGCCGAGATGAAGGCAACAAGCTTGCGGCTCTTCGAAGCACGAACACCGGCGTGCCAGATGGGCTTCCAGCCCGGAGGGAGCAGGGCCCATCGCAAGAACTCGCGAGAGTAGTCAAAGCGGAACATGTTGTCGTCATCTTCCACGTAGTTTTCATTGAGAAGATTGTACAACTCGGACAACTATGGGCGGGTTGCAAGTCAGTCGCCAGTTTCGCAGGCCGTGTCAATTTCCAACCACGCTCAATCAAGTCTCAAAGTCGCAATCGTTGTTTACCTGGTCCTCCTTCAGCAAGTCCAACGTCACCCACTCAAAGTCAGCAGGGATTGGGTAGGGCTCTTGGCGGATGTTTGCATTGTCGGGCTCGATGGGCTCGACCGCGTCCGAGCTTTGGTCTGCCAGAAGAACCAGGGGGGGGGGAAAAAAAAAAGTCACTATCAGCACACATGTGCACAATGATTTTCAATGGTTGGTCATTGCGTTTACCGTATTGCAGCACTGGCTGGGTCTTCCAGAACTTGTGCTCCTTGTCCTGCTCCTTTGCTTTGCCCTTTCCGTCGAGATTGAGCAATTGGATCATTGCAGCGAGCTAAAAACCAACCCAACAAACCCAAGCAAAACAAAAAGCACGAATAATTGGTGAGTATTTCTATGCTCGGCGGGGTTGGCCTTCGGACCGAGCTTGTGCGTATGTGGCAGTGTCGCGTAGTATGGTCGAAAACGCGTTCATTTCTGCAGTAACAACCCGTCCCTTCGCTCCAATGCGCCAAGTCCAGAACTAACTGCATTTCGTGTCTTGGCTACCAATTCGTGAGCCTCTTCTCGCTTTTTCTCAGCGACGTGAGTGGGACGTTGCCTCAAGCCAGGCGCAGGGGGAAGCGAGGGCGAGATCTCAACAAAAGCGACAAAGCCAGAGTGCTTCTGAATGCTGGTGATTGGGAGAGAGAGAGAGAGAGAGCGCGGGGTCTGAGGTCTGTCAAGAACGCGTTCCATGTCGTGTACCTGATCCTGGGAGAGGTTGGCGAGGGACGACGGCTGGGTGGCTGCCTGCTCGGCGCTCATCGGCGGGTGCTCGGCGGCTTGGGCGACAGCGTCAGCAACAGCAGCCTTCACAGCGTCCGACGACGACGACGATGCAGTTGAAGATGATGATGACGATGATGCTGAAGTCGAGGCGCCAGTTGAGGTCGAGGCCAAGTGAGGCACGCTGCCAACGGTCGGCAGCTCTTCCTTCTGGTCGCTCATTGACAGAAGAAAGAAAAAAAGATAGAATGACATCCCCAACATTGTGCTACATTCATTGAATTATGATCAGTATGATAATAACATCAATGACGTGAATGGGTTGGTTGGTCCGTTGGTTGGTGGGTTCTGAACTGGAAACGACTTCACTTGACGTTTGCTCGGCTTTTCGTTCTGCTTCGTTGATCATCCAGGCGACCTGTAACTTTATGATGTGAAGATGTTGTATGCTTGCTGTAAATGCAGTCAGTCTCCTTTTTTTTTTTTTTCACCTCTTTCTTTTCGTTCGTTTCAAAACCAATTCACTAAGGGTGCGTTGCCAAAATTTTCAAATATCAACCAACCAACTTTCTTTTCAAAATCCGCCTTCATCATTACTGGTCAACCTCCACTTGGTCTTTGGCCACTGACCTGGGGGAAAATGCTCCGAATCGTGTGAGCGCGTGTTGAGACGCGAGCATGGGTGGAACGGGAACAGACGCAGACTGGCCGAAAGTGCCGCTTTGTTGAACGAGCCATCCGTTTGAAACTGTTTTGTTTCACTTTCGGGTTTTGTTGGGGCTGGTTTTCTATTGGGACTCCATTCCCGCCCCCTCCCCGACTTGACAGACGATACTGCTTGTGTTGTTTCATTCGGCCACTTGGTGTTTGCTTGGAGGGGTGGTGGTGGCGGTGGTGGTGATGCGCTGACATTTGTATCAAACTACAGACTGACTTCTGAAACAATACAAAAACAGTCCTTTCCATGAATTCAAATCCAGTCGAGCCGACTCTGGTGCCGGCCATCAGCAGTGGATCGGTATCGTACACGACAAGCGCTGCAGACCGCCCCAAGCTGTCCTTTTCAGGCGCGTCCGACTGCGGGGCCAAGATGGACGAGAAGTCGTTCAGCGTTTTCGACGACATTCCGCCAATTCTGACAACGGATGTTGCGCGCGAGTTTGCTACCATCATGAAAAACATTACAAGCACCAGCGAGGAATGGGAGCGCCGCGTCAATGCCTTGCGCATGATCCGAGGCTTGCTGAATGGCGGCGTCCTGCCGGAACAGCGCGAAGCCTGGATGCTCCACATGAAGCCGCTGGCAGACCCGTTCTGCGCCACCCTCCGGGATCTCCGCTCGGCAGTCATGCGTGAAGCGTGTATGACGCTCAGCCACATGGCAATGACCATGAAGGCGGAAATGTTTGCCGGCTCAACCATCCCAGAGCAGGCCGTTGTCAGTTTGCTCAAGTTGCTCTACACGGGCGTTCGTGTCATGAGCGACTCTGCCTACATGGGTCTCAAACAGCTGGTAACCCATGTCCAGGACCCCAAGGTGCTGACTCTCATTGTTGAGTGCGGTGCCACAAGCAAATCGGCCGTCGCACGCCACCGCGCGGTCGAGTATCTCGGTATTGTTCTCGCAGTTTGGGAGCAGTCGCGCTTCGAAAAGCAGCAACCAGCAATCGAATCGTGCATTTTGAAGGCCATCCGTGATGCGGATCCCAATGCCCGCTCAGCGGCGCGCCGTGCCTTTGTCGCCTACGAAACCCGCTTTGCCTCTGCCGCAGCTGCCGCGATGAAGGGCATGGATGGCGCTCAAATCAAGCTGTTGAATGAAGAGCGCGCCAAAGCGAATGGAACTGCGCCCGCCAGCACACCCTCAACTGAGCGACGAGCTTCTGCAGCGGTTCATCGCGCACCATCCATCACCAAGAGTGCCAGCTCTAGTAGCAGTAGCTCTAGCAGCAGTTCTGGTGCTGCCACTGCGACCTCGACTGCCTCCACAGCAACTGCAGCATCGGCGCAAACCGCGTCCACTTCAACTTTTGCCACGCCTGTTTCGAGCAAGATTCGCGCCAGTAGCATTACTCCTGCGGCCTCGTCCCAATCGAATGGAGGATTTGCAAGCTCGTCGAGCTCTCTGAAGGCCACACGGGTTGTCAAAGCCGTGCCGACTGGAACATCCACTCCTGCACCAGCTCCAGTGACTACGACCCCTTCCATCTCCAGCTCGAGCTCGAGCTCGAGCTCCACAACAGCTGCTCGACGCACGTCGGCCAAACCCTCTAGCATTCCTACAGGCATCCCTGCTGCGGCACGCCCACCGTCAGTTTCCGAATACACAACGAGCGCTGCTCCGCCGTTAGTTGTTGGCTTTGCTCAGCCTGCTGCTCGTGTTATTGTTCAAGCGCCAGTGCCCGCGCCAGTCCCAGCGCCAGCGCCGATTGCTGCTGCTGCTGCTGCTGCTGCTGCTGCTGCTATTGCTGCTGTCGCTGCTGCACCATTGGTCGCCCAGTCCACTCCCACCGCGAACATAATCCCGAGTGCACCGCTTGCGAGCGCGCCTGCTGTTGTTGTTGTTGCGCCTTTGCCAGAAGCACCGTTGCCAGAAGCACCCCAGCCACCCCCGAACGAAAATAGCGAGCCAAACAAACCCGCCGTTAGCTTCCCCACACTCACCATCAAGCCTGTGCTGACTGCGCCCGTTTTTGATCAGCCGCAAGTCCCTGCTACACCGCTGACAATGATGGCATTCGAGCTTCCAGCGCTTGTTCCGCGCGAGCCAAGTGCACGTGACACTCTTCAAGCCAGTGCATCCGAGTTTGACTGGACGGCGCCCGAGTCTGCAGAAGTTGCTCTTTCGCAGATTACCGCATGTATGGAAGTTCTTCGTGGCGAACAGAGCAATAATGAGGTACGCGCTATGTTGCGGTGTTGTTACTCGCAAGTCAAGACGAGTTCGATGGCTGATTTCTCACATGTCTCTCATTGATGTCCCCACTTTAATCTACTCTAGACGGTTGCCATCGCTGCGCTGAAGATCATGACCGAGAACACTGTTTTCTTTGGCCTCGGATTGGAACTGTTCTTCATCCGTGACGCAGCCCTTCTCTGCTTCAAGTTGATTGACAGTGTCAACTACCGAGAGGTGCGCGTCCGTTGGCGGGGAGGTGGAACGATTTCTGTTGAATCGTTGAAGCCAGTCTTGCTAACTCTCTGCAATTTCGTTCTCGTTGCCATTTTGCGATCAAAACAGCGTTCCAACGTTGCGGAAGAATGTGTGCAGCAATTGCTGTTGCTGGTACCAGCCTCGGAACAGCAGTCGCTTCTGGATGACCTCGTGAAGGAGCAACAGCCGCCACTTTCGACCTCAGCAGTGCTGCTCATGCTCAAGCTGCAAGCGCAGTATGTTACTGGACTTTCCGTCGAGCAGGTCGCCCAGTTGGCCCCACAGCTCATTTCACGCCTCGTCTGGGTAAGTCGTTGCACTGCTCTGCATTCGTCACAAACAAAGAAACAAGCAAGCGAACGTCATCCTGCCAACTCCCGCTATTGTTTCCTTTTTTTTCTTGTCTGGTACCGATAGGGCTACAAGCACTCTGCTGCAGAGGTTCGCAAAACGGTCGTTTTCCAAATTGTCGAGCTCCATGCCCAGCTCGGCCAGGAAGGGCTCGCACCGCTGTTTGCACAGCTCAACTCGATGCAGCTTCGTCTTTTGCAAGTCTATCTCGATCGTGCAAAGAACGCCGCGCCTGCCTCTGCGTTGTCGGACAGCGTCAGCTGCCCACCTGCACCCTCGGTGACTGTGTAAAGCCACAGCCAATCGTCAAGATTCCAGTTATTGAATAGTGTTGAATAGTGTTGAACAGTGTTGGGTCTCGCATGAACCTGCAGCTCCTAGCTCGTACCCAGAACGAAAGAATGAATAGTTTTTTGTTTTTGTTTGTTTTTTGTTTGTTTTTTGTTTTTTTGCTGTAGAAAACAAATGAAGGCTGAAGCAGTCCGAAGATGTAGCAAGCATTGCACACCAATCAACGTGCATGCAGTGATCAAGTGCGGGTGAGCGTGTGTGGATTGGAGCAAAAAGGAGCAACGATGCGGCTGCGTTGAATGCGCTTGTTTCAAAGGTGGATTTCAAAGCGGAGTGAATCGCTCTTTTTGCGAAATGACAGAACTATCATGCAAAGAAACCCCAAAGGTCATATTCTTTGTTGCTGAGACTGTTGTCGTTGTTCAAGCTCAGTCCATGCTCGTGTCGCGAATTGCCTCCGCCTGTCCTTCACGAATCGCTGCTTTTGTGACGCTGGTTGCCGCTCTAGCGCCGACGTTTTCATCTCCAGTCCGAACTCTGACTGCGCACTCTTCTCATCCGCTGTGCTTTGCTCAAGCTCAGCATCATCTGCAGGCTCGCTCCTTCCATCCATCCTCCGCTGCGTCGCCGCCTGCCACTACGCCGGGCTCCTCCTCCTCATCCACTGCCGCCGCCCGCCTGCCTTCCCATTCACACCAGACGCAGTCGTCTCACTTTGCAAACACGATGCAAATCCACACCGTCCCGATTCTCGAAGGTGGCGCTTGGCTTGAATAATCGCCGTGCCGCGCGTTTGTGATGATGACCAACCTCACCTATCGCCACGTCGGATTGCATTTTTTTTCTCTCTCTCTTTTTTGCAACAGACAACTACAGCTACATTATCGTAGATCCAAGCTCGCATGCGGTGGCCGTCGTCGATCCGGCAGAGCCCGAAAAGGTCATTCACGCGCTCAAGCAGCTTCCCAAATCGGACGCGCTCAACCTGGTCGCTGTGATCAACACACATCACCACTGGGACCATGCTGGAGAGAACGTCAAGTTCCTTGAGCTGGCTGCTACTGAATTGAATGCTCAGGGCGTGAATGTTTATGGCGGCGACGATCGCGTGCCGAAACTCACGCACAAGGTCACCCATGGCGAAACGTTCACTCTTGGAAGCATCAAGTTCACCGCGCTTGCCACGCCGTGCCATACCACGGGCAGCATCTCATTCCGAGCACAGAGTCCCGATGGCGCGGTTGACCGCGTCGTCTCGGACGAATCGCACAAGCCAGGGAAGTGGTCGTATGTGGAGACGGATGTCGTCTTCACCGGAGACACGCTCTTTGTTGCTGGATGCGGCAAGTTCTTTGAGGGCTCTGCGGCAAACATGCACCATTCGCTCATTGATGTGCTCGGAGCGCTGCCAGAGACGACGCGCGTGTATTGTGGCCACGAGTACACGGTCAGCAACCTGTACTTTGCACAGAGCGTTGACGGAGCCAACAGTGAAGTTACACGAGCACTGACCGATGCGCAAGCCCTCCGCGCAAAAGGTCTCCCGACCGTGCCTTCGTCCATTGGTCGCGAGCTCGCCATCAACCCATTCATGCGTGTTCGTGATCCAGCGTTCTGCGAGGCGCGAGCCAAGCTCGCTGGGGTAGCTTCCGATGCCATCACAATCATGGGTGAGCTGCGCGAAGCCAAGAATCGCTTCAAGCGCTCGACGTGAGTGCTTTTTTTTTTTTTTTTTGTTTTTGTTCGGTTATTTTTTGTGTGTGTGTTGTTGTTGTTCTTGTGCGACTGGTTTCAACACTAGTCTCGAGGCTTTGCTTGACTCTGTTCTGCAATGAAAGTGTATAGGATTGCTTGGTCCAGTACTGAATGTGCTTTGCACCAAAGTCCAACAATTTGCAGTACTCGGCGACAAATCGTTCCCAATCGTAGGGTTGCTTGTTGAAGTTGAAAAATAAAAGCATTCAGAGAAAAATGCTCAAGGTCCAAACAATGAAACCAACTGCAACCAGACAAGAAAAAAAAACCTTGTGCCACTCGCACACACATGACATAACGAAAACGACGAAAACCACTGCAGAACAACGAATGCTGCTCAAAAGTGCGATGCAGCTTGAGGATTTTGGTGATTATTCAGCTCGGTCTGCGATTCCGCCAATGCAATACAGCACAAAACGTGAGCATTCGAAGGAAGACACGTGCAGCATATATCTCAATGATGGATGCGCCAAACACAGGCCAAACTTACGCGGAATCGCTCTTCTAGCAGCGACATTTCCGATATCAAGTCGTTGAAAGCGCCCGAGACCGCCTCGATGGGTGAGTAGCCCTCGACCGTCAGTACTCGCAACACAAACTTGGACTGCAGTGGATGCGGGACGTGGTAGCCCGAGAAGAGCACCTTGGGATCGCGAAGCAGCTGGACGCGGAGCAGGTTGCCCAGTGTGTGGTCCTCCTTGTTGACTGTGATGACTGCGGCGGACGGGTTGCGCGAGTCTCTCACGCACACAATCCTGTTTTTGAGCGAGCAACACGTTTTGGGTGCAGTCGCAGGAGAACGTCAGAGAGAACCAGAGAGGCCAGCAGCAGCACAAAGACAACGGGTTGTCGTGCAATCGTTTTCGCTGGAGGACTTGTCGGCCGATTGCCCCCCTGCTCCCTCATCTCACGGCCTTCCCTTCGCCTGCTGACGTTGTGCTAGTGGATGAATCCGACTTGGCTAGAACACAGCTGCCTCGCTGACTGCTTGCGACCGATTTCAGCCAAAGCTCACCAACCCTCAACTCTCAACCCCAACTCTCCCCTTCACAGATCGCGGTCAACAAGAATACATTGGCCACCGGTTTGCCTCACTTTCGCTCATCTGGACCAAGGACCATGGTCTCAAACGGGTCTGGCGCGTTCATGGTGAAAGTCTGATTTGTGGAGAGAGAGACTGAACATTGAAAAGCCCGAATTGAAAAAAAAAAAATCGAAATAAGAATTCCGCATTCGGCCAGAGTGATCGCTCTCTCTTCTCTTGTTGGCCTAACGATGGTACGCTTTTGCTCCGCCACACTGCGCCTCATCCACCGCCCAGACCGACGCCTGCCCGCGCTAATCCGATGAACAACATGACTCTGTGACGGATTCATGCGCGAGTGGGATGAGAACAACCAGCGGAGCGGGGTGGATGGGCGAGAGAAGCCGGGGTGTTTGAGTTTGAGTTGGTTTGGAGAAAAGTCGGCGACTGTTTTAGCGATTTGCGCTCAACGCCGCTGCTCTCTCAGCCTCCACCTCGCTTGCAGCAGAGGCTTTGGGGTCTTGTTGTCTTTTCCGCCTGGGTTGTGCAGTAGGCGGAGACGCTGCAGCAGAACTCTAGCTTTGAGACGGAAACAAAAAGTGCAAAACTTTTTTTTCTACTTTTTTTTTCGCTCTTCTTTTTGAGCCTTGTCACTCACCTCGCCTTCTACCCCCTTGTGCGTGTCTCCTCATACAGACTGCCCGCCTGAAGAAGAACCGTAAGAAGCGCGGCCACGTCTCGGCCGGTCACGGTCGTGTTGGTAAGTTTCGTCCCCATTCAACAAAATGGCGGTTTTTTTATTCTTTTTTTTGTTTGAAAGCATGCTTTTTCTCGATTTTTTCGGATTTGCTTTTTCCCCTCTTGTCCCTTCTGTTTTTTGCTCACCAATCTCTCTCTCTCCTCTTCCTCTTCCTCTCCACCTTGTGAATCCATCCAGGCAAGCACCGCAAGCACCCTAGCGGTCGTGGTAACGCCGGTGGCCAGCACCACCACCGAATCCTTTTCGACAAGTTCCATCCCGGTTATTTCGGCAAGGTCGGTATGCGCTACTTCCACCACACCACCAACAAGGAGCACAGCCCTCTTGTCAACCTTGACAAGCTCTGGAGCCTTGTCAGCGAGCAGACTCGTGACAAGTACCTCACTGGCAAGACTGACGGCCCCGCGCCCGTCATCGACGCTGTCCGTGCTGGTTACTACAAGGTCACTGGCAAGGGTCTCCTCCCCAAGCGTCCCGTTATTGTCCGTGCCAAGTTCTTCTCGCGTCGCGCTGAGGAGAAGATCAAGGAGGTCGGTGGTGCCTGCGTCGTTGTTGCTTAAAACAACAACACCTCTCTGCTCCTGGTCGTCGTTTTGATTGTTTATCGTTGTTCTATCTCGACGCCGAAAAAAGCCATGATGGACCTCTGTCTTGTCTCTCGACGCTGTTGTTCAATTGTTAAACAATGAAGATGGTTGCTTCTTTTTTTAAAAAAAAAAAAAATGTCGATTCGTTTCGTTGTAGTGTCAGAGTTTGGTGTGTGTGAATGACGAGCACGCCTCTGTTCGCTGGTTGTTGTACTTTGAAGAAGTGTGGTACGACTTTGCGTGAACACGAACTGGCACGTTAACTTTTGACTCAACCCGCGATTGCTCCAAAAGAGTACGATGAACGATGCATGTGTTCAATGTGAAATATTATATTTGAATAGATACAGTGGGGCAGGCAGATGCACAAGAGGCAGCGACTTACCGTTGAGTGCAGATTTCAAATCAGAAATGGCAAGCATCGTGACAGATTCTAAGAGACCAGATGAAATTCAAGATTCAAAGCAAGACTGGAGATGAGTGAAGAGCATATCGACAACAGAACCGATTGAGAGATCACGAGAAGAGGAAGAGTGACAAGGGAGAAGACAGATTGAGAAACAAGTCCTTCAGAGAGATTCCCATTATGCACGCTTCATTGCGGCCTCTTGGTCTTTTGCCATGAGGCAGTCATCGGCATTGGCCTTGGTAGGCACTTTTTTGGTTCATCAGCGGACGAAAGAGTTCAAGACAAACGACAAAAAGCAGGAGAGGAAAGGAAAAGGAAAAGGAAAAGGAGATCTGATGCAAAAAAGCACATGGCAAAGGAGCGACCAACCTTGCGTTCAATGCGGTTCGTCTGTGGGGGGGTCTGGGCGATTGGAAGGACCGATGCTTGATACCACATGTGGGATTGCGTTCCATTGGAGGGCGGGAACACGGGCGGGAGGGGGGGGGGCAGCCAGCAACGATCCGAGCAAAGAGCAAACCGCGTGGCCAAGCTCACCCTCGCTCCGTCGCGTGTGCAATCCAAGGCGACATGGCGGTGATGGAAGCAACGAGGGGCGGAACGGAGTGGCTTTCTGTGCCTTGGGTGGTAGAATGAAGGACTAGAGCGGCATTCGAGAGACTGGCAAAAAAAAAAAAAAAGACAAAGCCGTTTCTCAATGCAAAAGCAGCGAAAAAAAAAAACTGAACCAAAACCCCATTTAAGTTGATACCAAATCATGAGCTCCTGTTCACCTTCGAGGTAACAGTTGCAACACGGTATTTTATTGACTATTCCTTTTGATTCAGAGCTTCAGCGCAGTCGCGAATTCTTCCAGCAGCAGCAGCAACATCGTTGAGGCAACATGCTGTGGCTGATTGTGGCGCTGTCGTTCGCATCGACCTGGTTTGGCGTGCGGCTCTTGCACTTGGGTCTGATTGCCGCCTTCCCAAACATTCTCGTGCGACGGGACGGCCGTGGCAATCGTGTCGGGAGTGGGTGTGCTTCAGCGTCATCAAACGAGCTGACCCACTTGATTCCCGCCAACAGCGCGACGGCTGCATCCGACGCCGTTGCAGCGCCTTCGTCCAGTCAGTTTGTGGGATCCCAACAGCACCAGCAGCAGGGAACGCCGCGCAAGCAGCCGGATGGCTCTGGCATTGTCCGAGTGCTCTGGTGTGAAAGATCGCCTTCGCTTGCTCGTCTCGCTCTCGCCAGCACATTGGTAGGTGAACACGACCTCCACTCAAAGTTCAATCATTTGGTCTTGTCGTTGCTGCTTTGATCAGCCGTTTGATCCGGTGTAAGGGTCGATGGTCTGACTCTTTTGCAACCGTCCGTTCCCCATCGCTATGCCGTGCAATTTTAGGTGACGAATGGGACGGCAGCCAGATTGTCGCTCACTGTCGTACCGCCGCCCTCCGAACGCCAAGCGGATGCTAGTCTGGCAGCAAGCAGCACCACTGCTCTTCATGCTGCTCCGGGAGTGGCAGACGTTGAGCTGCAGTGCCTGTCGTGGACGGCGGTGAGCTTGGTGCGGACATTCCTCGCTGGTTGTCTGCATAGCGTTCTCTCAGTCGTCCACCGAGCACCGAGCACCACTCCAGCGACCCATACTACGACGCGTACTACTACGACTACTACTCCTCCTTCTACAACGAATGCCACGACGAATCAAGATTTGCCTGCAAGAGACTCGGCGACAACTCGAAAACTTGCCAAGTGGATGTCAACGTCCCATACCGCGATTGCCGTGTCAAGAGCATCGTACTGGAGCCGGCTTTGGTTGTGGCTTTGGAGCACGCTCATCTCGGCAACGTCCAACCCATTCGTTCAGTTTGCCGACGCGCTTCAGGCCAAGGCAGACGCCGAAGAGCTCCACAAGGACGCCAACAAGCTCATGGCCGACATTTCCCCAGTGCTCCTGGTCGGCCTATCCTCGTCCAATGAAGCTGTCGCCTCGGCTGCAGCATTGCAAGCCATCGTTGACGCCGCGGTTGCCTCTTGCAGCGAGTTGATTTTTGTTCCAGTCTCAATCTTGCTGAACGATAACAGTCAGGTAAGGCAGAGAAAGAGAGAGAGATCTGGATTTGTTCTTGCTCTGTGTGCCCCTTTCTTTCTTTCTTTTGATGTGAGTGTCGTCTCATGCACTGGTCCGATTCAGACTCGCACGGTGGCTGTGGTCACGGCACACGAGCCGTTTGTGGTTCCCGCACCAACAGCCGTCTCAGCCTCGCTCATCGCTTCGATCGAAAAGCAAATTGCAACGTCGCTGGCCACGGGTAGCCCCGTCCCGCCTCCGAAAGCCGTTCCAGCGCAGCTCGGATATGTGACTGCGCGTCTTGCGATTCCTCGTGGCGTGCAGTGCACGTTCACCCAACGACTCACCGCCCAGTCGCACGCAGCCTTGGCTCTTGCTTGGCTCTCCTCGAGCGGCAACACGGAACAGCGCAATCAGCTGTCGGCATTGATTGCTCGGATTCGCCGCTACGCCGATGCTGTGCGCGGCGCATACGAAACGGATGTCGTACTCCGGCGATTTGTGTGAGTTTGATCAATAACATCGAGACTTGTTTGAAATTTCTTTTGTGCTTGAAACTCAACTCATCATGTTGTGTGGGTGGCGCCTCCTTGGTCGCAGACCTGCATCGCCTGTTGCACGATCGCCCCTTGCACGTTTGCCTGGGGCAATCCTTCGCATTGTCTACCTCGCTGGCCTGATTGCCTTCTGCCGGATGCTCACACTTCCAGTCTACTGCGGGTTTAACGCTCTGCATGCAGTTGTCCGCCGACGCCTTGCCGAGACGCACGATCGCGCGTTCGTCACGCACATCATCACCATCTCGGCCACCTATCTGATTGTGTCTGTAGGCGTCCTGACGTCGTCCTTGGGTCTGATCTTTGACATTCGCGAACTGCGAATGCCATTCCTCCAATCCTCGACCGATCAGCACAGCTCCGCCATGCTGGCCGTGTCTACCATGGTATCCGTGGCTGTGCTTGTCATGCTGGTGCCCGCTTACATTTTTGCGTGCAGAGTGTGGCTGCTGGCGTCCGCCGCGTGGCAGGTCTTGCAGGCGAATGTGCGGCACTTGCCCTCCGAGCAACAGGCCACACTGCGTCGGCTCGCTTTGGAACGCGACCAGCTCACGAACGAGCTGTTGACCATTGTGCAATCTTGGCAGCAACAACAAGAGCGGTTAAAGTGGCCATCACCATCATCGCGGCCTGTGACCGTCTTTGAAATTGATGAAACCGACTTTGCCGAGCCTCAGCCTTCTCCTCTCAGCTCGATGTGTGCTCCCCGTGATGATGGCGCAGGCCTGTCAGCTGCCGAAAAGCGATACTGCGCCTGCCTCACGTGCCTACCTCCTCCTTTCAGCCTCACCGTTCCGTCAGTTCATTCTGCAGCTCAGTCGTTTTTGCAGTTTACCGTCAATCCTGCCTATCTGTTCCACCTTTACTTGCCTCCAATGACGCAAATTCCGGTGCTGTCCAATCGGTAATTCTCCATGGGATGGGATGTTTTTTTTGTTTTGTTTTGTTTTGTTTTTGTTGTGCAGCATGCGGCGCGTCGGGCGAATTGCACTCACACATTTTTCTGTTCGTTCACTTCTATTCCACCTCAGTGCCTACTCGCATGGCTCGTTCTTTGGCGCCACTCCTGGCCTGCTTGCAGATGAAACTTGGAGACGCATTCTCGCACGATTGATGCCTGACGTGCATGAACACGTTGTTGGCATTATGCGAAAAGCTGCTTCCGTGGCCGAGTCGCGAGCGCTCAGCGAGCAGCATGACTTTGTCCTGTCGAATGGCGCATTTGGGTGGACACGACTGACGCCGCCGAGCTTTACGCTCGTGTCGCTCTTCCGACTTGCGCTGTCAACCCCGCGAGCCGTCTTCCGTGCAAGTCAGCAGTTGGGTGTGCTTGTCCATGAGGCGTGGTACCGCGTTCGCAATCCCGTCATCTACAGCGGCAACGGCGCATCGCGCTCCCCGTCCTCCTCGTTTTCGGTCGCAGCAAGCTCCGTATCGCCGACCACGTCGAGCACATCACTCCAAACCCTCGCAGGTGCTGCACCTACCAGCCTACCCAACAAGATTGATCTGGAACACACCTTTTCGCGCCTCGCAGGTCTGCGTGCCCACCGATCCCCGCTTCTACTGCATGGCTCGCACATCACATCGGCGCTCATCAATTCCATGGAGAATAACCCCGTCGTGGCTGCATTTGGTGCGCTCAAACACGTGGAATATTGCCTTCAACATGGCCTGCCAATCCACCCGCTCGTGTTTGAGTGGGACATTTTCCTGTCCCCGAAACTGCTCAGCAAGTGGCGGCGCTTGTACAAGACGCAGTCGCAAGTGCAGTCTGCCGCTTCGAGCAATCCATCTTGCATTCCTTCCCCAGCACACGCGCGGTCGGGAGAGTCTGGACCTGCAACTGTGGCAGCTGGAGTTCAAGACACCCACACTGGCGGCGGCTTCGATCCTGCCTCCTCCGTAGTGGCCCCTGTGGCAAGCTCGGCTTCGGCGGATATTGCAGTGCACGAGGTGTCTGTCGGGCAAGTTCCATTGAGTCTGAGTCCCGCTCCAAGTCCCATGCGGCCGTTCGCGTCTGGTGGTGCTCAGCCCATCCCGTCCGCCCAGTTGGATGGGTTTGCCCTCGATGCCGCTGCCGCGCCAGCGTTGCTCGATCCAGTTGGAGCGGCCACAGATTTCGAGGCAGTGCTCGAGACAGCCATCGCCCACGGCAATGTCGTTCAGTCCCTGCTTGAGCTCGTGGGCTACCCGCAGTATGAAAACGTTCTGCGTGCACCCAAGACCTCGATGGGAGGTGTGTCGGCGAAAGAGTGGCTCGTCTTGTTTGCCGAGGCGCTCAGGCTGGCGCAGGTGATTGTGGCGCCGCCCGGCAAAGCGTCAGCACCAGCACCAGTACCAGTACCAGCACCAGCAGACGAGAATGCAAGCACTGCTAGTGATCCCATGTCCGTGGCTACTGCTCTGCGCATCATCCACGATTTGTCCCAGGGCAAGCTGCGTGGAAGAGCGCCCAGAGGTCGTGTCGCCGCCCTAGATCGTGCTGGTCAAGGCTCCAACCCGTGGGTCCAGTCGACCTCCTCCATCCCGTTGTCCATTGCTCTCGACATCAAGTCCCGCGGATTGACGCCTCAAATGGTCTGCGACTATGTGCGATCCCTCAATCAGATTGGCATTCACGTCGCCGCGGTCGGCTCGTTCAACGCAAAAGAGATTGAAGGTGTCGGGCGAACATTGGGTCGACAGCATGTTCGAGTGCCCGTTTCAGACACGGAGTCGCACTTGACAGAGACCCCGCCGCCTCTGGATGTCATCTTTTACCATTTTGTCGGCAACGTTCAAGAGGCGTGCCTCACAGGGCGCCTGAAACGTGGCGATCACGCCCTGTTCAACGGCGGCTCCTTGCTGCGCCACAACCCCTTCCCCGCTCTGGAGCGTCCCTTCACGAGCAGCAGCTCTTCCTATGGACAAATGCCCAACAGCCATGCCGACATGCCATTTGACGCGCGAATGGCCGAGTACGACCACCTGAACTTTGTGCCCGACCTTGCCGTGATTGACGGACTGCGCGCTCTCAAGGCTCAGGTTGCTATTCACCTGGGCATGTACATTCAAGAGACGGTGGCGCACCACGACGCCATTGCCGCGCTTGTTTTGTTGTGCAACAAGGAGCCTGCGCTCTTTGATCTCGGGTTTGCGTTTGGCGGTCTTGATGACTCGGCTGCTGGAAACATTCTCACGGGCGGCACTTTTGCAACCGTGACTGCAGCTGTGAGTCGCGCCTTGTCCCGCTCTTCGTCGTTTGCAGGCCGTGGACCCGCCGGCGCTCCCTATTCACCGGCACAGAGTGTCCGCAACTCGATGATCAGCACTGGCTCGGACCAGTTGCGGCACGACCGACCACGATCTGGCACGTTTGATGCCGGATTGACTGCTTCTGGGGCACCGCAGCGGTCTCACTTGGATCGCTCGCGCTCTGCCTCGTCATCTGCCTCGTATTCTCAAGATTCATCGAGTACCAGCTTGAGTCCTAGTTCAAGCGGTAGTGCGAGCACCAGCAGCGCCAGCAGCAGCGCGAGTGCCGCTGACGCCACAGCGATGGGAACTGGCAAGCAATCCCTGCTTGGCAAGCCGTGGAAGCTGACCCAGTAGAGCCTCTTGCGTGCGGCATCTTTTGGGGTCCTTTTTCTCGTTATCGTTCTCGGTCGTTTGTTTCAATTCTCAGCAAGTCAGATTTTTTGTTGTTTTCGTTTGTTTTTCGGTTTTTGCTGTTTTGTTTTGTTGTTTGTTTGTTTGTTTGTTTGTTTGTTTGTTTGTTTGTTTGTTTGTTTGTTTGTTTGTTTTTTGTTTGTTTTTCTTGTGTGAATTTTACCATTGTTCGAGTCTAATGTTCAGCATTTCATGTCAATGCTTTGACATTTTTGTTGCTTTTTTTGGTGCCAAAATAGCAAGCAAAAAGAATAGCAGGAGCAAGCCCGCTAGATCTTTGCTTGGCATGAAAGTCAGCGGCCAAAAGCACATTGTCCGTCTTGAGATCCAAGTGGAACAGCGGCTGACGCGGAATGGCAGTCTGCACAAAGTTCATAGCGTTTGCAATATCAGTCGCAATGTTTCGGCGTTGAACCCAATTCAATCTGAATAATTTGGAAAAGCAGAACCAGAAAAACAGAGTGAATCGAGTGATGGTTGCTTGGGTGAATATTCCGAAAAGTAAAACCGAATTGCCAACTTTCAATAGGCCGGCATCCAGCAATATGAACAGAATCAACAAAACACTAAAATTCTCAGACATGGATGACGCAGTCCCTGTTTTTTGTTTTCGTTCAATTCTTGCTTTGATACAATTTATCTTGCTGTGAGGATGGATAGCACCAGTGCCGCTACAAAGACAATCACACGCGCCGAGTGGCAGACGATGCTCGACTCGGTGTCTGTCAGCAAGAGCAGCCTGAATCGCTTGGTGATGAACTACCTGGTCATTGAAGGGTACAAGGACGCCGCCGAGCGCTTTGCCTCCGAGTGCGGCGAGACCCCGACGGTCGACCTGTCCAGCATTGAGGACCGCATGTGCATCAGAACCGCAGTGCAGCGGGGCGCCATTGAGGAGGCGATCGAGCTCGTGAACGACCTCAACCCGGACATTCTGGATACAAACCCAAAGCTGTGCTTCCAGCTGCAGCTCCAGCGGCTGATTGAGCTCATCCGCGCTGGCCAGATTGACGAGGCGCTTGCGTTTGCCCAGAGCGAGCTCGCCCCGCGCGGTGAGGAGCAGCCGCAGTTCTTGGAGGAGCTCGAGAAGGCGCTCGCGTTGCTGGCGTTCGACAACCAGCGCACGTCGCCCGTCGGACACTTGCTCGACCTCGCACAGAGACAGAAGACGGCGAGTGCGCTCAACGCTGCCATCCTGGCGAGCCAGAACCAGGAACGCGACCCGAAGCTGCCAAGCTTGCTCAAAATGCTCGCCTGGGCGCAGACACAGCTGGATGACCGGACAAAGTACCCCCGCATTAACGACGTTGTGACGGGTGCACTGCAAGATCCAGAAGAGTCTGCCACGTCCGGATCTTCTGCTTCGGGCTCGGGCGCCGCGGGCACATCGAATGGCTCGGTTCCGATGCGAATCTAATCTCTCTTCTTTGATCCAACTTAACGTTGGTTTGGACTGTCGTGATTGGAAGGCGCATCTTCCTGAAAAAAAATGTGACAGCGGCCTTGTTTTCGTTGGTTGGGGTGATGGTGTGTTTTATTTTCGATTTGTTTCGGTGCTTGTTGTGTACAATAGAGGTTTTTTTCCGAGTTGCCACCTTTGGTGCTTCCCTCTCTGGCTGCCTCACTTGTCAGCCCGTCGCGCATCAAGCGCACCACCAGGAAGCTTGATATCCATCCCTTCGAGCGCTTTGGTGATGATCACTTGGCATCCAAGTCTCGATCTGCGCACACGCAAAGTCAAGTCATACAACAAGAATGAGTGAGCCAATAAAAAACACACACACAAAGCGATGTGATTAGGGCATTCCCGGTCGCCAATGGTGCTATGAATGCTGCGTATGTGGTCGGAAAAGAGTACTGACGTGTTGGTGAGCCCAAACGCCAGATCGAGCATGTCGTTCTCCTCGTCCTCGGGCTCGGGAAGAAGCTGGTAGTATTGTTTTGGCAGGACAACATGACAGGTTGAGCAAGCAAGCGTGCCTTCGCATGCACCTATCGAAGGAACGAAGGGACGCACGACGGGACGGCGGCGGTGAATGAACAATCCAGCCTCCAGAAGACACGAACAAAACAAAAGCAAAACCACCTGACATGGACATGGACACTTGCAGAGGCATCGAGAGACGTACCTTCGAGATCAATGTTATTGGCATGCGCGAGATCCAGAATATTGTCGCCAACACTGGCCTTGACTGCAATGATTTCGTTGTGCTCGGTGATGAAGCGAACATTGACCCTGCGCAAAAAAAAAAAAAAAAAAACGAGAAGAGTCGATCGTTGAGCTCAAAACACCGTCCATCACAGGCATCGTCGTCTCATAGAGCAAATGATGATCGTCCATTGCAACACATTTGACTGTGGCCGTACTTGTCTGAGGCTGCCGCTGTGGACTGTGCCCGCGCACTGCTCAGAGCGCCAGTCAGTCCACCGGCCAGCACTCGCTCTGCGGCATTGCTTGAGACTGCAGCAGCAGTGATTGTCTGTCGTGCGCTGGGGTGGCTGGATCCGCTCGGTGTGAGATGTCTTGGCTTGAGCAGGTGGATGCGTCGCACGTGCAGCAGCGGAGCGCATCTCAAAGCAAGAGCGGATGCCGGTGATGAGAATGACGATGATGGGGATGATGACAGTGCTTCCATCACTGTCGAGGATGAGATGGTCGACTTGGACGCAGAATGGACGAGCGACTGGCTCAGGCGGCCACTGGCGAGCGCGAAACGAGCTTGCATGATTTGGAAGACTGGCTTCCCGGCGAATTTTGGTGTGTTGTTCGCATTGAAACTTTGGACATGTAATGCTCTGTGTTGGAATTGTCTGGGGGCACTTTTAGCCTGGCGAGTGTGCTCTCGGTGTTGGTGAAATCATCATGAACAATCCGCGCCAGACGCCTTTGTTTGGGTCGCCCCCCAAGAGTGCTTCTGGCGACATGGTCGTCGGCTTTCGTGCAAGGTTGTTGCAAATATAACTTGCTAAACACTAGACTTTGTCGCGGCTGAGCAACGTGTCGTGATGAGTGGTTATCGCTGGCTTTCTGGTTGGCAAGCCTTCGGACCCTCAGAACTCGATCCACTTCTCATTGGTTGTCGTCCTTTCACAATAATACTGTATACTGGTGTTGCTAAGATAGTTTGTGACTGTAATAACGAAGCAGAGTCGGCGAATTCTGGTTGTGCCATTTGGCCGAGAAATTCATTGGTTTTGAATCTTTTTTGTTGCTGAACTGAAATTTTGTGCTTTGGATTTTGTTGACAGACCCTCAAACTTGCAAATGGCGATTATCGATGAATTTACAGTCGCCAATACATACTACATCGTATGTCTATGAGCACCGCATCGAGACACCGAATTTATGCAAAGCACTGACGACGTTCTTGACGAATGAATTGGCCGGTCGCGACGGACTTTCACACCACTGCAAACACCCTTCAGATCCGTTCAGCTCTCATTACCACTGTCGTAACACTGATACACTGATACTTCGCTTGATTAAGCATGCCACGATGCTCAGTCTGCCATTGCTCGAATCCCACCGAAAATCATGATGACATTGCCAAGACTCCAGCAGCACATGCGATCAGGCTACTCGACCGCACACTCGCTCGTCAGAGCATCGCATCGAGATTTCGCATCCACATCCAGCCCTCAGCGGGCAGCCGCAGCGAGCGAGCACGCGACGCCGGCGTCGTTCATCGTGGCGAACGCTCAGCCAAGGATTGTGTCGGGAATCCAGCCAACTGGCGGCGTCCCGCACCTTGGAAACTATCTGGGTGCGATCAAGAGCTGGGTGCAGCTGCAGGATCCAGCCATCCAGGCGCAACGCATGCGCGGCTCAACCTCAGATGGCCAACGTTCCGAGCCGAGTGGTTCAGCCAGTCACTCTGTCAGCGCAGTCTCGTCCCAGCCAAGCAATCCAAGCAATAGTGCTGTGGATGTGCTCTACATGATTGTCGATCTTCACGCCCTCACCGTCGCGCCCGAGAAGGCAGTGCTTCGGCGAAACATTACCGACATGACCATCGCGCTTCTCGCGTGCGGCATCAACCCTGCCAAATCTGTGCTTTTCCAGCAATCAAAGGTAACAGCAAACATGCCAGAGTCTGGAGGTGGAAAGTTGCCACTGGGCTGAAGTGGAACTTGCAGTTTGCAGTACCTTCCAACCAAAATTCGAGCGAATGTTTTCATTGTTTTCAGGTATCTGGCCATTCAGAGTTGATGTGGCTGCTGGGATGCATCACGTCCAATTCCTGGCTGTCTCGTATGACACAGTGGAAGGTATAGTCGAGTGCGAGTGCTTGTGTGAACGACACATCGAACGCCAGAGAGAAATTTTAGTTCTGACAACCTCCGGTTGTGTATTCAGGCCAAAAAGCAGCAACTGCTCGCTTCCAAGTCACTCGACAAGCACGACTGGGGTCTTTACTCGTATCCCATTCTAATGGCAGCGGACGTGCTGCTCTATCGGCAAGATAAAAGTCGCTTGTTTGTTGGACCTCAAATCTCGAGAGAGGGCATTTGCTCACAAAAGCCTCTCATCCACTGCTCTTGAACACAGAGGCACACACGTGCCAGTAGGCGACGACCAGCAGCAACATCTCGAACTCGCATCAACCCTCGCAAACACCTTTAATCATGTTCACAAGTCCGCCTTCTTCCCGGCGCCTGTTCCCATGTACAGTACGTAGCAAACCGCCGAGTCTCAGTTTTTCTCAACATTCCACCGAGCTCATACTGACTGCCTGTGCTATTGTCGCAAATCGCAGATGACGCAAAGCGCATCATGAACCTCCGCAACCCCGTCAACAAGATGAGCAAGTCGGATGTGTCTGACGCGAGCCGCATCAACCTGACAGATTCGGACGACGACATTCGCAGCAAGCTCCGTCGAGCCTTGACAGACACGAACGAAAACAGCATTACCTTCGATCCCGAAAATCGGCCAGGTGTCGCAAACCTTCTCAGCATTGCAGCCGCCATCCGAGGCGAGACTCCGCAGTCCATGGCCGAGCACTACACCAAGTCCAACCTCAACATGCGGGGGTTGAAAGACGCAGTCATGGAGCTTGTCATTGCTGAAGTCAAGCCGATTCGAGAGAAAATCGCAGAGTTGCAAGCTGACGAGAAAGCCGTCCATCGCATTCTCGAAGAGGGTTCTCATCGTGCCAACGAGATGAGTCGAGGAACGCTCCAGGAGGTTCGCAAACTGGTTGGTCTTGATTTGTGAGCGCAGTAAACTTGACCAAACAAACAAACAAACAAACAAACAAAACAACTACAAAAACCCCCAATCAAAAACACAACTGTGGAAGGCAGCCACAAAAACACAACGCAGATGTACATTTATAAAAATCACATGACACAGAACGAAAAGAACAAGGCACAGATAGGGAGAAAATTTCAGCGATGGCGGGGGAGTCCAGCAAGTCCGCTTAAGATTCTTCTCTACACAGATTTTGACTACCTATTTAAAGATCTGCGCGAACACCAAAGCCGGGACCTGTTGGCTTCTCCTTGAGCGTTGTCAGGCCATCGACAGGCTCGCACGACTTGCGCAGCTTGCCAGTAGCGGGATCCTTTTGTGGGCCGGGCTTTGGCCGATCGCCTCGGCGGAATCCATCGAGAATTTGTTCGGTGGTCTCTGGAGTGAGGTCCTCCTGTGTGGCGACAATGGGAGCGTGAAGAACGACGGCAACAGGAGCACAAGCAAAGTCAGAGGTTGATTGGAACTCAAAACACATGATATGCAAGATGCAATGACATACATAGAAATCGTCGTTGATCTGGATCATGGGCGCGTTGACGCAGGCACCAAGGCACTCGACCTCGGTGAAGGTGAACAGACCGTCGCTAGTAGTGCCGCCAGGGTGGACGCCGAGGTTCTTCTGGACGGCCTTCATGATCTTGTCCGAGCCGCAGCCGCCCAGCAAGCAAGGGGTCGTTGTGCACACTTGGACGTGGTACTTGCCGATCTTCTCTCTGTGAGCGGTTCCAAAGGGGGCAGGGGTTGGTGGCCAAAGTGAGTGAGAGACAGAATGAGAGATTGAGAAAGAGCTCGACGGGGCTGTTCCTTCCAGTCCAAATGTCCCAAGCCACACACACATCCACGTTGATCACATCCACCAATGCATCTCATGCTTGTCCTCATCTCTGCATTGCTCTTCCATCTCGCTCGGTTCGTTCAAAGTGAGCTTTGCTTTTGCGATCTCGCTCTTTTTCGTCCCTGTTCGTCTTCTTCTACCTCTTTGACTCCACTCACAGTCAGTCAACACTACACCCTCTGATAGACTGTGGTCTTGCCTTTCTGGAGTGTATGTCCTCTGTCCGCCCATCCTCCTTTCCCCTCTCTCTTGCTGATCGAATCTTCAAGCCAAAACTTTTTTTTTTTTTTTTTTTTTTTTTTGTATGGGAGTTGCATTACCGATTGAACATGGTGTAGAAGGAGGCCGTCTCGTAGACGCGGATGGGGGCCATGTCGAGCATCTTGGCGACCGTGTTCATGGCTGAGAGGGGGAGCCAGCCGTGCTGTCGCTGGGCCAGATCGAGCAGCGGGATGGTCGCTGCAGCCTGGTGCTTTGGCGGGTAGATGGCAATGATCGAGGCAGCACGCGTGAGGTTTTCAGCGGTGAACTCGAACGGCTCGTCCTTGTACACGCCGGCATCGCGGTGCACAAACAGCTTGTCGGACATCAGGCGCCGTGGCTGCTGCTGCTGCTGCGAGGCCGAGGTGCTGGGCGTGCGCACAGCCAGGCGCACCGAAGCGCGCGAAACGAGCGAGGCAAGCATGGTTTGTGCTCAGAAAAATAGCAAGAAAAAACAAAGAGTGAAGAAGGAAGGTGTGCTTGGTATTTCCACAACAACATCAAGACATGAAAAATAATTCACTAGCCACAGTTAAAAAAAAAAGCGATAGTAACATTGCTGCGGGGGAATTGGGCATCGTTTTGGATTGAACATCAAGAACTAACTCGGCTGGTGGAAACGACGCAGTGACGCGCTGAAACCGGCGCTTGCTGCTCATAATCAGAGCTTGGTTCAAGCGCACCAATTCGGAGGCACACGCGGAGGAGGTTCTCGTCAGAGAGGCACAGCGGAGGAAGTTCAATCTTGATTCACCAACTCCATCAGAACGTCACTATGACAGGCAAGGGGATGGCACCTGCAGTGGATCATTCACACACACATTGCACAAAACGAGATGCGTGAGTACTGACTGTTGCTCGTTTCCACAGAAGCCTTTCCATTTCCTGCAGAAAACCACGTTCTTACCAACATCCGAGGTTCTTGCCTCGTAACTCGGCTTTCGCGAGTTCGAGAAGACCAGGAGTGGTCAGCAAGTGCTCTCGATACATTTCGATGCGTCTCGCCCTCTCACCCTCGTGGTTGACCTTAAACGGATTGCCGAACGGGGTGTGCGGCGTCACGTAGGTCTTGCGACCGACGTACGCGTTGCTCGGATCTGCCAACCAGGTTTCGATCGTTGGGTACGTTGCTGTGCCAATCGTGCCCATGCCCCGCTTGAGATTTACAATCTGGAGCTTTTTGGTGGTAGTTGGCGACGCAGAAGGAGAGGCAGAGGAGCTAGCCAGAGTGGCGTTGTTCCCGCTCGAAGAAGCCGCCGCGGCAGATGTGCTTGCCGTCGCTGCGTTAGTAGTGGCGGGAGATGAGGTCAGGGCATCTCGCGAATTTTTCTGCGGCGCTGCAGAAGGCTGCTGGTGTTCCTTGGGCGCTGGCGGCGTTGATTGTGAAGCACCAACAATCTGAGCAAACGACTTGGGTGAAGACCAAGCACCTGCCGTTCGCTGTGGAGCTGTTGCGGACGAAGATGTTTGCGCTGCAACAGGCAATACAGGTGCAGCTGCAGGATGTGCTGGCGCAGGAGCAGCCGCAACAGCTGGTGGATTCACCGCTGCCGCTGGTGAATTCACCGCTGCCGCTGGAGGATTGGCGGGGCGGTTCTGAGAACGAGGTTTTCGTGATACTTGCATGGCTGAGGACGTCTGAGCTGTAATTCTTCTGTCTTGGCGACGAGCTTTCAGTGCTGAAGAGTTGACAATGTATAAAATAATAACAAAAGGTGGACTGCGTTGTCTGATTTCTGAATCTTGGATTATGAAAAGGGCAATGTTACGTCACAGACCATTGATGAGGTCATCTCGCGTGCTTTTCGAACCCGGTCAGCCGCTTGGTACTCTTTGATTCTCGAATAAGACTGACACACAATAGCATACTGCTTTGTTCGGAACGAACTTTCATGGCTGATTGATTGCCGAAGGAAATGAATATGAAAATGGAAATGGAAATGGAAATGGCAGTCTGACTTTTATGTTTTTGTATGGCAGTCCCACTGAAGTTGGATGCGAAACGACCAACGAGCGCCCGAATGTGACCGAATGCAACCCACTGCAGATTTTCAAGATGCGTTCGAGCTTGACTGGATTGCCGGCGTCTTGGACTCGACCAAGTGGATAGGCGAGCGCAGGAGTCGTTGAAGCGAGGCGATCTCTGCCTTTTCCTCGCGCAGCACAGCACAGCACAGCACGAGCAGCCAACAAGACCAAGCCACTACTACGACAAGTTTATGACAAGGTTGCGATTCGCTTCAGAGCATTGCAGACTGGCTGACTGACGGACTGCTGAAGCCGTTGATCCGACCGCATGGCAAAAGCACATGGTAAAGAAGGCTCTCCCCCCCTTCGCCCGCTTCCCCCCCCCCACTTGCCGACAATCCCAAACATACAACCTCCTATTTCTGCTTGCAAGCTGTTCAAATTGCCGTGGGCTGAACTTGCCAATTTCGGGAGGGAAACGAAAACTTTTTTAGTAGCGATGCGCCTGGACGAATGGTCGTCGGGAGCCTGCCTTGAACAGCGGGTCTCTCACATATCGAATTGTGGCTGCGCGAGTACGATAATCTACTCCTTCGCGGAGCTCCTCCGGAATGGAGGCGGCCTGCCATCGCACATTCAACCACTCTTTTATTCCATCGATTTCGAGCTTTTCGAGCTTTATCTTTGTGCTTTTTCGTCTCACTTTCTGTTTGCATTTTGGAATCTCGCTTCTGTTGGTTCTTGGTTGCATGCTCTCTACTGGATAGGTCTTCGGAGGGTTCTTGCGGCGCCAGATTTTGAGCCAGCGATCGAGATTGACCGGTAAGTTGCCGGTTTGAGGGCTCGACCTCGCCCCACACACTTTTTCGCTGCTACTCTGCAGTGTATATGTACTACGGCGACAAACGTCCAACGTGTATGATGGCGAACGTTTTGTCATATCAATATAGTACACGATTTGTTTTCTCTTCATCGCTCTTTTGGTTCCAGTTTCTGACCCTCATTGTTTTCCCACATCTGACGCTATCAAAGTGTGACATGGTTGCGGTGACAATCCTTTGTGATGACTTGGTAAACATCAACGACACGCCACTGCAGTTGCTGGAAAAACAATCCCCGAATCACATCGCCAAAAACACGATCGGATTTGAACAACCTGCGACGACTACTCTTGCGCGTGCTTGACTTGGGTAAAGACTCGGTCGCACAGAGCAACACCGCCACGGAGAATGCCGGCAAGGGCCACAAAGACAAACGAGTTGAAGGCAATGTGCTGGGCAATGTGGGTAAAGTCGTTTTGGAAGGGGTAGGGCCAGACGCCGTCGTTGCGCTGAACGCAGTAGACCGACCAGGCAAGGTAGAAGACGGCATATCCGACGCAGTGGTAGACATGCGAGCGGAACAAGAGCTTGTGTCCAGCGCGCGAATGCACATAGACGTCGGCCAGGGCAATCAGCGGCGGCAGGCCGTGCATCAGGTGCATGATGGTGTCAAAGTGGGGCACCTCGGCGGCACGGGCACGGACGAGCGGCGACCAGTGCACCAGCGCATAGTAGCCAATGCCAATGAACATGCCCAGGGTGAACGCGAGCCCGCGGAAGTGGCGCGAGACAAACTTGGCGAGTCCGTCGAGATGGAAGACGGCGGCGATCAGCAGCACAATGTTGTACACACACATGATGTGGCACGACTGGGCAGTCAGGAAGACCATTCCGTACGGGTTGAACTTGAGTCTGCCGTTGACGGGCGGCAGGTAGTAGTGGAACCACGGGATGATGACCACCCAGATCAGCGCCAGGGCCAAGCGCGGTCCGACGGGCGTCTGGCCGCCCTCCGAGTCAAACAGCGGCTTGGGGCTGTGCTTGGCATGGCTGCGCGCGGCGACGGCGGTCTGCGCTGCGGGGTTGCGCGTTGTTTCCGGCATGTTCTGGCCTTGGGAATTGGAGCAGCAGATAAGTCAAAAACAAGAACTGAGATTGCCAAGCCAAGATTTTGGATGGTGGGTACAAGTGTCATTGCGTTTCGTAGTATTACAGTGACTATCATGAGAGTGTTGCTTCTGTTGTCGGTGTTCGATTCGATTTGCACTGACGAACGATGGTCAGAGACTTTGCCGGTTTGAAGCTCAGTTTCAAGTCAATCTACAGTACAGTAGACGCGCGTGCCCTGCCAATGAGCAGTGTGCATGTTATGCATTGTGTGCAGCATCCCATTTGGAAATCTAGTCCATTCACAGTCACTTCTATCACTCTTCAATTCAATCATGATGGACGACGACGATCTTCCATCGAGTGGCATTGGCCGCAGTGGCGCCAGCAGCAGCACCGGCAGCAGCAGCGGCAGCGGTGCCAGTCGCTCCAAAGACAAGCATCAGAAGGCCAAGCGCACGGTGAGAAAGTTCATCGAGAGAGAGAGACTGAATGAGTGAGCGAGTGTAGAGATTGACTGGGTTGACATTGAAAAAAAAAAAAAAAAAAACAAAGGGATCGCAAACATTTTGCATTGACCGAGTCGAACGAGGGCTGCTGAGGGCTGCTGGGAGGGGGGGGGGGGGCGGGGGCGAATGGTGGATGCTCTGAGGGAAGCAGAGAGAAAGAGAGAGAGAGAAAGACACACGCTCTCTCTCTTCTATGCTATGCTCGAGAGAGAGAGAGGCGCAAGTGGAACTCATCTGCGCTTCGTTGCATTGCGCGTGCTGCTGTAGGACGACCGACGCCGTGCTGCTGCTGCGGACGACGACGACGAAGGCAATGACAATGACAACGACGACGACGAGGAAGGCGAGGATGAAGACGATGACGACGACGAAGGCGACGACGACGACGACGACGACGACGATGAGGACGATGAGGACGACGACGACGACAACGATCGCAGCAGAGGCAAGAAGCGCCACAAGAGCTCTACGTCGGGCTCGCGCAAGCGTCGTAAGGGTGGCGCAAGCAACTTCGTCTTGGAGGAAGCCGAGGTCGGCGACGAGGACGAAGAGGACGAGGACGACACAATTTCAGGTACACTGCACAGTCGCACCATTTGATGCTTTGTCGTGCGTGGCATGCATGGTAGAGCCAACTCACATCTGAGGGGGAAAAAAAACCTGCACTTGTACCCACAGCTGCCGATCGCATGAAGGGCGCAGCCGAAAGCATTCCCCTCACGAGCCGTGCGCGCGACAATCAGCGTGATGTGCTCGCACGCATTGAAGCTACGGCGCGCTTGGAAGAAGAGACCGCTGCCAAGCGTGCAGCAGAGCTCGAGCGACGCCGCGCTCTCGGCGAGAACATTGAAGAGGATGAGCGCATGTTTGCCGAAGAGGATGAGGAGCAGGAAGACGAATAGTGAGGACGCATTTTTGCTTTCATGTTGGAATTGATGAAGAGTCATTTTTTGGGCCAAAACAGCGTTGTACTGATGTGGTCGTCATTGAATGATCTCTTCATTTCCCAGCGACGATGACGACATTGACACTGGTGTGGCACCTTCGTTGCAGCAACAAGCCAAACTCCCGACGAGCTCGGACCCTCAGTTGTACCTCCTGAAGTGCCGTGTAAGCAAGGGGTTGAATGGTGCTTCATCTGCTCGTCAGATCTGACGACTCACTCGCGTTTGAATTGCTCGGCTTACCGTCGTTTGCTTGTGTTTTTTTGTTCCCCATTTTTTTTTCTGTGCGGAATCTCGATTCAACCCGCTCCTCAGATCGGGCACGAGCAAGAGGCCGTGCTGTCGCTCATGCGCCGCGCCCAAGACCGCGTTGCCAAAAATCTCCCTCCGCTTGGCATTGTTTCCGTCATTGCGCGCAATCATATTCGCGGGTTTATCTACGTCGAAGCATACAAGAATCTCCAAGTTCAGGATGCCATCAAGGGCCTTTCTGTCTTGGGCATGGCTTACTACAAGCAACAGCTTATTCCCCACAAAGACATGCCCGATGTGCTCTCGGTCGTGCAGGCAGAGGCCGTTCTGAAAGTTGGCGCCTGGGTTCGCCTCAAGAAACTTGCCCTGTACAAGAAGGATTTGGGCGTGGTTGTGTCGATGGAAGCAGACGGCGCGTACATTAAGATTATTCCGCGTGTCAACTTGCAAGAGTTGAACGACGGCACAAGCGAGAACAAGGGTGGCTTCAAAACAAAGGCCGAAAAGTCAAAGCGACCCCAGCCAGTGCTGCTGGACTCGACCCAGCGCGGCTCTGCGCCGGACCTGTTTGAACTCGATGACGAGAGCGACTCGCAGATGTTTGGACCAGGAGTGTACCGCTTCACTGGCTCCTCCTCGCAAAACAACATGCCCGAGTACGTGACTGAAGACGGCTTCATGTACAAGTTCTTCAAGACAGATTCCATCGATTTGGTCAATGTCAACCCGACAATCGAAGAGCTCAAGCGATTCAATGCGACGCCAGACGAGTTGCGAAAATGTGAGTCTTCTTACAATCTTTTGAACTTTTTTTTTTGGGTTTTGGTTTTTGGGGTTGTGTTGGTGCCTGGTCGTGCTTTGGTTTGGTTTGATCTCTCTAACTGTTGGTGCTTTGGTGTCACCCAAAAATAGCGGACTCTATCTCGGCCGAACGCAGATTTGTCGTGGGCGATCGTGTGGAAGTCACGGCGGGCGAATTGCAATACCTGACTGGTATTGTGCGAAATATCGATGGCGATGCAATCTTTATTTTGCCAACTCAGGCAGACTTCAAGGTATGTCGTCTCTCAGGCAATTGTTTGGCCACTCTCTTGTCCATCTGGCATTCATTCACTCCAACCACCCATTTGGTTGTGTGCTTGGCCCTGGTAGGAGGAGCTCCGTGTTCCCGCTTCCCTCCTCCGTAAAGCGTTCATTCTCGGTGACCACATCAAAGTCATTGCTGGCAATCATGAGGGCGAAACCGGTCTTGTGACGCGGGTGGACGACAAGATTGTCACATTCGTGTCCGATTTGACCATGAAAGAGATGAAGGTGTTTGCCAAAGACTCTCAGATTGCCACGGAGGTCACGTCCGGTCTCGACAAGCTTGGCCAGTTTGAATTGTACGATCTTGTGCAGCTCGATCCGCAAACGGTTGCCTGCATCACCAAAATCGAGAAGGATTCCTTCAAGGTTCTGGACCAGAACGGCAGCGTCCAGCGCATCGAGCCACGCGCCATCTCCCAAAAGCGCAACTCAAAATTCTCCATGTCCCTTGACGGAGAGCACAATTCGATTCAAGCCGACGACATTGTGAAGATTATGGATGGCGCATTTACGGTGCGTCTCGTTCTTGCGAGATGGTCTGTGTTTGAGTGCATGCTTTTGAGGGATGACGCTGACTTTTTTTTTTTGATTCCTTGTTGTTGATGTGTTGAACCCTTCTTTGCGAATACCAGGGCCGCCAAGGCACCATTAAGCACATTTATCGCTCTGTGGCGTTCGTGCACTGCCGTGAAGTGATTGAAAACTCTGGCATTCTCGTCTGCCGAACTCGGGGCCTGCTTTCTGTCAGCGGCAAGGGCACCAACAAGAAGGTGCGACAGCGTCGATTGATTGATGGATTGTTTGCTTGATTGATTGATTGCTTGGATTGATGTGCTTTCATTGGTGTTGTTGCTCTCGCAATCTCTTGGTCACGTCACTCACGTTCGCGGTTGTACTTTTTTTTTTTGTTTTTGTTTTTTCATTTAGTTTATGGATCCAGCAGCACCATTTGGAGCATCCTCGTTCGTTCCAGCATCGCCCCGCAACGGTGTCGATCGCCCTGTTGGCAACACTGGTGCTCCCACCCCTGCTCCAGCTGGCGGTCTTGGACGCGGTCGCGGCGCTCGGCGGCACGACGAAATGATTGGCAAGTCTGTTGTCATTCGGAGCGGCCCATACAAGGGTCTTTTGGGCATTGTCAAGGATGCTACCGAGACTGTCGCGCGCGTTGAGCTGCACACCAAGGCCAAAACCGTGTCCGTGGACAAGGCGCAGCTCCGATACCCCTCGAACCCCGATGGCAGCGATCCTATGCTGGGCGGCCGAACACCAGCCATGGGGGGTCGCACTCCTGCATTTGGCGGCCAGACACCGAGCTATGGCGGCCAAACTCCTTCTGCTGGAAACATGACGCCCTCACATGGCGGCATGTCGTATGGCTCGATGACGCCTCACTCGCGCAATACGGGCGCCTGGGATCCTTCTGTGACCAACCAATCGCGAAGGTTTGCCATTTCATTTTTTTTTGTTTGCTCGCTCTCTTGTGATCGATCTTTCTCTCTAAACTTATTGTTTTGTTTGTTGTTGCTTCCACAGTGGCAACTTTGGCTACGATTCTCACCCCAGCGATCGCGATCGCTACCAAGACTACAACCCTGGCTCAGTTGTATGTTGTCAAACTCAACTTTTTTTTTTTTTTTTTTTGCTTCCTTTTTGTTTGGCAGCACAGATTGACTCAATCACTCATCCCCCCCCTTGTCTTCACCCTTCACAGAATTCGTACTCTCAAACCCCCGGCATGGGCTCCGTGGGACCACAGACACCCATGAACGACATTGGCACCCCCGCTGGCACTCCCGGCGTCTTCTCCGCACCCACGCCAAGCAATCTCGCCACACCTGGTGGCTACCACATTCCGTCTGTGAGCGCGACGCCAGGCCCGCACCTGAACGCATACACACCTGCTCCACCAAGCATGCATTCCGGTCGCGCATTGGATGCCATGACTCCGGCGATTCATTCGGCGCCGACACCAATGTCAGCCATGACGCCGGGCGCGATGAACCCCATGACACCTGCGGCGTTGAATCCAATGACGCCGGCTCCCGCACAGACTCCTGCTCCTGCTTCGATCGGCTCGCCGTTCATCAGGGACGCCGAAGTGACCATCTCGCGCCCGAACGATCCACGAATCAACGGCCACACTGCTGTCATTCTCGAGGCGCGATCGGAAGACTCCTTCTTGGTCAATCTGCTTTCCAACAACGAGGAGGTGCTCTGCTCGTCGGGCGAGCTGCAGCCTGTCGCGCCCAGCCGTGGCGACGACGTCTACTTTACGCAGGGTCCGCGCCAAGGCCAGACAGGCTCCCTTGTGTCGCTCGCTGCTGGACAGGCGATCGTTACCATTGGTGGAGATCCTGCCGTCTTCCAATTGGACGACCTCTTCCGCACTGCCGTCAAGCTTCATCGCAGCCAGCATCTCTAAAAGCCATCAGCGAGACTTTTGCCTTGTTTTCGTTGTGGGCACTTGTTCTGTTTGTTTTTGTTTTGATGTTTTCCAGCGTCTCCTTTATTACATTTGATCATGGATTTTTTCCCGCCACGCTGGATGTTTGAAAGAAGAGAGCGAGAAAGAAAGAAAGAAAGGAAAGAAAGAAAAAGAAAGAGATTGAGAACGGAAAAGGCACAAAATCGAACGCCAACGACACCTCAACCCCATCTCGAACACGACAATCGATTTTAGGAGCAGAGTGCGTGAGCTGGTGTCAAACAGGCCTCTGGCAATCACCGCATCTGAGCCAGAATTCGCAGACCATGATCCAGATCTGCTCGCCTATAAGCAATGTGCCCTACCATTGTCTTTCAGTTACGGCCATATCTGGTGGAATGCACCGCATCCCGTTCCGCTCTGCGAAGTTAAACCACCATGAGAGTAGTTAGTACTGCGGTGGGAGACCACGCGGGAATACTGCTTGTTGTAACTCCTTTTTTTTTGTTTGGTTTTTTTTTTCCCGCTTAGCAATGCTATCCAATGTGATATTTTTTGGTTGTACAGAGCAAAAGTTACCTGCTATTTCTCAGTCACAATGGATTGGCCGCAGTCATTCTTCTCACTCTTTTTGAAAGCGAATGGCGTCCCAAGTTCCAACTGAGCTTCCCGTACGAACCCTTTTTTTTTAACTTTTTTTTTTTTTTTTTTTTTAATTTTACGATTTTTTAATTTTACTTTTGTGATTTTGCGATGAGGTCTTCGTTGTCCTGCTCCCCCCACTTGGCGTTCTCTTCCGTACCCCTCGCCAAAAGCATCAACGATGCCCACACACAGCTCGTTTTCCCCCACCTTCCAACCTCTCTCCAATCACCAATCGCAACAATCGACCGAGTTTTCCGTTTTTTTTTTTTTTTTTCGATTTTTTGGAGGTCGATGACGGTGCCAGCTGGTGCATCCAGGTCATCATCATGAGCAGCGTCTGACTCTGTCACACACACACTCGCGCGCTCTCTCTCAACATATATTCAACGCATGACAAAGCAATCCTCCTCCGCTCAGACGAAGAGACCGCGTTCGTTCAATTTCGGTCGTTTCGAGTCGTTCTCGTCCGGACACAAGCACTGGAATCAACTGCGTGAGAGGCGCTTTTGGAGAGGAGCGTCGCTCTTTGCTGCTGGGGGTTTGCTACTGTTGCAGACTAGTCCAGCAATGAGAACTTGGCGTTCTGGGCGGCAGAGAAGTCAGCAAGGAAAAACAGCGCGAGAATGAGCAACGACTGGTTCATCCACACATCTTCAATCAATACGATTCCCTGCGACCAGCGTTTCGTTGCTGGCTCGCTCGCGTTCTGCATTTTTCTGTTTCACTCGCCATGTGTTCGACTACAACACTCGTCGCCATTTTGGTGTAACTGGGTGTGAAGCGTGACATCTCCAATCCTTTTTTTGAAACTGTGGCGATTCTGTCATGGCGTCTCAGTCACGTCCCGCCTTATTACTCACCCAAGTTTTGTTCGTCTTATCTGTTGTTTGATCTGTTCTTGTTGCATTGTTTGATTTTTATGGTTTCTGTGTTTGTCGGTTTGTCTCATCCATTGCGACGCTGATGATTTCCCGCCTTGTGGTGCCGGTCGTCCTACTCGCAAACCCTTTTCAATGCTGCCATTCCATTTCCGGGTCTCGCCGTGTCACTCGTCTTGTTGTCCCGGAAAAATCACTCACGGCCAACATTCTTACACCGACTGCCCAATTTCCGACTGGATCACTCGTTTCCCCCCCGTTCCATGCCGCTCCCGACGATTCCCGTGCCGCCCAATCTCCACGGACTGTCCTGTGATGTTGCGGACGACATGTTGCATCGCATTGCTCATCCTGATGCCAATTCACCCGCACCCAATCCGGACAAATTGCCTGCCGCGACTCCTGGTGGTCTGACCGTCCATCCGCTCCATGCTGCCGTGGTTTTGCCGTCGTCCCAACTGCAACCTGCATACTCGTATGCAATGTCATCATCTGCGCCGGGCGGCGAACACCATGCTTCTGGTTGTTACGGCGGTCCTTCGTGTTCGTACTCGGCCTGCTCCCACACATCTTATGCCGCCCGTCCTACCGCTGCGCTTTTGCCCCACCACATGCCCCTGTACACTGTGCCAACCCCGACAATTCCATTGTCGTCTGCCTCCACTACTACAACCGCTGTCACTGCTGCTGCTGCTGCTGCTACGACGACGATGAACACCTTTGCTTCTGCTCCGGTGGGAAATTCCACAACTGTGGCGTCCTCTTCTCTCTCCAATTTGTCATCTGCCGCGTCGTCTTGCGGAAACCTATCCACTTCCTCATCCTCTTCCTCGTTGTCGCTGACACACGGTTTTGACGCGTGCCAATCGACCTCGTACGAAAATCTTCCGGCGGGACTGCTGACCCCCGTTTCCTTGCGCTCTTCCAACGGCTCTTCGGCTTCCTCCTCGCACCAACCGTCGGCGCGCTCTTCCATTTCATCGATGGACACTATCTTTGCGACGACTCGCAAACCGTCGCTCTCGACTGCTCTTCCTCTGTCCACTTCTGCGTCTTCTGCTTCGCTCTCGACGTCCACGTCACTCCCGCAGGTGCTCTCGTTCGACGAGATTCGCGGTGAGCTCGAGCCGTCAATGCAGTCTGTCAGCAAGATTATGTGTGCCAACCGCGGAGTAAGAGCGTTCAGCATTTTTGTTGTTGAACGTTTTTGCGTTTTCCAAAGCTTTGGCGCGCGAGCATGTTGATTCACTTCATTTGGGTGTCTCTTCTCCATTAGGAAATTGCCATCCGAGTCTTCCGCGCTGCGCACGAGCTCTCTTTGCGCACTGTCGCCATTTACAGTCTTGCCGATCGTTTTGCCATGCATCGCTCAAAGGTACTGCCGTTCTCCACCACACAGCCACATACACCCCACTCCATCCCACTTTCTTCACACCCCCCCCCTCCAATCACTCACCTCGTCCATTTTTCCTCGTCCTCAGGCCGACGAAGCGTACGAAGTCTCTGGTCCAAACGTCACTCCCGTTGGCGCCTACCTGGACGTCGATCGCATTGTCGCGTTGGCTGTGAAATCGGGTGTTCGCGCCATCCATCCAGGCTACGGCTTCCTCTCGGAAAACTCGACCTTTGCCCGCGCTGTGGAGAAGGCCGGCATTGTGTTTGTCGGCCCCGATCCGGACGTCATTGACAAGATGGGCGACAAGACTCAGGCGCGCACGGCTGCCATTGAGTGCGGTGTCCCGGTTGTTCCTGGCAGCAACGGCCCAGTCCCGTCACTGGAGGCCGCTGAGGCCTTTGTCAAGCAGCACGGGCTGCCAGTCATCATCAAGGCTGCGTTCGGCGGCGGCGGTCGCGGCATGCGCGTGATCCGCAACGAGTCCGAGCTCAGCGAAGGCTACCTTCGTTGCACCTCCGAGGCCAAGTCCGCCTTTGGTGACGGTACCGTGTTTATCGAGCGTTACATTGAAAACCCTCGCCACATCGAGGTCCAAATTCTGGCCGACAACTATGGCAACGTCGTCCACCTGTTTGAGCGCGATTGCTCGGTGCAGCGTCGCCACCAGAAGGTGATTGAAGTGGCCCCGGCCGTCAACCTCCCCACCAACGTTCGCGACGCGATTCTCGAGAGCGCGCTCAAGCTGGCTCGCCACATCAAGTACCGCAACGCCGGCACGGTCGAGTTTTTGGTCGATCCCCAGCACCGCCACTACTTTATCGAGGTCAACCCCCGCATCCAGGTCGAGCACACCATCACCGAGCAAATCACGGGCGTCGATCTTGTCGCTTCCCAAATCCGAATTGCCGCCGGTGCTTCGCTCGAGTCGCTCGGTCTGCAGCAGTCCAACATTTCCGTGCGCGGCCACTCAATCCAGTGCCGCGTGACTGCCGAGGACCCTGCCAACAACTTTATGCCCGACACGGGCAAGATTGTCGTCTACCGAACCTCGTCCGGCAACGGCATCCGTCTCGACGGTGGCGCTGGTTTTGCGGGCTCGATCATTACTCCCCACTACGACTCGCTTCTCGTCAAGATCATTTCGCACGCGTCGACCTACCAGAGTGCCATCCGCAAGCTGCTGCGCGCCATCACCGAGTGCCGCATTCGTGGCGTCAAAACCAACATTCCCTTCCTGCAAAAGGTGCTGTTGCACCCAGAGTTCCTCCAGGGCGTCGTCCACACTGGCTTTATCGACAACACCAAGGAGCTTTTCAACTTCCCCGTCCTGAAAAACCGCGCCCAGAAGCTGCTCACCTTCCTCGGCGAGATTTGCGTCAACGGCTCGGCTGTGCAGGGCATGGTTGGCGAGCCCGGCCCCATCACGCCCAAGATCCCCACCATCACCAACCTCCCCGACCCGATGGCCCCGCCACCGGCTGGCTGGCGCGACATTTTGCTGGCCGAAGGCCCCGAAGGGTTTGCCAAAAAGCTCCGTGCCCACAAGAACGTGCTCATCACCGACACCACCTGGCGTGATGCTCACCAGAGCCATCTCATGACTCGCATGCGCACGTACGACATGGCGGCCGTTGCTCCCCACACGGCCCATGTCATGAGCAAGGCCTTCTCGCTCGAAATGTGGGGCGGCGCCACGTTTGACGTTTCTCTGCGCTTCCTGCACGAGTGCCCTTGGGACCGTCTGCGCCAATTGCGTGCGCTTGTGCCCAACATTCCATTCCAGATGCTCCTCCGCGGTGCCAACGCTGTCGGCTACACTACCTACCCCGACAATGTCGTGTTTGAGTTTGTCAAGACCGCCAAGGACAACGGCGTCGACATTTTCCGCGTGTTTGACTCGCTCAATTACGTTGAAAACCTCCGTCTTGGCATCGATGCTGTTCGCGCCGCGGGTGGTGTGATTGAGGCTGCCATCTGCTACACTGGCGACGTCCTCAACCCCAAGCGTCCAAAGTACAACCTTCCGTACTACATTGGCCTGGTGGAGAAGCTCGTCGAGATGGGCATTCACATTCTTGCCATCAAGGACATGGCTGGCTTGCTCAAGCCGCACGCTGCGACCGTGCTGATTGGCGCCATCCGCACCCGCTGGCCCGACCTGCCCATCCACGTCCACACCCACGACACTGCGGGCACTGGCGTTGCCTCCATGATTGCCGCTGCGCAAGCCGGTGCGGATGTGGTTGACGTGGCGACGGACGCCATGTCCGGTCTGACCTCGCAGCCCTGCATGGGCGCCGTCGTGACCTCCCTCAACGACCTTGGCCTGGGCGAGGCCTTCAACTTTGACCAACTCCAGGACCTCAACGGCTACTGGGGCCAAGTCCGTGCCCACTACCGCTGCTTTGACTCTGAGCAGAAGGCAAGCTCATCGGACGTCTACCAGCACGAGATGCCCGGCGGCCAGTACACCAACCTCTTCTTCCAGAGCATGTCGCTTGGTCTGTCTGAGCAGTGGGGCGCCATCAAAACGTCGTACGCGGCGGCCAACCGTCTCTTGGGCGACATTGTCAAGGTCACCCCGAGCTCCAAGGTTGTGGGCGATCTTGCCCAGTTCATGGTCGCCAACGAGCTGGACGAGGAGAAGGTCATTGCCCAAGCCGATCGCCTCTCCTTCCCTTCCTCTGTCGTTCAGTACTTCCAAGGTCTGATCGGCATTCCGGAGGGTGGTTTCCCGGAGCCTCTTCGAACCAAGGTGGGTGTTGCAGTGTTGCGTTTTTGTAACAGCAGCTTGGACTTTTTTTTTTCCCCGCTTGACGACACTCACGTGCTACTTTTTTAAATTGCTTGTGACTTTCTCCGTCAAACAGATTGTGCGAAACTTGCCGTGCGTGCAGGGCCGACCTGGAGCCAACATGCCTGCGCTGGATCTGGTCAAGCTCAAGCGTGATCTCGTCGAGCAGTTTGGCTCTTGGATTACGGACACGGACGTCATGAGCGCTGCCATGTACCCCGAAGTGTTCAAGGAGTATGCCCTGTTTGTCAACCACCTCGGCAACGTCGGCATGGTTCCTACTTTTGCCTTCCTGAAGGCGCTGCCTGTGGGCGAAGAGCTGGTGGTCGACATTGAGGCTGGCAAGCGTCTGTACATCAAGTTGATTGCCGTTGGCACAGAGACCGACCAGCGCGGCATGCGCGAGGTGTTCTTTGAGCTGAATGGCGAGGCGCGCAAGATTTCCGTGCCCGACCGCTCGATTGCGGTCGCCCATGTGACTCGCGCCAAGGCCAGCGCTGACATGCCCAACGAGGTTGGCTGTCCCATGTCTGGAACCGTGATTGAGCTGCGTGCCAAAGGTAGGAGGTGTTTCAAGAAGTTGAAAAGAGAAACAAAGCAAAGTGTAGTTGAGATTTTTTTTTTGTGCTGACTCGTTCATGCTTTGTTGTTGCAGTGGGCGCTCCCCTCAAGCAAGGTGATCCGATCTGCGTGCTGAACGCCATGAAGATGGAGACGGTCGTCACCGCGCCTCTGTCGGGCACGTTGGAGCTCCTGAACGTGAAGGTTGGCGAATCCCTGTCTGCTGGTGATCTCGTCGCTCGAATCAAGCCAGCCGCGCCGTAAACCCTGAGTCGGGGGTTTTTGTTGGTTTTGTCTTGTTTTTTTTTTGTTGTTGTTGTTTGTGATTTTAGTCTGCTGTAGCAACTTTTTACGTAGTGGCTGTACTTGTCTGTAACGCGAATATTCTCAGTTCTGTAGAAATTAGTTTTGACGTACTGCCCGCATCGACCTTGACCTTCTTTCGTATCAGTCGTGTTTTTTGTTTTTGGTTGTTTTTGTTTTTAGTTCATTGTCAATACTGTGTCTTCCACCGCAATGTCTGCGTTTACTCGATTTACGGTGGACGACCTCGAAGATGATGACGACCGGCTCGCCTTTCCATCCGCTCCGAATGGTCCGTTCCAGCCACAGTCGCAGCAGCCACCGCCTCAGCCACAGCAGCCGCAATTTCAGAGTGGAGCGTCGCGAGCATCTCCCGCACAACACCCGCGGACGAGCAAAACCACCACCAGCAACAGCAGCAGCAGCAGCAGCGCAAGGCCACAGTCGCACTTGTCGCTCGTGCTGGGCGACGAGGACGACGACGACGACGCCCCATGGGGTGCCAAGCGAGCGTAAGAGCATAACGAACGTCGACTTAGCATGTGCTTGGTATTATTGAGGGGTTGGTCGGTTTTTTTGGTCGGAGGGGGAGAGACGAGGGATGAATTGAGGGGAAAAACCAGAGGCTCGCGTTTGCTACTGAAATCTTGGCTGCTTGTAGTGAGGTTTTGGTATCGCTACTATGGTATTACACATCCAGGGTTACGAAATCCGCATCACTAACATTTTGCCCCGAACCCTTCCAATCTACTACAACTCTGCTGGTTGTGCCATTTTTGTGTCTGCTTGCTTGAGCAATCATCTCACAGATTAGAAGACAGCGCGCCGGCGTCGCGAAGCAGTAGTCGGAACGCACAGCCGTACTGGGCCGAAACGAGTTTGGCAGCCGCAGCAACCGGTTCCGGCCTTCACTCGCTGCGCATCAACCGATTTACCAACGCCGCTTCGGCTCTGTTCTACTCAAAGTACTACTTTATCGTCTACATGATAGTCGTCGTGCTATGCCTCACCTCGTTAATCTGGGTGAGTCAGTTTGCTGATTGATGGAACGCGAGGTTATTGCGCTCTTTGTTTTGACCTCGTTGCTTACTGCGTGCTTGTTTGTCCGTGGGCGTGCTGCTCTAATCCTGTGCAGAGCTTGACCGATTCCAAGTACGTGGCTCAAAAGAGCTACAATACATCACGACTTGTTTGCAGTGATGATGGATGGCGTTTTACCAACCAAGTTCACAAATTTTTGTTTGTTCGATTTGTTATTGTGCTCAAACAGAGAACAAGTTGTCGGGGTCATTGTGATTGAGGTGGTGATCAACGTCATTCTGATCTTTGAGCTGTTTATTCGGTTCATGTCTTTGGGCGCAAAGGTATGTACACATCTGTTGTGGCTCCAAGTTGTGATTGCGGTTCCAACACTCATTGCCAATGCTTGTGTATTTTTCACAGGCCTACTTTGCTTCGTGGTGGAACCGTTTCGATCTGCTCGTGCTCTTGCTTTGTGTCGGCGCACTCATCACTTATATTGCGTCGACCGGCGGCGAAAACCAAAGCGAGCAAGTGGAGGACGTCGTGTCACTGGTCCTCCTGGTTATTCGCTCTGTTTTGCAAGTGATTCGCGTAACATTGCTGCTACGAAGGTATAGTTGAAAGGATATTTCCCCAGCTACAGATACCAAGTCCTCACCAATTTTGTCGTTTGCTTTCTTTCTCGTTCAACCTGCCAGCCAATACCGTCAACTTTCCACGCGTCGCGAAGTGGACATTCTGCGAGTTGACCGAAAACGCACTGACAGCATGTCAAACATGCTCAGCACATCTGACGAGAACTTGCACGCCAACAATTACTTGCTCGGCGACGAAGACGACAGCGAGTAGCTTTTGTGCAGCAGCTTGTTTATACCAACCACATTTTCAATTAAAAATCTTGTTATTTGTTTCATTCTTCAGGCATGTTTCAGTTGCGCCGTTCAAAAAAAACAAACTTATCAACACATCGAAAGCAGTTTACACATTCAGCGTTTAGCCCAAAACTTGAGCGAGCTGATTGGCGCACGTAGCAAGTCGTGCGCTCTTGCCTCGCAACCCAGACAGGATTGTATCAAAGCCGAGCGCAATCACAAGCTGCTTCGAGTCCTCGTTTCTTGAGACCAGCTGGAGCAACGCGGAGAGCCCTCGGAAGACTGCGGGTTGGAGAAACATCAGAGCATCAGCAACACGAACAGGCTCTCCAACTCGAGCTCAAGCATCAACAGACCAACACAACACTCGCAAGCAACAAAATCCATACCCGATTCCTCGTCATCTTGAGCAGTGGCGGGAGCAGCCAGAATATGATGAATCGCCGTGGTCAATTCCGCCACAGCGCTTGCAGCTACCTCTGACAGAGTGCTACCCAGACTGAGCGCAATGTTGAACGCCAGAGTTGCTGCGGTCTGACGAATAACGGGACGAGGTGGGTTGAGCAACGCAGTCACCGTGGCGTTGACAACTGCAGCAATGGCACTGTCGCTCAGCATATACTTGGCGCCAGTGTCCGATGCAAACATGTTGCATGCTGCGCGCAAGACGACAAGCTGAGCAGCGTCAGAACTGAACACGGCACCGTCGCCCGTGACGAGCGCGGCCAAGAGATGGGGAATGCAGTTGTTTTGGAGAGGGTTGGACACAAGCGCAATTGCTCCGTCCGCCAGCAGCCAGACACGCAGCAAGTCCAGAACGGGGAAGAGCTGCTCGGTGCGCAGGATGCGCAATCGCGGAGTCGCGACATGGGCCTGTTCAATCATTCCCAGCGGCCAGTATGGTTGAAGCAGCGCAGTAAAGAGCGCCACATGCTCCCCATTTGCCTTGACACGCGATCCGATGAGGGCGGTCGTTGCTGGCGTGGGAACTGCAGTCAAGGACGCTTCCAACGAATCCAACTGTGCAGCAAGCGCGTTCGTGAGCGGCATAATGGTTGCGTCTTGCGTGGCATCTGCGCGATTGGTGTCCAAAAACCCACGCAGCTTGGTCATGATGGTGGACAGTTGGAGCTGATCGAATGTGTGTGGTCGCAGCGGCTGAGCGGTGGCTGTTCCAGTGGCAGTTGGAGTGGGTGCAGCTGCACCACCTGGTTGCTGGCCCGCCATTGAGCGAAATGGAACCTCGTCCACTGCCTGACCACTTGTAAAGAACGAGTTGATGAGCGGCCGGAGCATGGCGCCCATCGGCGTTGACGCAAAGTCGTCCGGCAGCGAGCGAATGTAGCTGGGAATGTCCCGCGCCACAAGGAACTGCGCGCACTCTTGGGTGAAGTGGTTGCAGTTCTGATCGAGCAAGTGGTACGACGTCGAGCTGAACTGGCCCGCGTCGCTCAGTCCGCGTAGAAAGTCGTGGAACACGTCGCGCGGGATGGCAGTGACGCCCAAATCGACCTGCCGCAGTGGCTGGCCGTGCATTGTGCGCCCTGGCTGGGCAGTCTGGATGCCCGCTCCAAAGTAGTATTCTCTATTGCGAGACAGGCATTTTCGTGGTACGAGCATCGAGTTCAGTCCGCTGGGTTACAGCAACCGAGTTCAGATTGAATGTTTCATGCTTCCCCCTTCCCCCTTCCCCGCTCTGTACTTTACGGCTTGTATCGCGTTGTCAATGTGCCGTTGTAAATGTCTTCTTGCAGTTCACCTGTTTCAGGTTTTTGGTCGTTGTTGGTCGTTGTTGTACTGTATGGTGATTGACCAACTCACTTCACGTACTTTGCTTCACTTCACCCTTCTTCACCTCACTCAAAGTCGGCCATCGCTGCATCTTTCTCGTGTTTTGCATACAATTGTTCCGCACTATTTATTTTTTTTGCCTTTCGGGTTTTCCAGAACAAAAATCTTGGCTCTTCGAATTGTAGTTTCCCGAATTTCAATCCAAATTCTGAACCGAACGTTTCGAGTTGATGTTTGTTTGGTGTTTTTTTCGCTTACTCGCCGTAGACGACGATGGACGTGTGCCAGATGCCGTCGAGGTGCCGTCCGAGGTACGCAGACGAGAACTGCGACGCCATGCCACGCGACAGGTCGTAGACGTATAAAACAACCGAAGACGACATTTTTCAAAATGGAAGGAAGACTGAAGTTCGTCTGAGAAATTTCGAGATGCATTACTTGGTTGTAAAGTGCTGCTCGTACTAAAGTGATGCAATAGAAAGTAAAATAATCATAATGCTAGTTTTAATAGCAATGCTGAACAACAGCAAGAACAAACGACGACAAAAAAATCAAAATGTCCTGTACACTCACATCACCGCGACATCTAAGGCAGTGGTCGAGGGCTTCTTTTAGCGCGACAGCGTGCCACCACCCGACACATGCAGGCTTTGAGCGGTAGTCCAGTTGTTGGTCGGACTGACGAGGAAATCAACGACGACGGCAACATCTTCGACGGTGCCGACGCGCTTGAAGAGACTCGATGCCTTGGCAATTTCGAGAATCTTGTCGGAAAGCATGTCCGTTGCAGTAAACCCAGGCATCACTGTGTTGACCGTCACGCCGCGACCGGCGAGTTCTGCGGCAAACAGCTTGGTGTATTCGTGCAGAGGCGCCTTGGACGGGGCATACGCGCCAAACAAAGACACAGCTCCGGATGCAAGGCTTGCAGAGCTAATGTTGACGATGCGACCATTGTTGCGAATGACCTTGGAAGCAGCACGGAGCAAGAAGAAAGGGCCCTTCGAGTTGACCGCGAACATTTCGTCAAACTGCTCCTCGGTCACTCCCTCTGAGCCAGCTCCGCCCAAATAGACCTGGTGTTCCAACAACATACACAGCAATTTGGTCAGCACACAGTTTTCGTCGCAAGTGCCGGGTGTGTGGGGGTGGTGTGTGCGCGACATCAAACCCTCTTCGTTTTCGCAATTCCGTCCTCCACTTACACCAGCGTTGTTCACGAGAATGTCCAGACCGCCATAGGCATCCACGGCAGCTTGGACGAGCTTGTTGCCCTGCGAGATATCGCGGCCGATGGAGGCTTGAACCGCCGTAGCGCGACCTCCGGCTTTGGTGATTGCGTCGACCACCTCCTTGGCGGCGTTGGCGTTGGAGGCGTAGTTGACAATCACAGCGGCACCCTGCGCACCGAGATGCAGCGCGATTTCGCGACCAATACCACGCGATGCGCCAGTGACAATGGCGACCTTGCCATTCAGGAGTTGACTGTTCAGCGACATGGCTTTCTTGTTCAATTCTAGGTCTGCAAAAAACAAGAAAGACACGATCGTCTGTGAGTGTGAGCAAGTCGTCCTTTTGGGAGAATGGGGCAACGCCGAACTGAACCAAACCTGTGAAGTAGCTGCTTTGAGGCTTGTTTTCTTGTTTTGTTGGTTTCTGATCTTGTTTCGAAGATGTTCAGAATGAAGAGTGAAGTGATTCCTTTTCCGAATCCAGAGCGCCCTATTTAAACGCGCAAAGCCAAGGTGGGATCCAAGACGAAATGGGAAAAAATCACCGTGTCCGAAAATCGCCGTGCTGACCTCAAAATGCTCCACTCCTGCTGTCCCGCCTCCGCTTCCGTGTCTAGAATTCGATGGGAATGCTCCACTCAGCAGCAGCAGCAGCTTCGGAACACAAAATAACGCGAGGATGGTGGACACGATACGGCGAAGCGGCGAGTTCTGGGATGACAGTCTCAATGCTGGCCAGTGATTTACAAGATTTACAATACTGTATCAGATCGGCCCGAGTTGCTCTTGGCCAAGTCCTACCACATGTGCATGGCATGAAAACCTCGGATCCAGCGGATGAAGCGAGCTCAGAGACTCGCTTTCTGTTTTTGTGAGCTGTTTTTTTTTTTTCAAAGAGTTCCAGAGCACTGCACTTTGTAGTTGAATGAGGCCCAGACGGCGTTGGCATCATGCAACACTGGCGCCCCCTTTTCACCCGGGAGCGGATGCGTTAGCCGCCAAGTCTCAGTCGTTTTTTCAGAGTTTTGTTGTTTCACAGCTGAAACGCAAGCCAAACAAACCAAATGTCGAGCCACGGGTCGCTGCGATCCCAACGGCAACCTCATCAGCCATCTCAGCACTCTCATCCACCCCAACAGTCTCAGTCTCAGCAGAGTCAGTCGCAACAGCGGCTGGCGGAGGAAGTGGCGCGATGGGCCAATGCAGAGCTGCAGTACTCGCCCGGATTGACCAGCGAGCAACTTGCGCCGCTCTGCCGTGGCAACATGCAGCATGTCTGGCAGTACCTCGTAGACCACGTTCGCTCTGAGCAGAACGCGGCCGTCGAGCGCGGCAACGCTCGCCTGAATGCAGGCGCAAGTTTGAATTTGGCGCCAAATTTGAGCTCGGACGAAGCCCAGCGACGCAAGCGACTCGCGCAGCGCCGTGGGCAGCTGCAGGCCGAGATCGCCCAGACGCGCGACCACATTGCGCGAGTGCGGCAGGAGACGGCCGTGGTGAAGAGCAGTCTGCAGCAGTCCAGCGTCGCCGTGGAAGCGGCAAGCAGCGAGATCAGCCAGGTCAGACAGCGCCAGGCACTGCTCGCAGGCTACTCTGCACAGGTGGAGCACATTGCATCGAGCAGCCGCCAAGTCATCGCCCAGCTGGCCGAGCAACGCCAGGCCGAGCAGGCAAGGGCGGCCTCGTCCTCGTCTGAAACAGCGCTTCTGGCTCGCTCAGCCAATACTGCCAAAGCCAGTCATGGTAGTGGCACCAACTTTGGTGATCAACGGGCAAGCAATGCAAGTGCTGCCCTCGAGTCTGCTGCCACTCGCGTCGTTCGAGAAGCCTGCGCGAGAGTCGAGGAGCACCTCATTCTCAGAGTGCAATCTGCATTGAAAACGAACACGGGCCTCAACAATCAGCATGCGACCGGAACGATGGACGAGGCCGGTGCTCGCAACCCGGCACTCTCTGCGTCCAAAGCTCGCACCTGGCAGGCTGTCGAGTATGCTGCAGCGCAGTTGGGCCCGAGCGCGTTGGTTCGCGGATTGACTGGATACGTTGCCTCTGCCATCACTGCCGTTCAAGCTGAGACAGACTCGCTCGATTTTGACGCAGAAGCTCAAGAGTACCGGTAAGAGCGCAGGGGTGGTGGCGGTGGTGGTAGTGGTTTGTGCAAGTTTGTCGCCAATGTTTTGCCTTCTTTTCTTTTCTTTCCCTTGTGTGCCTTGTTCCGATCAGAAAACGATTCTTAGGTGAAGAGGATGACCTGAAACGCGATCTTAAAGGGGTTCATGACCGATTGCAGGTAAGCAACAACGACTCACATTGGCTTTTCTGCGAAAGGGCAACTTGTACCAACCCGTTCACACCACACCACCACAGGAATTGCAATCCATTCACTCGAGGATTGTACTTGAGACCATGCAAGCACGCTTGCGGTCGGTCGCACATGATGCCGACACGCGCAGGTCGACGCGCGAGATTCAAGCTCGTTTGTTGAACGCGTTTTCGGGGGATGCGACAATGCAAAATCTCCTTGCGTAAGCTCGCATCAAAACAAAAAATGCTGCAGATGGAATCCTTTGACATTGTATCTCACTCGAGCTGTCTCTGTTGGGATTTTTCAACCGTGTGCAGAGAGTCGTATCGACTCGACGCACACATTGCCGGGTTGGAATCAAAATGTCAGTTCTTGAGGCGTGTGTTCCAGCAGCAACACGAGCAAATCATATCAGGTCAACCAATGCAAACGAAACTGGAGGAGCTGCAAGAGAACATTGCAGACCTGACCCACTCCACGGTAAACGCAACTTGCCTTATTCGAGCGGATAGATTGCTAGCTTTGTTGCTGACTTTGCTTGCGAACAGACCTCGCATGAATCCTTGATACAAGCGCTGCTGGTCAAAACCAAAGCGGTTGCCCAGCAGGTGGCAGCGAAGCAGGCTGAGGTATTTGTTGTTCTTTTTTGCAGTTGGCATGTGGAACCGAAACATGTGCTCACTTGTATTGTTTGGGGGGGGGGGAACCTTCAAAATAATCTTTAGATATCTTCATCCCACAAGGATGCTCTGATGCCATCCAAGCTTGCTATTGACCAGAGCACGCGCGATCTACAAAACTTTGTCCAACGCGAACTTGCAGCATTCCAAGCTCTGCCCCTCGCGCTCGTTCGGTTTTCACAGCTCCCCACGTAACGTGTTGCTGAGTTGCAACGTTTTGATATACCGCGATGATGTTGCTTTGCAGTCAGCGAGTTAATTTCAATCTGCTCTGCAATAATGTTGGCTTGGTTTGTGGCAATCACAGGTCTCCCCGAACGCCAGTCGCTCATCTCAGTGTGCATCGACTGCAAGCGCACATGAGCACAGCGTCGCTTCAAGCCGTACTGCAACATTTGGACATCCCATGGTACTTTGTAAGTGAATTGATTTCACTGTTGCCAGTGCTATGTCTCATTCGTGTCTCACATGCGCCCCTTCCGCAACACTCTCCAGACGCCCGAACGTGTGCTCGAGCTTACCATCGACAAGGCCAATCATTGTGAGTCATGCTGCTTTGTTGCTTTGGATCCGTGATGCCGAAATGATCTATCGTTCTCATTCAACTGGGGCAAATCTTAGTGGTGGCGCTCCAAGACCGCGAGGGAGCGACTGAAAGCTCTTTACGAGCGCTTCAGCTAACAGAGCAACAGTTGCCTGGTGATACCATTGACGGTGAGGATTCTTGCAAGGGAATTTTGCAATCCTTGCGCGCATTTTCACTCACCGTGTTTTTTTTTCTCTTTTGGTCACCCTGCAGCGCTTGTTTGCCGCGCAGAAGAATGGTTTGGACGATGCGCACAGGACTTGACGCCCCAGCTCAAGCGTCATTTAATCAAGGCGCGCGAGCATCTTCAGGCTTGCCAGCAAACACAGACGCTGATTCAAGAGTGGTGGGAACAGCCTGCTCAGTACGCTGCTCCCTGGCTATCGGTGGAGCAGCGCAACATTCAGGAGTGGAGCGAGCTGTGGACCAAGCTTGCCAATCGATTGCGCCAGTTGAGTGGAACCAACAGCGCCGCAGGCTTGGTGACAGATTCGCGGCATCAATTCGGGGCAGACAGCAGCTTTACGAATACCAGCGTCATGGCCACACCTGCCACCTCCAGCTCTCGGGGCTGGCCCGCGGATCGCTCACACCACAAGTCGACCGGCCGAAATCAGTCGTCGTCGGGCCTCGACTTTACAACGCGTTCCACACCCGCATCACACGGCGTGAGTCGGTCGTACATTTCAGATTTCGCGGTCTAGTCAGAGTTGCAGCTTTCATGTTGTCAAACATGTCCGTTTTCATTGCGACATTCAACAACAGCTCGAATGCACGCAAGATTGGTGCCATCCGGTCATTGTCCCCACCCAAGTGAACTCGTGGATTGCCGAATACACTCAAAGATGACCTCAAAACAAAAAAAAGCTGTAGATTTCAGCGAATAGAGAGAACAACCATTTCCATTCAATCACCGACTTGTCCCCCAGCTCCCATTCATTCATCTCACAAAATTCCGCACGACAACACAGATCCATCTAAGCTTGTAGAATTGCAGTTATTTCGGCTTGGGCTTCTCGGCTTGCTGGACTTGAGCGGCGACATTCTGCACTGCCTTTTCGACCTCGTCCACTCTTGCGGCCATCTCGTCAAGTGCTGAGAAGAAACCCCCCAAATTCAACCAAAAACACAGCCAAGCAAGCCCAAAAACCAGACAAACAGAGCGCAACGCAGCATCAAGGAAAAATAACGAAAAAAAAAAAACCGCGGGAATGGCAACCAGCAACATCCAACAACAACACTGTGCAAGGACAAACCAGCTCAATCTCAGCAATTCAATCTCAGCAACAAGCAACATTCCTTGCCAGCATGGAGCACGATATTCTTAGTGAGGATGGTGTCCGCCATAGTTTCAAAGTTGGTTTGCTGTCATTCATTTCAACAAACAAAGTTAGCGAGCATAAAATCTGAGAATCTGAGATTGAGCTGAAAGTGGCGCCAAGCCGATCGATCCAAGCACCCAATGTTTTGCTCAATGTTCACCAATTCAAGGTGCCAATCTGATCCAGATCATAACCATTGTTGCGGTTGTTGAGGAGAGGGTGATTTGGGCCAAAATGCAAAACCTTTTAAGGTTTCCACGAGACTCGACACATTTCGCTCTCCAGAAACCAAACATCACTCTTGGAAGAGGCAGCGATTATTGGACCAAAGAAAAGGGGGGGGGGGTTGGTGTGCGCAGTGGGCGAATGCGTGCTTTGGGTTTCTGTGCGTTTACCATTGAGGACATGAGTTGCTTGACCTGACAGACCGCCACACGAAATCATCAGCAATATTGTCATGCGCATCATCGACGCGCGGAGCACCAAACATTCACAAAGTACCGTGAGTGAGTGAGCATGAAATCGCATTCACTTGTGCCGCCAGTAGTGCGACCCTCTCTCTCTCTCTCGCTCGCTCTCGCTCTCTCGCGCTCTCTCGTTTCCAGAACTGACAAAGTTGGCGAGATCTTCGACGTTCTGCGGGTCGGACGCAGCACCGGCGTTGGCAGCAGACGCAGACGCAGCAGCAGGCAAAGTTGGAGAAGCAGCCGAATTGTCGCTCATTGTGAATGAATGCACGAAGAATGCAAATGGAAGAGTGAGCTCAGAGTGTCTCAGAGTCTCAGACTCAGATGGACAAGAATAACGCAGAAAAAAGAAAAGAAAAAGAGACGAAACGACTTGGGAGCAGAGTGCACAAAATGGAACACTGGACTATTGGAATTACACTTGAACAGGCACAACAAACACAAAAAAACGTTCAGAGTCGTTAAAGAAAAAAAAAATTAAACCCGACCACACTTGCAGTTGGAGGTGGATGTCAAGCGAATCCAATGCTGCGTGGAGGGCAAGTCGGGTTGAGCGGCGTTGAGATCGCAGAACGCCAAGGCAAGCGTCTTGAGCTGCCATTGCTGAATGCGTTCCGCGCCATCGCATTTCAAGCCACAAGGTGGTGCTTGAGCAGCGTCGGACCCGCGAAAGTCTCCATTCGGGAGAGATACACTCGTAGGCAACGTATCAAACAGCTTCAGCAGAATAGGCTGGGCAGTGGCGCTCAGCTCGCGCGTCGACCAGATCGCAGCCAAGATAAAGTCAACAAGACCGATCAAAGGCCCGTCAACGCCAACCTGTGCAGCACAAAAACCAAGTTGACTCAGCGCGCTCTCAAACTGCCGCCGAATGGAGGCTGAAGCGCGCGATTCTTGGCTGAAGGCGCGCACAATGAGGGATGCGGCCTTGGAAGAAGAATGCTGCGCGAGCCATCGCAGAGAGCGTTCCAGAGCGGAGCTCTCGCTGTTGTTGTCTTGGCTCGTGACAGTACGTTGGGCAGGCCACATGTTCAAGGCATCTGAAGCAATCCATAGTAGAGGCACGACCTCGGCGTTGGTGGCAGCGAGCACGCTGTCCGCGCCAAAGTCGATGGATGTCAGAAGCTCGCGAACTAGCGAGTGCAGCTGGCGCGCTTGCTTGACCGACAACGGTTGCAACAAAACAGGCGCAGCAAGAAGGTCGTTGGTAAAAGCAGAACCGGCCAGCGCCTGGTGCAAAACCGCCTTCCAAGCGCCCAACGCGGCCACGTCGGCATCGGTGGAGGACGTTGCACCAAATACGTCGACCCACAAGCGCAGGATGGCGCAGAGCTCGAGTGCCGTCAATTGGGTATGCTGGCAGGACTCTGTCAGATGGACGACTGGCTTGGTGCTGCTGCTCGGACCTTCGCTCTCATCCATTGCCTGAGACGAGGAAGACGAAGACGACTCTGCGTGCTGACGCTGCTTGGATCGGAGTGTGTGCCAATTGCTAGCACGCTGAACTTGGATTGCCACCGTTAGCAAAGGCAGCAGCAATTCCATCGCAGGGAGTGCGCGAGTGCGAACGCTTGCAAACACCGAGGCGATTTTCTGCAGCAACGAGCGCACCAGCAGTTGGAACTCGAGCACCGTCACTGCCGGCGGGAATTGTGCCGCCGCATGAGCACTGCCAGGACGGTCTGCGGTCAGCGAGTCCCAAAGCGCCTTGGTGGTGGCGGTAAGGCTGACAAGATCAGCGATGCATGTTGCTTCTCCGCCAGGCGTCAGTGACAACGCAAAGCCTTGTGTGGTGCTGGCATTCGACAAACCTTGCAAGCCGGCGTTCGCGACTTCAACACTCAACCACGTAAGTAGGCCGTTGGTGCGAACCAGCTCCTCGGAAACTTGCCTCGAGCACGAGACCAAGCGGTGAACAACACTGCGGACAAGGGTGCGCGTTGATACATCAAGACACAGCGACGAATTGATGAAGGCCATGAGCATTTCAGGCACATGGCGCCGGCGCAGCACGTCCAAATCCATCTTGGTTCGCACGCCTGTCGCGAGCACTCGGAGCAGCCAGTTGCGCTCCTTGCGGTGCAAAGGCTGCTCTCCGGCGTTGTTCGATCCGGATTTGGCCCCACTGTCGATCTGCAGGGCGGCTGCGGATGAAAGACTCGCCGAGTCGAGCGTTGCGCTGTTGAACAGCTGGTAGAACATGGGAATGTCGTCCAGCTCCAGCGCAGGCCGCGCCAACAAGTACTTGTTCAGCGTCGCATACAGGGGATGCGCAGAATTCGTCACAACACGAGCAGCATGCACGACGACCGACATCAGCACGGATGGAAGCTGCTGCGCACGGCTGACAACCGCATTGCGGAGCGACATGAGCAAGACTCGGAGCTGTGTGCGCTCTCGGAAGCGTAAATCTTCCTCCAGCACCACCATGAACTGGCCCAAACACGTGTAGCCGACCATGCGGGTGGACTCGTCTTCGGACGCCAACGAGGCAACCAACAAGCCCAGAGCATCGCTTCCAACAAAGCGCTCGCAGTCAGTCATGTTTCCGGCAAAGAGCAGATTGGTCAACAGTGGCAGCATGAAAGTCGGGTCGTAACCAAGGTGAGGCGAGGAGAGCACGGTCGGTTGCATTGGGGCTGTAGCGAGTGGGGTGAGCTTGATGCGGCTCTGCCGGGCCATCTCGCGCATTTCTTCCAGCGAAATCGAGGCAACGGAGCACGACGGCACAAAGTTTTCAATGGCATGACGCATCAGCTGGGGATCCAGCCTCTCAAGACAGCGCTGGGTGGTGGTGTTGCGGAGCTGCTGGAGTTGCAGCTGTTGCTGCGACCGAAGCCAGTCGTTCGCGGTCATGGCGGGATCGCCCCAGCTGAACGCATACGAGGAAATGGCAATACCCCGATGCTCATACTCGAGCATGAGGCCAAGAATGCAGCGGTCCACATAGCTGGCAGTGCCGCCATAATGTGCCAGCAGCTTTGGCACGTGCTCGAGCACGGCGCACCCGGTGCCTTGAGCCAGTTCAAACAATTCCCGCAGCAGGACCAGCGCGGCGATGGATGAGCGGGTGGCGCTAGAGATATCGGCAGGGTTGAGAGATGCGCCAAAACGAGCACCAGTGGAAGATGATGCAATGCCCTGCCCAGTCGAGCTTGCTGCAGAGTCCCCGGCATCGTCTTCCAGAGTCGCATCATCCTCGTCGTCGTTTTCTTCTGTGTCGTCATCATTGGACGATTCACGGCCTCGTGCCGGTCGGCCATCAGTGGACTGCGCTTGGACACGTTCGGCAGCCACGGTGCTCAGCGTACCCGAAACGGCAAACCCATCGAGCAACTTGTTGTAGAGAGCGGCGGGCGAGGGCAACGCCGGGTCAACGGCAGTCGTTTTGTCGTCAACTTGCTCGTAGAGCCGTGGAAGCAGTTGCGCCAATGCACCAAGGAAGGACGCGTCCGAAGCGCGAGCGCGAATGCACCGCTCCAAGAATGGCGACACGACGGCCTTGACGATTCCGGCTCCATGACGAGCGCCAAAGTGCGTCCACGGTTCGAGAGGCAAGGCGAGCACTTGCTGTTCCAGCACTTCGAGGAGCTTTGGCACGACACAAACGGACGGCGCCAAGGCGTCTGTGAGGTTTTCGTGAATCAGCAGAGTAGCGCAGCGCATAACGGCAAGGAGATAGTGTTCCAAGAGTTCCGGCTCGGAGGAAGCGGGCCCCGTCATGGCGGACAAGAGCTCAAGCTGCAACGCACTGAATGACGTCTGCTGGCTGAGCGGAAGGTCGCACACCGAGCGCAATGCAGTCACCACTGCGGTCTTAGCCGTCTTGGTTTCGGCTGCCGAGTCCAAAAGCACTGCCTTGAACGCAGCAATCGCAAACTCGACCATCGGGCGATGGACGGCGACGGACTGCTCCTTGGACTCTTGCAGCGATGCATCTTGGACAGCGTCCGCCAAGATGGGTAGCCACGGCTGCAGCACGCGCACGCGGGCAGTCGCGTGCGGTCGGGAGACGTTTGGCACTTGCAGCAGAGCAAGGAGGACGGAGCGAATCGCGGCGTTTGCTGTCGGGTCGCTTTGTTGAGGGCGAAGGGCCAGCGTGACCTTGGAATCACGCTCCAAGGCGTCCAGGGCAACGGATGCATGCAGTACAGAGCATCGCACCAGAGCGGCAATCGTTTCGGCATTCACAGGCGTTAGACGGCGCAGGCATGCGGCAGTGTACTCTGGCGCAACCCAATTACTAGACACGCCGACGGAACTGCTGGCTGGGGGTGCAACCAACGACTTGCCTTCGCCAGAAGAAGTAGAGGAGGCGGAGGAGGCGGAGGAGACAGAGGAGACAGAGGCGGTCGTGGCGCGAACCAGGCTCAGAATGATGCGATCAAAGAAGGGGTCTGCGCTCGTCAAAGCCTGCTGAACAATGCGGGGAAGAATATTCAAGGCCAGCAGCGAGGTCGTTGGCGACTTGGCATCTGTTGGTGCGAGAACCGCCAACATCAGCTCAACCAAGACACGAAGGTTGGCATGGTGTTGCTGTTCTGCTGGTGACAAGGCAGCAGCAGCAGCAGCAGCAGCCCCTTGACCCACCACCAGCCCGCTAGGCAGAGCGAGCAACTCGGCCAAGAGCTGCAGAGCTGCACCCGACGGGAGATGTGGCTGGAAGGCACGCACGAGCGAAAGAACCTCAGCCGACGAGAATGCAGATGATGCTGGTGCATCTGGAGCCGTCGCGACTGCCACCGCCTGTGAGTCTGCGCGACGTCGCTTGTCGCGAGGGGTGGCGGGTGCTGTGTTGTTTGAGGGCGGAGCAACGATGATGGTACCAGCAGTGCGCACGAGGGCACTTGCCGAGTCAATGATGCGCTGCAGCAGCGGTGCGGTCTGTCGCTCCGCCACTGCCGAGCCGACGGCACAGGCCAGTAGCTCGGACACCTGGAAGGTGACCAATAGGGCAGCCGAGTCGAGGGAGCTTGATTTGGCGCAAAGAAACAGCGACTGCGCAATGGGATGGTCGAGAATGGTCTGGAGCATTGCAGCCGGCGATGCTTCCGCGTCCAACAGCTCGTGCAAGCAGCCGAAAATGAGATCAACACAGCTGACGAGGCCAGTTGCGGCTTTACCAGTTGTTGCAGTCTGGCTCAGCAAGACCTCACCCAGAGCACGCAGCAGTTGGCGACACGCGCTCAAACGGAACGCAGGGTCGACACGCAAAAGAGCTGTCTTGACAGAGTCTCGCACGAGCGAGGGGAACGGTGCAGCGCCCAACGTTGAAGCGGCCAGTTTACACGCTTCGGTAATGAGCACGGAGAACGGAAGGGCAGACACGGCTTGCTGGAAGAGCGAGAACTCGGGATGCGTCGTCTGACATTGAGCGGCTTCAAAGAGCGAAGGGAGCGACCACGACATTGCCAGCCATTGCGAGACGGGAGCAAAGCTACCACGCAAGTACGATTGGCACACACGCAGGAGGTCGGCAAAGCAGCCTCCAGCGAGCGAGGGTGAGCCAACACTTGTTTGTTGCAAGAGAAGGCTGCGCACAAGCAGCTGTGTTTCCGCTTGCATCTCGAGCTTGGAGGCGACAGGTGGTCGTCCAAGTCGCGACTGAAGATCGTGCGCGAGCGTCGATACAGGGGTTTCACTCGCGTCGAACAGGCGCAGCTGCGTCGCAAACAACGACGAGTCCGAAGCCGCCAGTGCCGCAGAGAGCGCGCTCGAATGGGAGACAGAGTGCAAACAGCGCGCTATCAAGGCACGGCCAAGGACTGCCACCGTCGGAGGGAGAGCATGCTGAGCCTCGGACGCTTCGACGGCCGCGGGTTCGATCGGACGAAGGAATTGTCCGTCCATTGCAACAATCAACGCCAACGGTGAGGTTTGCTCTTGAAGGACTGAGAGAAGAACACGTTGAAGGTATTCTGCAACTGCCAGGTGGTGGGCGAATTGCTGGGCGGGCTGTGGTTTGTTTCGCGTCGAGAAGAGCATGCGGTTGACCAAGTTGCACGCCTGCAACACAAGTGGGCTGAACTCGGCGACATTGGCAGCACTCAGTTCCTGCTCCATCACCATGCAGAGGACGGCATTGCCAGAAGAATGCAGTGTGGGCTGCAAGGCGGCGCTGGCAGTCACACGTTGTCGCAGCTCGTTCGCTTGCTGGTTGGCGTCGAGGACGAGCTGCATCCAGGGGTACGGGTCCCGGACAAGCGCACACAGGCTGTCGTCCAAGAACTGGACCAGAGGCACGGACGGCGTCAAGTGTCGGAGCCAATGCAGCGGTTCGATGGCGAGCGCAGACCGGAATGGTGCGTCCAGCACATCTCCGAATAGTTCCGTGTCTGCAAGCAGTTTGACAATGACCAAAGAGGCGAGTGATTTGATAGCGGGGGTACCAGATGTCACGTACAACTCGAGGAGTTTGCCAAGGCCAGAGAGCTGCTGCTGCTGCTGCTGCGGCTGCTGCTGTTGTTGTGATTGCTGTTGTGATTGTTGTTGTGATTGTTGCTGAACAGATTGTGTGGCAAGAAGTTTGCGGCTGGGTGCACCGCACTTTGCCTGCCACTTGAATTCAGGAGAGACTTGGACGAGCTGTAGGATACACTCTTGAACAATAGGCGGAGAGGACACCAGGAGATCGCCGACCAGCAACTTGCCTACGTCAAACCGAGATTCGAGGAACAGATCGGGCAAGTGTCTGCAAAGGCACGTCAAGAGTCGCAACGCATCCGTGAAGAGCAGCATTTGCTGCTGCGAATTCACGGCATTGGCATCGGAGGAGGAGGAGGAGTCCGACGCCGAGACTTCCTTGTCCAGCCTATACTGCGAGGTCAGGGCAATCACAATTTGCAGGTCGGGCATTCGAATTCGAAGCGCAAGACGGAAGGAGCGCATAAAGGTGGCAATTTGCCGCGAGGTGCTGCCATCGCCGCGGGCAGCCAGATCATCCAGGTGTTGGCTGACTTGGTCTGCCTTGGCAAAGAGGGAGAGCAGGAGTTGCATGACAGAGTGGCGGACAAGCGCCGACGGGTGTTGCAAGCCAATGCTCAATGCGCTTCGTGTCATCACCTGCTCGGGGAGAATGTGCTCGACAACAAAGCGGGCATCAGCAGGAGGAATGTCTCCGAGTGGAGGAATGCTCGTGACAAGCAGCACTCGGCGAAGCAGCTGAACATTCGCCAGCCACCGAGAGGACAGGCGGGGCTCAAACGAAAACGGGACAGTGAGCAGGTAGGGCAGCGTGAGCTCTGGGGTTTGGTGGAGGATGGAAACCACCAGGCGTCGCACCAGCAGGTCCTCATTGGCGCTGGTCAGCGATTGCAAAAACCGATGTAGCGTGGAATTGGCCGTGCGCTTGAGGGCGGCGGGTGTCACTGCGTTGTTGCTATCAGCAGTCTTGAATGAGACCCCTGCTTGGGTCTGCTGTGTGGGCGCGTTGGCAAACTTTCCAGCATGCCACCGACTGTCGATGAGCCAGATGCCATGCTCGGGCGATGCGCAACAGCTCACGAGAAAGAGATGGACCAGATGGCGGAGCGTTTGCGCAGTGGCAAAGGCTGCCGTGAGGCCTTGGGTGGCGGCTAGCACATCAGTGTCATTCAAAAGAGTAACGGCGTTTTCCCCCTGGTTTTCGTCAACGAGCTCGAGTTCGGGGTGAGGGCCTGGCGCAGCCTCTGCTGATGCGGCGCGCTTGCCACGTGCAGATTTGGGCTTTGAGTTGACTGTGACGGTTGACTGGTAGTACGATGCCAATTGCTCGAGCACCTGCGGTTGAAAGAAGGCAAGTTTGCTGCGTTTTGGCAAACGAGGCACGCGGATGACGTACTCATCCAAGTGGCTCAGCGCAAAGCGGATGGTGGGGAAGGCATCGCCTTCCAAATCTCGCAAGAACAGGCCCAAGGGTGAAGGCTCGGTGGCGTTCGCCATGGCCAGCGCTCGGGCCGTCAAATTCGCATCGCGGTGCTCCAGTGGTCCGAATGCAATTCTGATGGACAGTTCGCGACCAGAGTCGGTGTAAGGCGAGCCCACTCCCAGCAGCCAGGGTGCGGACTGTTGCTTTGGGTTGGCCGTGTACGATGCAAACCAATCCGCGCCCAACGTCTTTTGGCACAAGGAAGCGGAAAAGCACGCGTCCGATTCAGGCACAGCCTCAGCCAGCGGGAAGGATGGCAGCTCGCCTGGAACAAGGTTGGGACGCGATCTTCGCCCCACCAAGCGAACCAGGGCCTTGTTGGACATGGAGAATCCTGCAGTCGAAACGAACAGCTCGGCGGCCGCCTCAGCGCTGTGCCGGCCAATCGCAGCAACGACCCACGCGGCAATAAACGGCGCACGTGCCTTGTCTGACGTTAGGCACTGGTACAGGGTGCGCGTGTGTTCTCGGAGCAACGTGTGCGCGATGGCAGGCCCGGCAAAGCGCAAGTCCTTGTCGATGGTGATTTTGTTCACGTTCTTGACGGCTGCTGCAGGTGCTGCTCCTGTCGCGTGTAAATTCTTGGAAACGTCATCCTCTGCCTGTTGCAAAGCGCTATTGGACGTGTGCACCAGAATCCAGCCGAGTGCTTCGAGTGCAAGCAGCGCGATCGGAGCTTGCCGGTCGTCCGCCTTGGCCGCGTCCAGAATCACAAACAGCTCGGCGCACTTTCGCGACTGCGCAACGTACTCTCGGATGACTGCCGTGAGATCGACGCGCGTCGCATGAGTGGTGGACGTTGCTGACTGCCTTGCACTCGTGTTCGCCTCGCTGCTGCTACTACTGCTACTGACGAGTACGGCCATCGATCCCGACGTGAGATTGCACGCCACAGCCGCCTGCCGACACAGCCGCAGCAGTGCGTCCGTTGCCTCGCCAGCCGTCCCACGCATGGCCGCCACAAACGCAGCGCCCGAGCTGAGCAGCCGCGGCCCGGCATTACTGGTGGTTTCATCAGCGTGGAGGTGAAGGTGGTCCTGCGCCGCGTCCATGCCTGCTGCATCGTCGTCGTCACCATCATCCTCATGATCATGATCAACGTCCATCGACATGACTGATGATGCAGCAGCAGCAGCAGCAGCAGCAGCAGCAGCAGTGTGTGCGGAAGTGCTGCCCTTGAGCGGTTTGGTGGCTCGCGTCGGTCGGAGCTCCTTGCTGTCCACATGGTGGTGGTCTGCTGCCTTCACTGAGCCAGCATCACCCCGACGGTCACCCCGACGGTCATCCTGGTGATGATTCTGGCCATCGTCAACATCATCATCACCATCATCACCAGCATGGCGACGATCGGCGGGGTTTGTGTGCGGCTGTCGATCCCGTCGGTCTGCGCCGCTGTGCTTGTGCTTGTGCGGATGCTCGACTCCCATTGTGTCAGGAAAAAAAAGATGAATGAGGGAATACTAGTGATAATAATAATAATAAGAAGAATTAAAGCAACGATGGATGGATTGGCACAAGTACGGAAGGTACGAACGGAAAGAGTCGGGCCAAGTTGTGGTGCAAGTTATCAGTATTATTACTGTACATGGTATGATACAAAACCCTCATGACACAACTGGTTGCAGCAATCACGACACAGAGTTGGCCATCACTCGTTGGGAAGCAACTCGGCAACCAAAGCGTCGACAAAGACAAACTTTTGTGCGAGTCGATCGCCAGAGAGCTGGGAAAACAAGTGTGGCGAGATGTGTGCAGGAGCAGCAGCGCCTAAGGGATGCGCCTTGAGTGCGTGCTGGTGTGAGCTATGGCGAGAGTGGCGGGGTTGCTTGCCCGCGCGACCCGCCAAGACAGCCGTTTGCGCGTTCGAGATGGTGGACAGAGCTGCAGCCGTCGTGGAGGACTGCAATCCTGCAACAGGAAGCATGGATGTAGCACCCAGGCCCGAAAGCACAGCCATGGCAGCAGCCTCTTCGCGCCAGTGAGAGTCATACTTGAGCGAGAGTCGGTGTGCCAGAACGCTCGCCGCGACCGCGCCCACATGCCTCGGCGAAACGTATACGCTTCCATCAAGGACTGCAAAAGCTCTGGTATCGCACAGCACAAGCACTGAGAATTGAGCAAAAGATCTCCTTTGCGCCGCGAAACAGTCATCAAAGCCAGAAGAAAAAAAAAACAATCAAACCAACCGGGAAACCGAGGTTAATAGGACGCTGCAGCGAGCGGTAATCCCAGAGTCCACAGAAGGGTGATGCCGCAATCGCGATACAACGTCTCGAATGAGTATAGCCATATTTGGGTGCACTGTCACTTTGTGGAACATGTGCACAAATGGGTGCATTTCCTGTTGCAACAGATTTGAAGCACACGTGAGTCTCTCTCTCTCTCTCTCTCTCTCTCAAGGCACGGCCCAACAACAGCCCATCACGTACTTCGGCGACGTTGCAATTCCGGTTGGCGCCTGCCATCAGCACTTTGGGCCGTTCTATTGGCCAGTCCACGACAACGCTCAGCAGCATGTGGTCGAGCAATGGTGGTGTGATGGATGGACTTGGATCCTCGTCAACAATCATGATGATGAACAAATCGCGAGGAATGGCGTACACCTCATCGTTCACTGCGAAGTATCCTTGCAGAAGAGCCTATGCGAGTCAAGACGGGGGGGGGTGGGAAACAGCGCGGCACAAAAATGAATCTTCAAGCTCTCACTCTCTCACTCTCTCAACTCTGGTGCAAAAGAAAACATACCTGCGTGAACAGATTTTGAGTTTGCATGGGCACTTTGCGGAATTTGTCGAGAACGAGAATCGGGGCGACATCGTACAGCTCTCCGTTTGCATCGGATCGAAGGGACGGCATGATGGGGCTAAACTCGGTGTCGAAACCTGAGGAACTCATCGAGGAGAAGCTGGGACTGGCGATCGGACTCGCAGATTTCTGATCAATGGATGTCTGTGTTCGCAGAGCTTGCATGGAGCTCTGCCGGGACTGGAAGAATTGGCGATGGAGCGTTCGGTCCCGACTCTTTGCTGTTTGCGCGACGCTGCCCATGTCGGCCATGGACGATCGCTTGGTCACCGACGGCGGGCGAACGCTGAACGCATGCTGTGCTGAAGTTGCAGCAGCAGCTGCTCCCGGTGCAATTCGAGGAGAAGCTGGTGGATGGTTGAGATCGTCGTCCGAGCTCTGCCGAAGCAGTGGCCTGCGCGTATTAATGGTCTGGATCTCATCCTCGTTCGATGGCGCCGCTAAGAACGACGCGACAGGGCTCGTCGTAACCGTGGGCGATGGTGGCACAGTTCCGCTTGACGATGCAGTGCTTCGGCGATTCGCACTAGTAGTAGTATTGTTATTATTCAAGGCAGAGAAGCTCTCGCTGGATGCTCTCCGCTGCTTCTGGATATCAGTAGCACCTGCCACAGCTGTTCCATGACTTGGTCCGAGTTGTTGCCTTGTACTTGGTAGATTCGCAGTCGTAGTATTAACAGTGTTGGTGATAATCTCGCCCTGGGCTGCATGATGACCACTCGGCGGCGGATCGTCCTCAGTCATGTCCACGGCAATCAGCATGGCTGCAAAGATGTCTCTGGCAGTGGTCGCAGGGGTGCACGCAATCTCGGCGGCCGTCCACGGGGCAGCGAACAGGAACTCGGCAACCTGAGCGACCATTCTGCGCACGTCGAACGACGACCGCACAATCGCTGCAGACGGCGGGATGTGCAACAGCAAGTGGTGGCTTGCGCCGTGGCCGAGCAGCAGGCGGCACCCGAGCAGGGCCTGGAACAGGTTGTCCGGAATCCCAACGCCGAGCCGGTCCTCTGCCAGCGCGTGCAGCCGCTCCACCCAATGCACCGACATTGAAGTGGGGAGAGAAAAAAAAAGTTAAGCGAATCAGAAGCAAAAAAACAAAAGAGATTCTGCTGCTGAGTTTGTAGGGGATTTGGCAGTAAAATAGCAACAAAAGGAGGACTGCATTGGAACAACTGCTCTGAGAAGTTCAGACAGGATCAATTCATATTCATATTCACAAAGGCAACGAAGGGGGTGCACGAAATCATCATCATCATCATCACAAGCCCTCCAGAGGAAAAAAAAAAAGGGGGGGGGGGGAAACCGTCAAGCTACAACGAAACGCCAATGCCGTACAAACCAACAGAGCTCGGCAGAAGCAAGAGCATGCCGTAATTGGAGGGCGCGGGGAGCGTTGCGGCAGCAATTTGGCCCCAGATGGCATACTGAGGGCTGTTGCCGAGCTCTGGCAGAGGAACCGACCACAGGTATTGAGGAGCAGTTGTGGCGGGAATGTCGGTCGGGAGCTGCAAGGCGACAAGGTGCGGCTGGCCGGACGGCAGGCGACACACAAAGACCAGACCAAACACGTTGGCCGTGCTGTTCTGCATGCTGAACGCAAGTGCGCGCGACATGGCCTGAGCGCCCTGCAGCGCCGTGCCAAACTGATGGTTCAGGTCGATGGTCGAGACGACCTTGCCGGCAATGACATCGATGCGCACCAGTGCCGAGGAGTCGGCAAAGGTCAGCCAAAGCGAGGTTTCTTTGCCGCTCGTCGAGCCCGTGAACGCATGGTCGAGCACGGCGTCCTGGACAATCTGGCCGCTCAGCGTGTCAGACCAGGAGAGGTCGATGCGGGAGCGAATCACGCCTCGGTCGGTCTTGTCCTCGATAATGAGCACGGAGAACTGGTACAAATCCGACGATGCAGCCGCCAGCACAATCAGAGCGCCGTCGGCCGCCACCAGCGGGATGGTGAAGGCCGTGTTGTTGAAGCTGAGCGGGTGGAGATTGTACTCGAGATTCCAGACGGGCTGCAAGCGACCGCCAATTGCTCCGGACGTTTGAATGGCAACGAGACTGCCGACGTATGGGTATGGCGCATCGCCCGAATCCGGGAGCCAGCGCGTTGCAGCGTAGGCAACAGTGCCGACGCCGCTGGGCATGCCGAGCGGAATCCACGAGCCCTGGACGCCGCTGCGAGTGACATTGAGCGTCACATGGGCATCAGGAACGCCGTTCGCGTACATGCCCGTCACGCCGCCGTCGTCGGACAGGAGCATAATCACGCCCGAGTCGCTCATCATGGGCGAGAACACTCGGCCAGCCGGCGCGGGCAGCAGCGGAACAGCCCAGTCGACAATCCCCGTGCCTTCGCAGCGGGCGATGGAGTGCGAGTCCCAGCCAATGGTGCCGCCAGTGTAGTCGAGCAGCGGCAGCGTGACGGCGCTCGACGACAGGTCGGGCAGGTCGAACAGCACCGACCCGTTCGCCGGGTTGAGGCTCATCAGTCGGTCCGCATTGAACGCTCCGTTGCAGGCGCACACGGCAGCACCCCCGTTGGCCACGCAGCCGCTGTCAATCTCGCCGATCGCGGTCGAGTGGTCGGTCACAAACCAGAGCACCTTGGCACCGTTCGCGCCGAGCGCCAGCCCATCGCCAGACGCAAAGCCGCTCAGCCCAGTGTCGCAGCGCTCCATCGGGCAAGCATGAGCAGCCGCAGCAAGGACGGCGAGGAGGACGACGACGAGGAGGAGGGGTCGGGGTCGGGGTTGGGGTTGGAGGGGTCTCATGCGTCGTATCAACTGATTGAAAAAATTCCGACTGACTGAATCAACGACTGACTGAATCAACGGGAAAAATTGGTGCAGAAATACAGTTACAAAGTACAATACAAATTGCTTCGTTGAAGCTGAGAGTGTCTGTGTGTGTGTGTGCTGAAGACAGAGCGATCAAGAGTCCAAGGAGAACTGCTGCGGAATGATGCGAGACGTTTGGCTGGTTTTCAGAAAAGCAAGCAAGGTTAGATGGATGGATGGGTCAGCAATCAAGCAAAAGCAAAAGTGTAACGCAACCATCGCGCTTCCTCACTTGAAATCCTTTTCGACTCGAAAGTACGTTTGAATGGTCTCAGACCGTCCAAGCTGAGCGACAAAGTCCTCGTCGTGGGTAATGACAAGCAGCTGGAAGTTGTGCTGCGCCCGTCTGGATTCGACCAATCTGCCACAAGCATTCAAACAAGTCCAAGCAGTCGTTCAGCGCACCGCCCCAGAGCACACTGCAAAAGCAAAAAAAGCCCCATACTTGGCTAGAGCATGTGCCAGACTGTCAATGTTGTCCTTGTCCAGATTGGTCGTGGGTTCATCGAGCGCCAGAATGCCGCAGTTCAAACAGAACGTTTCGCTGAGCGCCATGCGAATGATGAGGCAGGCGAGCACTTTCTGGCCGGCACTGCAGCGCCCGCGAATGTCCATTTCCATTTCGCCCTTCACCATGACGACCTGCGTGTGGACACAACCAAGAAGAAATCAGCATCCCCAAAATAAAAACAATCGACCGCAACATCAGCGAAACCAATAAGCACAGGCACGCACCCGATAATTGTACGACTTGCGACCAGACGCCTGAGTCTCTTCTTCATCGACGTCGGATCGAATCTCGATGGCATCAATGTCCGCACCCTTGTACGTATTTGCCCAGAGTTCGCGGATGATCTCGTTGATCTCTTGCATCTTCATGGCGTGGTACTTCATCACGGCCTTGTCCAGCGCTTTGTGGTACTGCTCCAGATCGTGGTTGGCCATCTTGGTGGTCTTGACAGTGATGAGCTGCTTGCGGAAGCGGTCGTCCACATTGTTGTAGAGGGGCGTCTGCAACTCGCGCGTGATGCCCTTGTCCTGCTCGGCCCAAGTCGCTCGTTGGCCCTCCAGTTTTGCACGCTACATTGCACCAAAAACGCATCAGGGGATGATGAACCGCCAGATGCACGAGTTAGAAACTGCAAACCAACAACCCACCAGCCGCACATCAAACCGAAAACCAAAAAGCGCCTTGCCTCGGACTGCAGCTGTCGCTGCGTATCGCGCGGAACCTGCTTCTCAGTGGCCAGGATACCAACGTTCATCTGCTTGAGCTCGTCATCAATGTTTGCCATTTCCTCGTCGCACTGCTGGACCTCGATCTTTTTGCGACGGAAGGAAATGTTGTCTTGCAGATTGCGACGCACAGACTGCTCACGATCCACTTGTCGCCGGATGCTGGCCACCTTTTCCTGCAGCGTCGTGACCTGCTGCTCCTTGTCGGCCATGGACCGCGACGCGTGGGCCTTGGAGGCGGCGAGTCGTGCGACTTCCGCCTCTTTACCTGCAAGCATCATGCTCGCGGCTTCCAATGTCTTGAACGCGTCCGAGTCACGGGTCAGTGTGGCAGTTTCATCGCGCCAGCGGACGTTGGCTGACTTGAGCGCATTTTCAGACGTTTCGCGCGCGTCCAAGGCCGTCCGCAAGCGTTCCTCTGCAGGCTTGTGCTGGAGTTGAATGGTCTCCAGCTCCTCACCAAGCACACGCGCCGCTGCCACAAGCTCCTCGTGCACGGAAAAACGTCGCTTGGCCTCCTCGAGTTGGCTGACACGACTTGCAAGGGTTTTGGTGACTTCAAAGAGTCGATTCCGCTCGGCATTCACGGCATCCTCCTTTGCACGAATGTCTCGCGTCAGTTGCGAGACCGAGCGACGAAGCATTTCGAGCTCGGCAGCCAAGCTCTTTCGCTCCTCGGAAACCTGGTCGCGAGAGCGACCCGAGCCTGCGGTGGTGGTGAAAACAGGAAACAAAATGTGGCAATGAGTCCCGGCCCTTTTACAACCTGTTTCTCTGGTTCCTCCATCTCCATCCAACAGCTCCCTCCGCTTCATCTCCTTTTCTCTTGGTTGTTTTTTGGCACTCACCTCCTGTCGACTGCAACGTGCGCTCTTGGGCGGCAATCTCATTGTCCAACGCCCGAACATCGCTCGAAAGCCGAGCCAGTGCGGCAGCGTCCGCGCGGAGTTGGTTGGCCAAATCGACAGACTCTTTCTGCTCCGCGACGGATGCGGCAAGATCGTCAACGTTCGCGCCAAGCACCTCGCAAACGGCCGCGGCATCTTCAATCGAGCTCTCGAGTCGAGGCAGCGTCTTTTCCACCAGCTCGGTCAGCTGTGTGCTCAAGGGGCGCAGAGTGTCGAGGCGCTGGAGAAGCGCCTGGAGCTCGTTGAGCTGAGTTGCCAAATTGGCTTTGCGGCCGGGAATGACGCTCAGTTTGTTCTTGTACGTCTGCATGAACTTGTCAAACTCGTCCAATGAAGAGCGGGACGAGGAGGACGAGGAGGCGGCGGCGGCATGGCCACCGTGACCAAACGCGCGTTCACACAGCGGACATGCGTGACTCTGCTCAGCCTTTTTGATGAACGAGCTGTACATGAGCTCGGCCGCATCCAGCGTTGCGAGCACACTGACTGTCTTGGACTTTTGTCGATCAAACACTGTCAATCGCTGGTCGAGATCAGGGTTGCCAGTGCTCTGCACTACAGGCGCCGCCGCGGAGGACGGTTCGGCCGCAGCATCCTCGTCGCCCGGCTGGGGCGCCGGCTGCATCTCTGGTTGGGCCAGCACCTTGTTGAGTTCGGCTTGAGCCGCATCTCTCTGGGCGGTTGCTCGCTTTTTCTCGCTGTGAAGCACTTCCAGCTGCGCCTTGGCACGGGCATGCTCGTTCTCGGCGTCACGCAGGCGGGTTTGCTCTTCCTTCAAGAGCTTGGTTTTGCGCTCGAGCAGTTGAGCCAGCGCCGAAGAGAGATTGTCGTCGCGCGTGTTGGCTGCGGCCGCTGCAGCCGAGAACCCGGGAATCAACGTCGCAAAGTCTTGCTCGCGCGTGCGCAGCATGGTTTCCCGTTCGTTTTGCTTGAGGTCGCGCTGTTGCCGCTTGAGATCAAGCTGGGCACGGGCACCAAGCTCGGAGTTAATAGACTCGAGCTCTTTATCCAGCTGCTGCAGGCGCTGCTGCGATGTTGCGACGGAAGCTTCGGTCTGCCGCAGCTCGGCCTTGGGCTGCGGATTGTCGGCCTCCTGCTTGAGTTGCGCGACTTTCACCTCGAGCTCGCTCGCATACGCCTGCTCCTTTGCAAGATCCTGCTCGAGCTTGGCGGCAGAGGACTGCCCCCCACAGAGGGACTTGGCTTCATCCAAGGCGCGAGCTGCCCGATTCTTCTTGTCACGCACCTCCTCGTCTTTGGACTTGAAACGAGCTGAAACAATGGAAAGGTCGTTTCTGCGGGCGTCCACATCCGACCCCAGCTTTGCAACCTCGCCCTCAAGGCGAGCGCGATCTGCCTCGATGGTGGCGCGTCGCGCGCTGAGCACCCGCTCCAGCTGCCGACGAAACTCTTGACCAACCGCATCGCGCGGTTTGGCGGCAAGCTCCTCGGGGGTCCGGTAGCCATCGATGCGGTACTTGTTGGCAAGCGTCTGAATCAAGGCATCGCGCTCCTTGACCCGATTGCTCAAGGCATCCAGCTCGCTTTCGGCGCGTCCGCCCTGCGTCAGCAAGCGGTTGAACTCTGCGCGCAGCGCCTCGAGCGCGTCGTTGGCTTGCTTTTGCTGCTGCTCGGCCTCCCGCCGTTGCGCAGCCGCCTGACGGAACTGTTCGTCAAAGCGCTTCTCCATCTGCGCCAGCTCTGCGTCTGTCTCGGTGAGCTCGTTGGTCATGCCGCCTTTAATCTCGGCCAGGTTTTTGACCAGCTGGTCCTTGGCGCTTTCTGCTGCAGCACGGTCTTGTTGCAACGCATTGAATTTGGCCATCTGCGTGTCCAAGCCGGCAATCAGCTTGTTGATGGGCTCGAGTTTTGCGTCAATGCCGGTGATGGCCTCATCGGCGGCTTGCATCTGGGCACGAACGCTCTGCTGAAGCCTTCGTTTCTGTTCATCCACAAACACCCGAGCCGAAAGTCAGCGTCACACCCAGCAGCAGTTTTGCAACCTCAACTCAATACAAGCATCACTCACTTCCTGTGCGGCATCGCGGCATTTTTCCAAATGCTCCAGCTCAATGACCTTCTCCCGCACGTCTTTGACTTGTTCGTCTCGGAACTTTTTGATGTTTTCAAGAGCCTTGATGTATCTGGGACGAGCAAACAACAACAATAACAAAAAAAAAACCAGTTTGAATCAACGTTGAATCAAAACTGAATCTGACGCCGCCACAAAACGTACCGGGTTGCAGCAAAGATGTCGTCAAACTTTTCCTTGAGTTTCTTTGGCTCGCTCAGAGGCCTGAAGAGCCATGAATTCATTGAGCGCGAAAAGCTCCCAAAAGCACCGTGCCTTACCAGCTGCTTTCCTCTTGGTGGCAAAAGATGACATTTTCAAGCACTGCCTTGGACACACCGAGCTCAATCGGGATGAGGCGATCCATGTCGGCGCATTTGGAACTGATGCTTTGTTTCTGTCAACAATAAACAAAAAAAGGGGGCAATTCAGCAAACACGAAATTGGAATCAAAACAACACCCATCATCGCTCGCATTGTGGTGCAAAGAACCGCACCAACAAAACTCAACAGCAACAGCAACAACAAAGTCCATCTGAGCGACAACGTGCGCTAAGAATTGGCGCTTACTTCTCCAGTGACCGGATCAATCGTCAGCAGCGTGCTTTCGATCGTCTTGCACGACGCCTTCTTGGCTGTCTGTGTGACTTGGAGGCGCCGGCTGCACACCATCGACTTGCCACTGACGTTGGTGAAGCGCAGCTTGACTTGCGCCTTGACTTCGCGCTCCTTTGCAAGCTAAGCGCGGTGACAAACGAGGGCGCGCGACGGTCGGCCAGTCAGTTTCCACAGCAAACCACGCAAGTACAAGAAGGGATGCGTTTTCACAATAATGGTCGTCCAATGGACGTGCGAGCACGCGGCAACAGGATGGGGGGGGGGGCGATGGGAGCGCGGCAAAAATCTGGCGGGAAACGAGTTACCTTTGGATCGAGCACGAACGACACGCCGGACTTGCTGTTTGGCGGCAGTTCGCCCGTGGTCACGTAGCGAAGGCACTCGATGATGGTCTGTTTGAACACACACAGCAGGAGCAGCAGCAGCGAGCGTTAGAGAGAGAGAGAGAGAGAGAGACAGAATGGACGGCGTTTGTGACGCGTTTCATGCAGGAAACCAGATGAACGAACAACTTGTCAGTGCGCCGCCGCCCCTCCCGCAGCCGGACCCCAGCACTCTGGTTACCGTCTTGCCAGCACCGTTGTGGCCGACAATCACGGTGAGCGGCGTTTGAAACCGAATGTCGCAGGCGTCATTGGAGCTGAACGACCGGATGCCCTGGATCGAGAGGCGCTCAATCGTCGACATTGAGACTTCAAAGGAAGAGAAAAAAAAAGTGTGGACTGAATGACATGGAGACTATGATATGGAAGCAACACCCGAAAGAAGAGCAGCAAGAACGAAACGGTCAAGAAATAAATTTTTGGGCTTAACACGGATAAAAACCAAAAAAACAAAACACCAGGACAAGTTGAATCCAAGGCAGAGCAACAAGAGGGATCGGAGAAGAGACAAGGGGGGGGGGGGGGCAAGGCATCTACACAGTTAGGCTCCCTCGCGACACCACCCAAGCGCTGCTTAGACAAAGTCGTACGACTCGACGCCAAAAGTTGTTGCCGCCGAGAACTTGATTGGCGATTGATTGGTGCTGATGACGGCACCGTTGATCTGTAAGGCCCCAAGATACATCACGCACAGAGACGATTAAAAACAACATTTTCAAGGGGCAAAGGCAACCATACAGGCGATCATGCGCGCCTTTTTTTTTTTTTTTTTTTTTTTTTTTTTTTTTTTTTTTTTTTTTTTTTTTTGTGGCTCTTACCTGGAAATTGGCAAACGTTTGGGTGGACGAGAAGCCGACCGACACGGGGAAGAAGCTGTTGGCATTGCCGGTTGCAGTCTTGAACTCCATCGAGCCAGTGGCGTTGCTGCTGTCGACAACGGGGATGGACCAGTACAGCTTGGACGACTTGACATCGAAATCGTAGCTGCCATCAACAGATGCAACCACAGGTGCCGATCGATTGGAGCTGCATAGTCCCCCGCAAAGAACAAAACGGAAATGAATACAACAAAGATCCAACAGAGCGAGACGGCCGTTCCAACCAAGCGCCAAAAACTTACGCAACAGGAATGGCAATCACAACGTCTTGCAGTTGAAGCGCAGTGTTATTCAGCTCGTATTCAATGTTGACATCGCAGGAGCCGTCGGGATTGGGCTGTGGCCAGCAGTTGACTACCACAAACGGCAACAACACAAAGCATCAGAGTTAGTGGGGCACTGATCAAGAAAAAAGAAAAAAAATACAAAGACAAATAGACGCCCTCCAAGGCCAGCACCAAAACAAAACAAGCATACCTGACAGCGGCAACTGGCGGTCGTCGGTGGTGGTCATGCGCCACTTGAGCACACCGAGCTCAGCGTTGGGAGGCCATGGCTTGGAAGGATCCTTGAGCGCAACGAGGCTTTGGTCGGTGAAGAGCTTCTTGTCTACGTTGGGGTGTGTCTTGAATTGGAAGCTCTTTTCGTCGGGAAGGGAGAGCTGGACGGCAATGGCCGGCAATGCGGGGTCTGCTACTCGCAAGAAGAGATCGCCCTTGACTTCCATATTCTCGAGGCCGAGATCGCGCTTGGCGCGAACGACAATCTTCTCCTCGATGCGGACGTGCACGGCTTCTGTCGGCACAGCAGGTGCGGCAGCAGCGGCAGCCTTCGCACCGGCGCTGCCGCCAAGTCGAGCACCACCCAGTGCGGGCGCGGCATCTTGTTGGACGAGCTCGCCATCGGCAATAAGCGCATCAACGAGTTCGTTGGTTTTAGGCTTGCCTCCAATCTTCATGCCTCGGCTAACAGGGGCAGACGACGCAGGCCTGCGACAGACCAAGACAAAACCAAGACAAGCAAAAAAAAAAAAAAATACAAAAAAATCAGCATCCAAAACTCAGAATCGACTCAACCTCCCAAAGCAGTCCTCCCAACATGTAGCTACTGGGCTCATACTTTGACGAAAATGCCGTAGAGTTGGCAGAGGAAATGCCTGGCGAATTCTGGCCCGAGGAGGACATGGATCCATAGCTGCTGGAGGACGAAATGCCCTGGGGAATGCTGACACCGCCCATGCCGCCGCCCATGCCAGGGGTGCCCATGCCACCGAACGAGGCCGAGCCAAAGCCGCCACCCGCTGGAGGCCGACCCTGGCGCATGGCGTTGCGCTTTTCGCGCTCGAGCTCCTTCATCTTGAGCTTGAGATGCTCCTTGGCCTCGCGCTCCTTGTTTCGCTGCTGCATAATGTGGACCATCTCCTCGTGCGAGTCCATCTCGGTGAATGTGCGGATTTGGCTGAGGTTGACGCTTTCCCTGTATCCCAGCGCCACAATCTCGTCAAACGCAAAGATGAGCTCAAAGACGTGATCGGCGACGTCTCGCTCCTCGAGCGTTCGGCAATACTCGGGGATCTAACATTGGGAGGCAGCAAGCAAGGCAGATGTTGTGTGTGTGTGAGCGACTCCGAGTCCAAAGTCTCAATCCAGGAGATAACAAAAACCGATCGAGCACTCCTTACCACTTTGGCAAACATGCGCAGCGTCTCCAAGTCCTCAAGAATGTTGCTGTTCTTGGTCGTGATCAGGACAATGTAGAGCAAGTCCAGTGGTTGATACACGTAGCGGACCGTGTCTGTTTCGACAAAAGTGTGTTGCTTGCCCTCCTTGATGAGCTTGGGGAAGCCCGCGAGCAGGCCCTCGACGCGCGAGCGTGTCATTTCGACAAACTGGCGCGAGACGATTGCTGTTGCAACGCAGAATGGCAGAGAGAGAGGGAGAGAGAGGGACGATGAGCAAGAGAGAAGAAGGAAGAAATGCGAGATCTAAAAAAACAGAAAAAAAAAAGATGCGTATTGTCGCCAAGTCATCCTCTCAAAGCGGGGAGGGAACCGAGGCTGCTCAGGAACGAGAAGGATGAGGTGGCATTGCATGTATGAACGGCTCCCAACCCTGCTTCTCTTCCTTGAGGAGGGGTGGATGGTTGTGCCACGTCGCCCCGCTGCAGCATCATCAAAACGCAACGCAACCAACAACGACTTCTGCTTCTGCTTTCTTACGCTTGCCCGACTTGGTGCAGACCGAAGCTGAGAGGAGAACCTGCAAGTCAACAAGAGGGCACAACGGGGTCGACAAACCAAACGCAGAGAGTGAGATCATGAAGCGATGGAGAGGCGAAGATGTTTGGAAGAGCGCTCGACCCCCCTCAGCCACGTTCCAACACCGCCGTCGCGTTGCCCTGCGATGAGCGCCTCATGCAAGTGTGTAGTCATGCGATCTCTTGGCGGTGGTGGTGGTGGCGGAGAACAACCTCAAGCACCAAATTTTCAATCTCCTTCCAACTCATTCGCTTCGACTTGACCCGCAGTCACCCCATGCTCAACCGATCCAGGTCACGCTCGATTTTGGTAGCGTTTCCAGGGCCGTGTCTTGCTACTGGGGCCCGTCCGAGCCCCTGCGCAGAGTCAACAGTCAAGCTACGCACCATGTCTAGTTCGGGGCAATGGTAGTCCAAAGAAAAAAAAATGAATGAAAAAAAAAATCACAAAAACGAAACAAAGAAAAAAAAAAATTGAAAAGCCCAAGAAATTGAATTTGGCCGCTTCCCAATCCGGCTTGCTCTCTCTCTCGACCGTATGTGAACATCCGACATTGCAATGTTGCTCCTCCTGCCTCAATCCGATACAAAACCATGTCCTCTCATCGATTCGCGCCGAGGGGCGTGTGATACGATCAGCGAAACCGGGGATGGGGCCTGTGAAAACCGGGGCGTTGGAGGGCGAAAAACGAAAGAAAGCGTTTTGCTGCAGCAGAGTGGCTTGTCGCCTTTTCCCCGCGCCTTGTTCGGCACCGCCTGTTGCAGCTCGTAGCGTCCGCTGTGTTCCTGCGAGTGTCATTTGCCATGATTTCGCAGCTTGAAGCGCCGGCACGCTCGGCCTGGGAGATGGAGCAGAGAGGGGAAGGGAAATTCGCAGCAGAGACGAAGAGGTCTGACTTTTCCTCGTTGTTCGTTCCCGTCGCTTTCTCGCTGCGCCGCGACCGCGACCCGTCGAACGGCATAACGGCAACAGCACGGCACTGTGATTTATTGTGTCCGGTGCCCTACGTTGCTCAAACAGGAGAGACACGAGTTGTAGAGCAACTCTTTGTTTCCGCGCTTTTTTTTTTCTCTTTTTTTTTTTCTTTCTTATCCTGTTTGCTGTCGTTCTCTTTTCCCCTCTCACCTACCGCTTGGCGCACGACACACACCAACATATACTCCTCCATCTTCTGGCATCCCAAACGACGCGCGCTGCACTTGTCTGTGACTTGTTCAACTCACTTTTTTTGATTCAATGGCTTTTTTTTTTTTTCGCGCCATGCAGACTTTTCTTTTTTCCTAGAGCGATGCAGATCTTCGTCAAGACCCTTACTGGCAAGACGATCACTCTCGATGTTGAGTCTTCGGACACCATCGAGAACGTCAAGGCCAAGATCCAGGACAAGGAAGGAATCCCCCCGGACCAACAGCGTCTCATCTTCGCCGGCAAGCAGCTCGAGGATGGCCGCACTCTTTCGGACTATAACATCCAGAAGGAGTCGACTCTCCACCTCGTCCTCCGCCTGCGTGGTGGCATTATTGAGCCCTCGCTCAAGCTCTTGGCCGCCAAGTACAACTGCGACAAGATGATTTGCCGCAAGTGCTACGCCCGCCTCCACCCGCGTGCTACCAACTGCCGCAAGAAGAAGTGCGGTCACACCACTCACCTCCGCCCCAAGAAGAAGCTGAAGTAAATCGTTCGCCTCCGCTCACTATCCGCCCGTTGGCTCTGCGGATATTCTGCGACGGTGTTACGAGGGGAGTGTTGTTTTTCCATGTATATGCTCCTTTTTGTTTCTGCGTGGATGGATGTCCTATTTCCTTGTTCTTCCATTCAATCTAAACCGAATGCTCTGATATGCCGTGTTTTTATTTTTATTTTTATCGCAATGGTTTGCTTTGGGAGGAGGAGGAGGACAAAGTTGGTCAGTCATTTCACATCATCCATCAAAAAGTCAAGACAACTTTCTACAAACCATGACTACAACAGCGGCTCAACCCGTAGCCCCGTTGATCAGTGCCAACATTCCCGAGAAGATTGTACGACGCCACGCACATGCAGAGCGGGCGCAGAGGATGCAGAGAGAGAGAGGATTGCAAAGATGAAGCCAGTTTCAGCCAACTCGCCGACAGGCTTGTGTGTGTGGTGCAAAAGGCGGTTCCCTTGTAGCTTTGTTTGACTCATGCCACGTTTCTGCTTCATGTTTGGAGCAGGTCTTCTGTGTCGATGCAAGTCCCGAGACGCTCGAAAAGATGATGGCGAACAATCATGAGTAAGCAGTTCGCAGCAAACCCTTGACCCCTTGACCCTTTCATTCACTCTGCGCGCTCTCTGTCGTGTGTCTGGGCCTGGAACACAACAGCAAAACCAGCCTGAACTACTTCCAGACAGGCTTGCGGCGATTCGTGCAAATCAAAAGCACTTTCAGTCCGTCGCACGAATACGCTATCGTGACGCTGACAGACCGCGCATCATGGGTATGTGTGAAAGCGTTCAGATTGTATTGTAGTTGCGATCTCGATGGGCGTGAAAGAAACGCAAAACGGACGCAGTCTCGGGTGGACAAATTCGATCGCTTTGTCTCGTCTCTCTCGCCTCAAACCTGGTTTTTTTTTTCTTTCAGTTTGCCCCGCTGACCAACAACGTACAAGCAACGGTGAAGGCCATTCATTCAATTGTGCCCAAATCCGAGCCATGCACATCGTTTGGTAGGCATCCGATTGGGATTGTTGATTTTGCGACGATTTTGCAGTGAATTTGGCCGCGAGTCTCTGACTGACTGAACGTCATGCTTTGGTTCCACGAACAATGACAGACATGCGCTCCGTATACGAGACCGTGTAAGTCGCTACTGTGCTCTCGCCATTTCTCGCATGAGGATGTTGGATTGCTGATACTGACAATCCCCGTCCACCTCATTCAGAGCGGCCAACATTCCTCCGCCAACGCGCGTCGATAACTCTTGGTCGTACGTTGTACGCGTCATTGTGCTGTACGCACGATCTGCCACAATCCCCCATTTTTCCGGAGGCGAGCAGGTAAGAGAGATGGCGAACGTGGATTTCCCTTCCCTCCCTGCGCCAAAGCTCACGCGTTCCTGACACTTTTGGTGTTGTAGGCTTCCGCATCTGTCCACCGACCATGGCTGTTTTGCGACTATGTGCTTTTGCATCGCAGGCATGAGCACGCCCAGGTGAGTTTCGTTGCTGACTGTCGAAAATGCTTGTGCTTTTTCGCCAACTTTTTTTTGTTTTTTGCTTGGTTTTTTTCGTTTTGATTGCTTTTTTGTCTTGTTGTCCCAACTCTCCTTGTGCTGCCCAGAGCATCTTTGACTCCTTTTTCGAGTTCAACAAGATTGCTCAGCCCTCGCAGTACTACTTTGAAGTTCATCTCGCCCGCAAGTTTTACACAGCCCTGTGCCTGCTGCTTGGGCATGCATTACAACGTCCGTCACAGCTCATGCAAGCAAAGCAGACGGAACAAAGCTCCATGTCTGAGCCACTACCAGTGGCCGCATCTCAAGAGCCCTCCATGCAAAACTCGCGAGCTCATTCGGTGGAAAATCTCACCACTCTGCCGACTGAAGCCCCCGGTCAGGCGATGGACACTGCGCCGCTGGGTCACCAGCATCCACATCAACCAATCAGCCAAGGCATGCAAATGCTCCCCACAGAAGAGCCGGCAACAGTGCACCAACATCAACTGCAGTCGCAAGCAGCGTTGTTCGGTGGAGCAAACTTCTCGGAAGCGGATCAGCATCTTTCCGAGGAATTGCGAGCAACAAGCTATGAAGCTCCTCAAACTGAAGCAAACAATTTGCAACCGCAACAACAGGAATCACTAATGGTTCTTGAATCGCCTCCACCAGCACCCGCAGCAGCAGCAGCAGCAATGCCAATGCAATTCATCAATCCTGCTGCACTAGCGATGCTTCAGAGGCAGCAACAGTCTGGCAACTAGGTGTAACAAACCAACTGATCCAACTGAAGACACACAATAAAAACGTCGAAGGCAAGGAGAAAAATTCATTTTTTTTCTTGATACAAGATTGGCACAGCCAAAGCTACTCAGAATAGACACACAGCGATGCAACAAGCGCCGCAAAAAAGCGAGCAAACAAACACACAGAAAACAACAACAAAAAAAAAAACCAGCACACGCCATTACAAAGAGCGCAATTAACGGCAAAAACAAAAAACACACAAACATGATCGCAAACACACCGGAAAAAGCGTATCGTTGTGGGACGCAAGCGCTAGTCCCAAAAGCGAAGCTTTCGATACGTTCGCGCAAAAGAAAGCCGATGAAACGAAGACACACACAAACACAAATAAAGAAAAGAAGAAAAAGAGAAAAAAAAGGAGGGATGCAAAATCAAGCAAGTGCACAGACACACACCCAACGACCATAATCTAGAAACAATCGAGGCACATTCGGCTCCTCTTTGTTTAGAGAAGACCGCAGTCGCGCAAGTTGTTCTGGATGATAATGTCGGTGACGGCATCAAACACAAACTTAATGTTGCCAGTGTCGGTGGCGCAAGTGAAGTGCGAATAGACTTGCTTCGTTGTTGATCGGTTCATCTTTTCAAACTTGTTCTTGATAAACTCCTTGGCATCGTCGGAGGTGTTGGGGCCCTCGTACTCGCTAAATGCAATCTTGAGCGACGACTTCTTGATCTTCTCCTCAAAGAGATCGAGCTTGTTGAGGAAGAGGATGATCGAAGTGTTCAAGAACCACTTGCTGTTGCAGATCGAGTCAAAGAGCTTGAGCGACTCTTGCATGCGGTTCATCGTCTCGTCCTCGGCGAGCACCTGGTCAAAGGCGCTCAATGCGACGCAGAAAATGATGGCAGTGACATTCTCAAAGCAGTGAATCCACTTCTTGCGCTCAGAGCGCTGGCCACCGACGTCAAAGAGCTTGAAGAGCAAGCCGCGGTAGTCAAAGTGCGACTCGACAATACCAGTGGTCTTGACGCGGGTGCGCAGAACGTCCTGCTCGTTGGGCACGTAGTCCGCGGCAGCAATGCGGTCGATCGAGTCAAAGTAGTACTTGGCCGAGTCGTTGAGCTGGTACTCGCGCGAGCGGTCAAAGCAGGCAAGCACGCCGCTGTCCACCCACAGGCGCTTGATGGACTCTGCAAGCTGCTTGGTCAGGGTGACGCTCTCCAAGTCAGCACCAAGACCGAGGATGGACGAGGCGTCCTTCTTGAGCTCCTCGTTGGCAAAGCTAATGCCAAGGGACTCCATGGCCTGGAGAATGACCTGCATCGAGTTGATCGTGTTGTTGAAGACGATAGTCTTGAACTGGTCGCACTCGTGCGATGTGTAGCCGTTCTCGTGGATGATCTTCATTTGCTTGACAATGGTGGACTTGCCAGACTCACCAGCGCCTGCATCAAGGTAGAAGAATAAAAACACACAAAGTCGGAGTTAGAAACAAAAGGATCAAAACAATCAAAACAATCAAAACAATCTTTTTTGAAAAAACCACAAAACTATTTTTGAAAAAACCACAAAAGCCAAATCAGCAGATCGAATTGTGACAAACAACAAACACACACGATCACACACTCGAAAGTAGGGATTTGAGGGGAAAGAGGGGGGGGGAAGGAGCGAACGACGTAGGGGGTGAAAGAAGAAGAAGAAATCGCAGCGAGAAACAAAAAGAGATAAAAAGAGATAAAAAAAAAAAAAGCAGCGCAGGAATAACCAGCAATCAAATGTATAGCTGCTGTTCTCGCTCTCCAACGATTGGATGGTTTTGTTTTTTTGTTAGCGGTAAACGGCGCATGACTGGTCCATTTGAAGGAAACAGCCGAGAAAATAAAAAACCCCGAGCCATGTGGAGGATGCTGGAACCCCACACTCGACGCGTCATTCTCGCTTGACAACAACGCTCACACAAGCGATTTGTCACAATGCAAGAGAACGACGATGATCCAACAGCTCAGCAAAGACCTCGAGTCATTGGCAAAAGACAAAAGAAAAAAAAAATAAACAAAAAACAAACAAAAAAAAATCATCCACCATAATGTTTGAAGGTAAACAATGTGTCATAACCGCAAAAAAGCCAAAAAAGCAAAAAAGCAGAAAAGCCAGAAAAAAAAAAAGAGAGGGGAAAAGACGACCATCAACATCCCAACCGATGAGTGTGACAAGCAACGGTTGTAAAACGCACCAACTCGCTCTTTGCGAAAGAGAAAGGTGGGGAAAGAGGGAGGAAACGCGAAACGCACACACACACACTGCCGAAAAAAAGAGAAAAAAAAAAAGGCCAAAAAAAAAATAAGCGAGAAAAGCAGCCGTTCAGCACGCGTCAGAAGAGTGCAAAAGCGCAGGCAAAGAGGAGCAGGTGGGCTGGATGGCGAGGCAGAATGCACACGCCCCCTGTTCAGCAACCATCGGCAACGGTAGCAGTGCGAGGCGCTGAAGCGCAAACCGAAAAAAAAAAAATCCACCCACACACATTTCGTCGTTGAAAAGAAGGCAGCTGTCGTGACTGCCCTGTTCTGCTTCTGGTTCGCCTTCCAACCGTCCGGAAGCAGGATGCCAAGACAGGGAGGGCACAGCTGGCACCTCCTTGCAATGGAAGAGCAGACAAACAAGAGGAAGAGAGAGAAAAAAAAAAAAGACATTTTTTTCTCTTTTTCTTTTTGTTTGAAAAGTTTTAAACAAGCACGCGGCGTTTTCGCTATTGGCCAAGCCATCCGCCAGCCAGCGGTTGAGCAAGAGCAAGCTGTGCACGTGCGTCAATACTTGCCAACCTCCACAAGCGAGTGACGACACCAGTGTCAACCAACAAAGACGAAAGAAAGATCTGGCCAAAAAAAAAAAAAAACCGACACTAAAACGAGCGTTCGAATTGCTTTTTTTTTTTTTCGTTGTGTGTCCCACACAGGCGCGCTCGTTGCCGTGAGCACTCAGACGGTCGCCTGGTCGTCCATGCCAACTGCGCCAAAGCAGCAAGGCGCGGCACAAGAGGGTTGCAGCAGTCCCTGGCACGAACGAGTCAACACAAGCAGCAAAGCCACAACACTTTTTCTTCTTTTTTTTTTTCTTTCTTTTAATTTTTTTTTTTTTTGTTCGTGTCGGCTTCGCCCATTTATCCCGCTCGGGTGGTCCGGCGCGGTGCGTCAGGACGCCAGCCGCTGCACGCGCGTGTCGCAAACGCCTCTGCAGTCACCCAAGCACAGGCAGCGACGAGCAGCCGAGCAAGGGGAGGTCGGCAGACCAGAACAACGAACTAGCAGCGGCGAGTCAAAATGCCTATTTTTTTTATTTTCTTTTGATGGCGCTTTTTTTTTTTTTTTTTTTTTGTATTGGTATTGGTTATTTCTGGCCGTCTTTGCTGGCGGAAAACTCACCGAGGAGGAGGAGCTTGACTTCGGTGCTCATCTTCTGCTGATCTTCCTTGAGTTGCTGGTCGATCTGCTTGCTGCGGTCTTGCGCCGCCTTGTCTTCAGCACTCTGTGCACAACCCATTTTGTTATGGTTTTTCAAAAAATAAAAAATAAAAAAATAAAAATAAAAAAAGTGGAGTGAAAGCTCAAAACCCGAATTTAGGACTTGACATTAGCGGTTTTTTCCATCGCACCGGTTGCTGCTGTTGTGTGCGATGGACAGGTCCAAACCGCCTGGTTGTCGGCGGTGGGGGCCACAATGCAGAGCAGCAAGTGCTTGTTGAAGCGACGATTCAATCACAAATAGCAATCAAAAAAAAAACAAAAAAAAAAAACACCTAAAATCTAAACTCGAAAGTGTTTGTTGTTGTTTCGCCAAAATAAACTCACTCGTTCAACACTTTGGATCCTCGCGCTGTCTTGCTTCAAAATGGTGCCGCTTTCACCTTTGGCTTGGGAGGTCCAGTCCTTTGTTTGCTTGTCTCGCCTGCGGTCGCGTGGAGCTGTCGGTCGGCTGGCTGGCTGGCTGTAGGTTCACGGGCAGCTGGGCGTTTTTCGCATGCGACGGTTTGTCGCTTCAAAATTTGGCTATTCGCGTTGCCCAGTGCGACACGGCTCCTTTTTGAACCATATCACACTACTGACCGCGGCCATCGTCTGGCGAATGATGTGCAGTAGAACCAAAAGGCGAGCTCACATCCAGCCACTGGGAAGCGTGCAAAGCCGCCCTGCGCCTCAGTGAAAACACCGAGAAAACGAAAGGTGATGGCTCGCGCCGACATCTGTCGACGTGATGACAGGAGGTGTTCAGGAAGGCATGTTGTTTTTATTTTTCGCCGTGGATGACGTCAAGTGATCTGAGTACCCAGACTGAGCCCCGGGGGTCTGCAATGTAAGCATAGAGAGCAGCGATGGGAGGCGAATGTTGAAACTGCTGCTTGTTTTGTTGTTTTTCGAGACTATTGTCCAAAAGAGAACGTGTGCAAAACCGCGGTATGTTTGAAGTGTAGAACGACATTCCCAAGTACAATCAAGGGATGTTTTTTTTGTTGATTGGATGAAACAGGGCCTGTGCAAAAAGCGGCCAGCAGCCAGCATGGTGTCGGGACCGGTGCGGGCACTGCATTTTCTCTGAGCAGCAGCAGCAGCAGGCACTGCCTCACGGTCACTCGAGTTGTTGCGACACTGCCAAGCGGCTGGTCGACACACCAAATGGCGTTTGCTGGCGAATTGGAGGGTTGCCGCGCACACACTTCAACATGTTTTTTTGTTGTTTTTGTTTTTGTTTTTGTTGCGGGTTTTTTTGGTTAATTCGCGTTCATCTGCAATGCGAGTCACGTCCAATAATGAACTGGACCACATGACGTGAACGAAACGAAATGGCGCAAATTCGCGCGGGTGCTCGTTTGTTGGAACCAACAACCGAATTGCAGATTTTGAATCGAAAGCCACGACCAGCATGAATTGCCTCCACAGCTCGCAGAGGGCTTTGAAATGCTCTGTTTGATCCGAATATCTTTTGCGGGTAATTCTCAATTCCTCATCGAGCACGAGCAGCCTGAGCGCAGTCATTGAAAAACAAAACCCAAAACTCACCATGCTCAGTGAAGCCGACCGGCTCAACATCTGTCGCAAATATAAGTCTACAGTACCATTTTGTTGGCTATTGCTGTAGTAGCGGTCGTTGGGCAGGAACAGGAAAGGGCTGGATGTGAGCGAGTTCGCTAGATCAAACTTGAGCTCGTTCGATAGTGCAGCGGCTTCCAGCGCACCGCTTCAGACCGCCACCACCCTCTGCTGGAGGGCCTTGGCTATGCTCCTACTTGCCCTCGCTCGAACGGGTGGAGAGCAGCGAAGTGGCAGCAGCAGCAGAACTTTGGCTCTGCCGTTGATGTCTAACTTTGACTTTGGCCTTCCCTTCCTCTGTCTCTGTTGGGCAGCGTACACTTCCTCGCGGGGTTTGCGGCTCTGCCATGGCTGCACTTGATTAACATTCTGTGGTTCTTCAACGAGGCCCGACGACCGGGCTCCAACCCGTTGTTCAAGCGATGTACGTTGTTTGACGAATTTGGCTCGTGCTGTGCTCAGATTTTCTCAGACATTTTGCTTTTGACTGACAAACATTGACATGCGGGACTGTGCATCTGCCTTGTGTGTTTGCTTTTGTTTCTCCCACCACCACGACCCGACACACAGATCTGCTGTTCAGCGCGGTCAACATTATTGTCTGGATTGTTGCTCTTGCAGTGTGGATTCCCATCTACCAGTCCAACCGCGCCTCCTGGGGTTCGTTTGGCGATGACATTTCCATTGTGATTCCCAAGGGCATAGCATAAGCGTATTGTTGCTGCTGCTTCGTTTCTGGCCTGTTGAGGGTTTTTTCAGGGTTTCCATCTTGTTGATACTTGTCTTTGTGTTTTTGTGAGCAGTCGTAATCACACCATGTCTCCATGTTTCTCATACTATTCAAACCACTCTTTTTTTTTTTTAAACTGCAACAACAATAATAATGCGAGTGATTGTCGGTGTCAAGCGCGTTGTCGACTTTGCCATCAAGGCGCGTGTCAAGGCGGACAAGACTGGCGTTGTGACTGAGGGCGTCAAGCACTCGATGAACCCCTTCGACGAGATTGCTCTTGAGCAGGTCAGTGCTATCACACAGCGGGCTGATCAGTCGGAGTCGAAGAGTCGAGAGTCGAAGAGGGAGGACAGCTGCTTCTTGGCTTTCGTTGAAAGGTCAATCAAGTCTCTCTTTTGCGGTCGAATCAGACCAGACGAGTCAAACGACGAGACGACCACCGTTGCCCATTGAGAATCGAGTGAGAGTGAGAGTGAGAGTGAGAGTGGGAGGACGAGAGGGCGAAACGAAGAGAAAAGTTTGCCGATCTCTCTTCTTCTTCTTCCTTCTCCTCCTATGACTTGCTCTTCCTCGCTCCCCTTTCGTCCATGCCTTTGTCTGCAATGTCTTCTTTATCGTCTGTTCGCGACTTGTTCCATCGCTTTCCTGGGCTGCAGGCTGTCTTTGTCGCCCTTCTTCAATCCTTCCAATCCAATGCACCTTCCAATCCAATGCATCGCCAGTCAATCATGGTCAAATGTCCCACCCCTGAACTCACGCCGCAGTCTTTTTCCAACCGGTCTTTGTTGTGGCTATAGGGCATCCGCCTCAAGGAGAGCGGCGCCGTCAAGGAGGTCATCGCCGTCAGCTGCGGCCCCACCGCTTGCCAGGAGACGCTCCGCACCGCCCTCGCGATGGGCGCAGACCGTGCCATCCACGTCCCCGTCGAAGGCGCAGCGTACGAGACCCTTCAGCCCCTGGCCGTCGCAAAGATCTTCAAGAAGCTCGCTGAGGACAACCAGGCCAACCTCGTCCTCTTTGGCAAGCAGGCCATCGACGACGATGCCAACCAGACCGCCCAGCTCACCTCCGCCCTGCTCAACTGGCCCCAGGGTGCGTTCGCCGCCAAGCTCTCGGTCGAGGGCGGCTCCAAGGTCAAGGTCGTCCGCGAGATTGACGGTGGCCTCGAGACCATCGAGCTCAACCTCCCCGCCGTCGTCAGCGCCGACCTGCGTCTTGCCGAGCCCCGCTACGCCTCGCTCGCCAACATCATGAAGGCCAAGAAGAAGCCCCTCGACAAGAAGACCCCCGAGGAGCTCGGCGTCGACATCAAGCCCCGCATCAAGACCCTCTCCGTCGAGGAGCCCCCGGTCCGCAAGGCCGGCATCAAGGTTGAGAACGTCGACGGCCTTTTGCAAAAGCTCCGAACGGAGGCTGGCGTCACCTTCTAAAAACAGCCCCCACCTTGTTTGATTTTGTTGGTTTTTTTTTCTCCCTTTGTCGGTTGGGATGCGACCCATCTCTCCCATTTCGTAAATTCTGGTTTTGCTTCTCTTTCGTTTTTTTTGCTAAAAGTGCCATCGATGTGGTGCTCTCTGGCAATCTTGTCACAATACAAAGTTATTCATCTCAACATGCTCCATTCTCTAGCTAGTGATGTGGTCGTATTATTGGCTAACAAAAAAACAACAAGTCACCGTCAGCTCGCCGGAGTCGTATCAACGGGACCATCGTAAGGCACTCCGCGCAGGGTCGCATCAGCAACCTCACGAACGCGCTTAAAGACCCGCGCCTTGTAGGTGTTGACTTGCGAGCACCCCCGAAATGCTGAAAACTCGACGTCGGCAGTCAAGGAGGCAAGCTGCTCCTGGACCCCTGCATCCAAGCTGCTGCTCTTCGTCTCCAACTGTGACAGGTAGTTGGCAGTATATGCGTCGAGCAGTTTGGCAAAGCATGCTTCACGGACAGTCACCAGCAAGAAAGGGATGTGGGTGTGATTGTTGGCATCGAGCAGTCGCGTGTCGGGGCGCGCATCTTCGTGCCGCACTGTGCGTTCGACACGACCCTCCGTCAAAAACCGCTTGAGCTCTTGCTTGTCGCGGTCTGCCTCCTGTTCTTGACGGCGCTTTTGTCGAGAGAGACTGGCCATCGAGACGCTTCCGCCGTCGTCGTCCTCGCCACCCCCACCGCCCCCACGTGCATAGTATGTTGACGCCGACGTAAACCCGCCGTCGAAGCGAGGTAACGCAACCATTCCCTTGGCCGCGGACGCACTGCTGTTGCTGCTGCCGCTCGTGTACGAGCCGATCCGTGACGAAAACATGGCAGCCTTGGTTGCCACGGCGTTCTGGTTGGTGCACGCATCGCACATGCCATTGCAGAGCGTGTGGGCATCAATCTTTTCGCTATTGTCGTCAGCGGCGGGCGAGGCAGCCGGCAACTGAGACCGGTTGCCAGCAAAATAACTGGCAATCAGCACGTGTCGACACGAAACGCCGGCGCAATACCCGACCATTGCCTCGAATGCACTTCTCATGGCCGCTGCCTGGCGCTCTGCAGAGCTTCTTTCGGAATCCTTGGTTGAAGCAGGTGCGCTGGAAGAAGGGATGCTCCGCCCACCACGCGCAACAGAGTCGCCTTCGAGCGGACTGTTCCAATAGTCCATGTCGCCGAGCATGGCCGGATCGGTCGTGTCGGCAGCCTTCTCGCCAACAATGAGGCGCCGAGCCTCGTTGGAGACAAGGAACGACATTTTATCGCGCTCATCCTGGGAGGCATAGATGCGGCAGTGCGACTTGAGTCCGTCACGGCCAGCGCGTCCACTCTCTTGAAAGTAGGCCTCAAGCGACTTGGGCATGGACCAGTGCACGACAAACCGCACATCAGCCTTGTCGATGCCCATGCCGAACGAGATGGTGGCGGCAATGACGGGCACGCGTCCTGCGGTCCATTCTGACTGCACCCGCGTTCGCTCGGCGCTGGAGAGGCCAGCATGGTAAGCGGCCGACGGGACGCCTTCTCGCGAGAGCGCATCGGCAATCTTGTCGCAATCTGCTCGTGTGTGGCAGTACACGATGCCCGATGCGATCGATTTCGGTGATGTTTGCTGTGAAGTAGTCGTGCTGGTTGCTGCGCCCGCACGAGCCGCTTCACCCGCTCGAGCCGCTTCACGGGAAATGGCCCGAATAAAGTCGCGCAAATCGGGGA